ATTTTTTTTTCATTTTGAAAAAAAAAAAAAAGGTTTTTTTTTTTTAACTTTTTTAAAAAAAAAAAAAAAAAAAAAAAAAAATTATAAAGCCCGTACCTGGTATGATTTTGTTTTTCTCAACTTTTAGAATTTTGTGTCTGTCAATTTGTTAATTCAATTTTTTTTTTTAAATTTGTAATTTCAATTCATGTTTTTTCCGCTATAATAAAATGGAAAATAAAAAAAATGGGATAAAATTTTCAATGATAATAATGATTAGCGTTGGTACCATTATTATTTGATGATTGACGATTAAATGATGAATTTTTTGAAGAAGAAGAAGAACGATGATGATGTTGATGTTGATGATGTCCATATTTATTATCATTGGGTGATCGTGAACGAGATCTATTTCGATTATTATTATTATGACGATTACTATTATGAGAATAATGTGATGATCGTTGTTGTTGATGATGATGATGATGATGGCTTTCATGATCACGTGATCGCCGTGAAGATTGATCAAATCTTCGTTGATTATTTCGTTGATAATTATGACGTATGGTAGATCTTGATTCATCTTTTCCATCATTATCACCATCATCATCATCATCACCATTATTATTATTATTATTATTATCATTTCGACGTCTTCGGTCCATAATTTCATCCAATGCATTTTTCAATTTACCATAACCAACATGTTGTTTACCCATAAGATGATCATCAACACGTTGTTGTACATCATTAACAATTAAAAATGCACCACAAACATCACAAACTTCCATTTGTTTTTCCTGTGCTACACCGATTTCGGCTTTTTTCTGTATCCAATGGCCGGATTGATTTTCACGTTTTATATGTGCACGTTCTTCTTTTAATAGATCAACTTCTTTCATTGCTGTTTGTGCTTCTTCTACTTTGCCTATTCGAGAATGGAAAAAATTCATTAAAAAATTCTACGTCAAAAAAGCATTTTTCATCATTGCAAACCTTCACAACCAAGTTCTTGAATTTGTTCTAAAAGTTTTTCAATTTTTTCCGTTATATCACGTATACGTTCTTGATGTTCTTCAGTCATCGGTAATGAATTACCGGATAAATTCATTTTTTCAATTTGACTCATTTCTAAACGTTGTTTAGCACGTTTAATTTTCTTTTCAACATCATTCAATTGTGATTGACAAAATCGAATAAAATCATCTTCATATTGACGTTTTTCTTGTTTCGATGCTTTTGATTGATATTCACGTTTCAGGTAATCATCATGTACTAATGAACAAGGACCAATATCAGCCTTTGTATTTATGAATAATGCATTTGGACAAAATTTTACAAGAAAATTTTTACAAACCTTATTTTGTTGAAGGAAAAAAAGAATGATTAACCAAAAAAACAAACAATGATGATAATCTCTAATCAAACTTACAGTTGGATCATCCCAATTAAGCATACAACGTTTATCATTTGGTGCTAGATCACGTTCACGTCCCATCAATTCATCTAATAATTGTTTTGCTGCATTGATGGCCATCGTTTGTTTGTTTGTTTTCGTTGATTGTTTTCGTTGTTCTCGTTGATTTTTGATTTTTGATTTCGATTTTCGTTGATCAACCACAGAACATCGGATCAATATTCTCTCTTTTTACCCACCTTTTAGCACTTTTTTATCATCAACAAAAAAAAAACGAAAAATAAATTTTTGTTTTTTTTTCGAAAAATAATCCCGAGCATCAATTTGATCATCCATATGATTTTTCTCAATTCGGACATACCGTTCATATAGGACGTGCACAAAAATGATACTAATGATTTGTTGAAATGCGCCTCACCAAATATATCAATAGAAATCAGCAGCTTGAAAAAAGTTTTTGAAACAAACGTTTTTGCATCATTGAATATCCGATTGAACAGCAGAACTAAACCATGAAACGATTCAATGATCGTTATTATTCAACAATCATCTTCATCATCATTATTGTTTTGTTTCATCAGATGATTGCAACCAATCAATCATCATCATTCGAAAATGAATCGAATAACCAAAATGATATTATTGATCAATCAAATCATTTTGAATTAAAGGAACAGCAGCAAATCGATAATTCATCATCATCATCATCATCGTCGAATGAATCGGGAAAAATTTCAGAAAATTCTACCACAACATCATCTTCGTCGATAAATGCCCGCTATAATTGTACACCGGTCGATAGAAATGAGGTAGGTTGGTTGGTTGATTCGAATCATTTCTTAACGTTCGATGATTCGAACGTTTTGGGAAACTTCCCGGAAAACAAACAAAAATTAATTGATTTTCAATTTTAAATAATAATTTTTTAATTTAATTTAATTTTTTTTGAAATGTTTGCATGGTTACACAGGTAGAGAGATGAGAGATGTGAAAATAAATTTTCTGTTTCTTAACATTGATAATATAATAGACATTTTTTATGTGTTTCTGGTTGGTGTTAAAGAATTTCCGGAAATATTTTTCTGTGTTTCGGGATTTTAAATTTTTTTTTTGAAAATTGCACATCATCTTAACAAAAATAGAATAATCAAGCAGGTGTGTGTGTTTGTGTGTTTCAGGTAAATAGATTGACAGGTAGAATTGTTCTTTAGAAAACAAAAAACGAAAAATAAAAATAAAAATTCTTTATATAAATTCTGTATAGGTTGAATGACTCGAATTGTTAAAAATTCATTTTGACACGAATGACAGTTTAATAATGGCAACAACATTTGAGTATATATGATGTGTGTGTGTTTGGTGAATTAGAAATCAGAAAAACGACAGAGAAAAAAAAATCACAAAATTAAAAAGTTTTTCAAAAAAAAGAAGCGAGAATCCAACAGAATCTTCGTATTACAAAATAAAAAAACGAAACAAAAATGAAATAAACACAGACATTTTTTTGCAAAAGTAATGAAACATTGTAAAGAAAAGCTTGTAATCAGTCTTTTTATAATTATAATAATAATAATCAAGGCAACAAGAGAGAGAAAATTAATAATAAAAAACAGAAAATAAACATTTTGTTGTTGTTGTTGTTATAAATGTAATGAATATGTGTGTAATGCATGTGTGTAAAATAAATCTTTAAAATGAAAAAAATAAACCTTATTATTCTGTTATGTAATTGTAATGATGCAAAAAGAGAAAAAATAAAATAATAAAATAGATATTTATAATAGAGGTAATGTGTAAACATGAGATAAATTGATTGATTGATTGATTGATTGAGAGAAACTGAGAAAACTGTGAATAAAAATTTATAGGAATTAGATTTTTTTAAATGTTTTAAAATGTCGATGGCTGATAACTTGACTTGTAATTTGTAATTTGTAAAATTTCAATTACAAATATCCATTGATTGTGGTGAGAATGCTTCATTTTTAATTATTGTTGCTGCTATTGATGATGATTGTGTTGGATTTAATAAATTTGTTGCTACTGTTGTTGTTAATTGATGACCAAATGTTTGTTGACCACCACCACTGTTATTATTATTATTATTATTTATCATTAATGATTGAATTTGTTGTTGTTGTTGAATATGATGTTGTTGTTGTTGTTGTTGAGAATTTCTCATATTTAAAAAATAACCACTATTATTATTATTGTTGTTGTTGTTGTTATTAGGACTTATTGGCGATGATAATCGATTATGATGATGATGATGATGATGATTAATCATCGATGTTTCATTAGTAGGTTCTTCTTTGACAAATTGAAATGTACTTGCACTATTAACACCACCATTAACACTATTACCGCCAACACCAATAGGATGTTGTTTATTATTATCCAAATAATCTTGATTTGATGATGATGGTGAATTTGTTGTTGCTGCTGTTGTTGGTGAATTTAATGATTGATTATAATCCATTAAATCAAATTGTCGTCGATCTTTGGAATTATTATTATTCTGTATTCGTTGATGATTGTTAATCGATGATGTTTCAGCATTTGGTTTATTCGTTGATGATGCTGTCATTGAATGTATTTCAGCCATCTGTAAAAAATCAATTAAAATTTTGATTCAAAAACAAAAACTAAACAAACTTACAATCGATTCCATTGATCTACCTTCAGTAACATTTAATTTTTTCAATAATGTAAATAGTACTTCTTGTAAACGTTGATTTTCTTCTTTAGTTTTTCTTGTTTCCCCAAGTGCTCGATCAAATTCATCATTCAAACGATTATTTTCATGTTTCAATAATTTCAAATAATCAACCGATGCTTTTAATATTGTTCCTTTATTTTGTTTCATATCTTTAACTAATTCAAAATATTTTGGATCATCAGCATTTCTTGGTAATAATGTACCTAATTCTTTTATACGATCATTAATATTATATCGGCGACGACGTTCAATTTGATTATGATTATCTTTTTTTTGTCGATCTTTTTGCCATGCTTTCAGTTCTTGTTCGGTTAATTGTGGACATGATGATGATACAGATGTTGTTGTTGATGATCCAGATAAACGATGACCGTTTGATGTTGCCGATCTACCCAGTTGTGTGGAACCACCAAAACGATTTGTTGCGGTTGCCGATGATTTTATTGCAACTGGACTTGATTGGTGATTACCAGGTGATGAATTTGTTGTTGTTGTTTTGAGCGAACCAATTTGTAATGGTGATGAATTTGATAATAAAAATGATTCAATACGATCAGGTAATGTATTCGGTATTAATATATTTTTCTGATGTTCACCACCACCACCTATATCCATCAATGAACTATTTTGGCTATTTTGATTTGTATTGAAAAAATTATTACCACCAACACTACTATTTCCACCGCAATTACTACCACCACCACCACCATTAGAATCATTACTCATTTCAACAATTGTTGCCGATATATTATCAATATCATCAATACCGGTTTGATCTAAACGCATTATACCATCAAAAACATCATCAAAATCCGAAGCTGATGATGGTCCACCACCTGATAATGGACTTTCTGGACTTAATGCAAATGGTGATGATTGTTGTTCCGGTCTATTTTGCTGATTATTATTCGATGTTTGTTGTTGTTGTTGTTGTTGTTGTTGTGGTGAGGCAATATGATTTCTTAAAAGACTAGCACCAATACTATCCATATTATGATGATGTTGTTGTTGTTGTTGTTGTTGTCCAATATTACAATTATTAACAATTGTTTGATGTAATAATGATGTTTGATTTAATGAATGTGGACCATTAAATTGTTGTTGTTGTAATGGATTTGTTTGTATTAGATTCTGTTGTTGTTGTTGTTGTTGTTGAATCGATTGTTGTTGTTGTTGTTGTTGATTGAATGGTGAATTTAATGAATTTAACACACCATTACCACCACCGGCACCATTAGTACCAAATAATTGTAATTGTAATGGTAAACTAAAACCAGCACCACCAGGTATTAATTGATGATGATTTTGATGATTATGATGATGATGGTGCGATGATAATGAACTTGGAAAATTAATAACCATTGGTTCAGATGCTTGTTGTTGTTGTTGAGCTAATGGAATGTTATTCGATGTTGTTGTTGATCGCTGTTGTTGTTGATGATCATTATTAGAATTTCCAGCCGCAATTGTTGTTGATGATGATAATGGTGATGATAATGATGTTGTTGATGATGATGTTGTTGATGCTGCTGATGATGATGATGATGATGAAGCTAATGTTTGATTAATTCTTAATTGTCCACCATTCGATGATGATGATGATGATGCGGTTGTAGTTGTCATTATTGATGCGGCTGATTGTTGTTGTTTAGATGTTTGACGCAATTCTTCCTGTCTTAATTGCTCTTTCATGAGCTGTTGTTTAAAATTTGTTCTCGACATGTTTTTTTTTTAATTTGATGATGATGCTATGTTTTCGACGTTTTTTTTGATGATGATGCACTTAACACTTTGATGGAAGAGGGAGAGAGAAAAAGAGAGAAAAAAAACCGTTATCATTACTGAATGAGAAAAAAAATCGTTATCGTTTTTTTTATTTAGGTTTTTTTGCATTAGTTTTTTGCGATTGCTGATGATTAGATTATCAGATGATAAGATTAGAGAGGTTTTTTTTTGCCTTTTCTCGATGATTTCGATCTTGAAATAAAATATATTCAAGGTACTAAAGGTTTTTTTAGATTTTATACCGGATTTGTTTTGGTTTAACAGGAAAAAAAGATACAAAATAATCATTTTATATGAATTCAACACAAGCAAATTAGCAGCAGAAAAAAATGAAAGATTTCAATTTTTTTTCCTGATCGAATCGAATCGAATCGATTGATTTGATTGAATCGATATGATTCGAATCAAAAATCGATTGATTTGATTTGCCAATCTTTGCTCCTTCTTGATAATCACAAATGATGATGATTTGGATTAAATATTCATATTTTTCGAGGTTTAAACTATGATTGATTGATAAAACAATTATCGATTTTCAATTGAAAAAGCAAATCACACATTGAAGACACACAGAGACACTGAATTTGAATTCAAACTTTTTCAAATCAAAAAATCTTTCTGTGGTCTTTGTCTGTGGTGTGGGTATAGTGTATGTTGAAGACAAAAGAATACCCAAATATTGATTGGCGTGGGTGGTTGAGAAAGAATGTCAAGGGAAAAAAAGAATAACAAAAAGAATCGACCAGTTTTTGGCTTGTTTTGCCTGAAAAATCGGATGACAATTGAAAATTTGAAAAACACCGAAAACAAAACACCGCAATAAACAAAATCGATAAACCAAAATTCACAAGAAAATTTTTCAAATTAAAAACAAAAAAAAAATGTTTCCGTTTGTCATTTCAATGAAAAAACAATAACAACAAAATCAGTGTTTGCGTGTGTGTGTCGGTGAACCAAAATGATATAATTGAACGTTGAATGAATGAAATGAATGAATATTCAACATTGAAGAAAAATTAAAATAACATCTTTGTCGTCATCATCGTCGTATTTCAATGGTGGATTTACGCGCACACACGTTTCAATGAATTAATTAAGAATTGAATGTGAATGAATGGAGATTGAGAAAATTGAGAAAAACAAAACAAAACAAAAAACACATTACGCATAGCGGGAGAATTATTTGTTTTCAATAAAAAATTTGTCTTATGACATTGGCATTTCGGGCATAAAATTGAATGTTTTTGTTTTGGTTTTTTTGGTTTTTGAAGAAACGAAAAAAAACATTTATAACCAACCAGCATCACATTAGATCAGATGTGTTTGTTGTGTGTTTGATATATATTCTTTAAGCCTTACTAAAATTACATTATTTAAGGGGCAAATCAAAGAGAAATTGATTCGTAATTTAACCAGTTTTCGTAGCAAAACAAGAGAGATTTACTTTCACTATTGATGTTTATGCAATTTTTTTTGCTGTTGCTGTTGTTGTTTTGGGTTGATTTAATTCGTTAACACTCTGCTTTTTTTTTCTTCTTTTCAATCAAGAAAATGTCATATACCAAAAATAATAATAATTCTCACATTTCTTGTTTGTTGTTGTTGGTTGTTTTTCATATGAAAATGTCTACTTTTACATCATCATCATCATCGTTGTTGTTGTTGTTTTCGTCGTAAATTAAAAAGGGGGAAATCTCTCCCCTCCTCAGTGTTAAATCAATCGATTGATGCTAAACAAGAAACGAAAGAAGGGGGAGAAGGAGATCTGTTCAACACAGGATTCGCCATCAAAAAAAAAATGGCGCCATTTTCTAATCGCTTTTTTGTTGTTGAAAAACAACTTTGTCGATGATGATGATGATGTTTGTTTGTTTTCACAATAATAAAAATGCGGTAAGGATTTCCCTAACCTTGAAAATTTTGTGTAATCATCATCGACATCGACATCGACATCGACATCGACATCGACATTGTTGTTGTTGTTGTTGTTTGAATGGAAAAAAAATATGTATGGCATGTTGTTGTTGTTGATCAAGATCATCATCATCAACGATGATTCTCATGACGATGATTACATACTTTTTTCTGATTAAATTAAAATGATATTTTTTCTGTGTTTTTTTCAAAAAAAAGTTGAAAAATTTGATAAAAAATTTGATAATTTTCCAAAAAAAAAACTCAATGTTTGTTGCTGTCACATTGTGTAGCATTCTAACTTGACTAATTTCGTTGTTTTTTCCTCCAAAAAAGTTATTCATTTCGTGGTATATCCTCTCTTTCCATGCTTTTCGTAAAAGAAATCTAATATATTCCTATCAGGTTTCATTCGAAACATTTTCGATTGGAAAATCCTCATATATGAGGAAAAACAAAACAGAAAATCAATCAAATAATCAATGATATTCGAATGGTAATCCATCATTGATTGATTTCAACAGTTTTTAAACACAAAAATTTTTGCATTTTGTTTCTTTCTATTATCCATCCACATCTATCTAACCATCATATCTCTATATATATACAGATACAATGAATGAATGAATGATTCGGAGCAATTCATCCATTTTGATAAAAAACAAACAAAATCTATCCAAATAAACAAAAACAAAATCGACCTTGATAGGTACCAATAATAGTGCATATAGTTAGTTGTTGTTGTTGTTGTAAAAGACATGTTGCTTGTTTGAGAATTAAAATCATCATCATCATTTCCCTCTCTCCTTCTCTCCCTCTTTACATTTGTATGGATGTGATGTGTTGTTGTTGTTGTTGTTATATATTTTTCTCATTCATTCATCTGATTTGATATATAGAAGTATGAAGAGAAAGAGAGAGAGAATCCTTGAAAATAGGATAAAGTTTTGTATTTGTAAATGTGAATTATTACTAAAATGATGATGATGATAAAATATAAAATGGGAAATGTCTATGCCTCTGTCTCTGTCATACACACCGTTATAAAAAGAATGGATAATCTATGTGTGTGTGTGTGTGTGTGTGTATGTCGAAATATCGATTTGAAGCAAGCTTTTTGGTGTTACAAACAAAACCATTTTGTTTCTACAGAAAGAGGGAGAGAGAGAGAGAGAAAGGCGGAAATTTCAATCAAACAAAGAATATTCATTCAATGAAATAATAAACTAAGAATCTTTCCGGAAATTTTTTTCAGAAAGTTTTTTTTGTTCCAAAGAAATTTCAAAAATATCATCATCATTTGGAATGTTGACATTTTTTTTCTCCAATGTTTTGGTTTTGGTTTTGTTTCAAATATTTCGTTTTCTTTCTTTTGTTTTGTTTTTTTGGTTCCACAGAATTCCAACAACAGAATAATAATAATAATAGACTCCCTCTCTCTCTATATTTTTTTTTTCAAATGAAAACAGAATTACATCATCAAACCAAACCAAAACAAGGCAAGGCAAAGCAAAATTCTAGAAGAATCGCTAGAATTCGAAACTAGATTCTATGCTTGATTCGGTATTGGTCGGCCTGGTGTGCCTCTGTGTCAGAATGTTTTTTTTTTGCAAAACGTCATAGTCGACCTTCTTCTTCTTGTTGATTATGAATGAATGATTTGGTGGTGGTGGTGGTGGTGGTGATGATGATGCCCCTCTGATGAAATTCTAGATAATTCTTTCTTTGCTTGCTTTGTTTGTTTTCCTTTTTCTTCCTACTCTTTTTTTTTTTTTGTTTCAGTTTCTTTTAACCACCATGTTGTTAAAATTCATAATCTTCTTTTTTTCTGGTTGTAATTCTGAAGGATTCTTTTCTCTCTCTTACTTTATATATATAAATATTCCTACGCACCGGAATCAATCGATTGATTTGCAACTGAAAAAAAACTTAACTAACAGAATCGAAGCAACAAGAAAAAGAAGAGGGAAAATATTCTAACTTGATAAACTTCCGATTTTCCCTCTCTCTCTCGCTCTCTCTCTCTCTAGTTTGAACAAGTTTTATTCAAAACAGAAAATCCTTGAACAAAATTCTTTTCGATTCTTTAAATTCAAAATAAAACAGAAAAACATTCTGAATATTCTCTTCCGTGAATGAAAAAAAAAAATGTCAACAACAAAAATAACAAGACAAATTCTCATATAGTGAATAGAAAAAAAAATTTACCTTGAAAAATTGAAGAAAAAAATTGTTTTTTTTTTGAATGCCAATGTCTTTTGACAATTTCTTCAAGTTGCTTGCTTGCTTGCTTGATTGCTTTACACAATTTGTTGTTGTTGTTGTTGGCTGCCAAGAAACAAAAAATGATTAATTGAATTCAATAATATCCGCGCGTAGACAGACGTAAGTGGTGGTGTTTATCGAAGAAAACAAACCTATTTTCTCGATTCATTTATTTATTATTTCCCCCCCCCAAAAAAATTATCGTTTGTTGTTGCTGCTGCTGCTACCGTAATTGTAGCTTTTCATTTTTTTCTCCTGATTTTTCGATTTATAAAATTTTCTCTGGGTTTTTGTATCGATCCAAAAAACAAAAAAAAAATGTTGAAAAATTCCAATAGAGAAGCCGTATTATGTGTGAAACACAATGTGTGTGCGTGTAAATACAGGGTGATCTAAATAGACAAAAAAAAACATTATAATTAAATACCGATAATAACAAATAGAAAAAATATTCATAAATTCATCAATTGATTTCTCAATCGATCGATTGATTGATTGATTGATTTTTTTTTTCGTTTACTTAAAACATAGATTTTCTGAAGAAAAAAAAATTATAGAAATATGAGAAAAAATATATTTAGAGAGGAAAATTGCAGATGTTGACATATACAAACAAACACCGAAACGAAACGAAAAACGAAAAGAAAATCCAATTTAATCTTCAGCAAGTTGGATTTATAATAATTCAATTATAAAACAAACAAACAAAAACAAAAACAGAAACATTAACATGAATTATTTCAATTAGAAAAATGTTGAATGAATGAATCGAATGAATCGAAACTTGATATGAATGTATCAAAATGGAATCATCATCAGCACTTGGTGGGAGTAAGATTTTTTTCTTTATTAATTAATCAAAAAAAAAATTAATCCAAAAATGACGTAATAATATTGAATTCAATTAATCAAACAAAATGAAACATTGGAAATGTTGCTTCTTTGCTTTGCTTTGCTTTTTGTTTTGAATGATGATGATGAAAAACATATGGAATTTCTTGTTTTCACAGAATTTCAGCAGCAGCAACAGCAAAAAAAAGTACATTTCACCCAAGTTTCAAACTGTAACACACACGTTGTTTTTTGGAAAAAAAACTTTTTGAAATGAATAAATAAATGATGACGATGGTGGTGGTGGTGGATCATTATTTTTTTGTTGTGAATATGATTAGAGAGGATAATGATATCATCATCAAATCAAATCAACCACATTGAAACAAAAAAATTGATGGCGACGTTTTTTTTTCAAAAAAAACGATTTTCTTTCTCTCTTTTCTTCAAGTGTTTGATGTTGATAAATTTTAAATACATAGCAGCAGCGTTATTAGCTTTTATAATAATGTCATTCCAATGTATCATCCTAATCATCATTTTGAATGTACTTTTTTACTTTAATTTCTTTCGTTGATTATGGATTTTTTTTGCTGTTGAAAGTCGAAGAACGACGACGACATTTTGCAGAGATATTATTATTTGATGAATAATGTTTGGCTGGTTAGAGATTATGGTGTGCTTGGGAGAGAGAGAAGTGTGTGTGTGTTAGAGAGAGAGAGAGAGGTATCTATTTTGGATGAGCCAAGGAAAATTGAAAAAAAAATTAACATCGCATACAGGTTGTTGTCGTTTGTTGTTTGGTGGTGGCTAAATTAATTAATCTTTCTGATTACCTGAAAAAAAGGTGTTTTTTTGGACATTTTCTGTTGGTTTGTTTGTGGATGATATGATATTTTGTTTTCCACAGTGATGATGACAATATCTAAATTTTTTTTTCATTTTTAATAATCTTATCTTTTCCCATAAAGAATGAATAGTGACAAATGATAATGATGATGATGATGGAAATTAATTAGGTTTTTTTTGGGGAAAAAAAGCTAATTAACTCGGGATAATTGGTTTCATTCATTCACATTTACATCATATTCGGAAATGAATGAAAATTCGGGCTCTTGTTTCAGGGGAAAAGATCGAAACAGAATCAAATATCTTACCTTAGATTTGGAATTTTTGAAAGAATATTCTGATCGAATGATGATTAAGAACTCAAACACAAAAGATACAAACAAACAAACAAACGAAACACACACTGAATAAATGTTTTTGTTTTTGACTTAAGGAATTGTTGTTGTTGTTTTTGATACATGTAAATTTTATTTCCCAAAAAAACAACAACAAAAAGTGATGATGATTGATGAACAGAGAATTTTCACTTTTTGGTTAAATAAAAAATGATTATCATCAAAGAGCAACAATAACAAACAAATAAAAAACAACAACAACAAACATCCAACAGGAGATGAATTTTTCTTCTTTTTTCAATTTTTGTCGACGTCGTGTTGTTGTTGTTGTTGTTATTATTAGTAGTGGTTGTTGTTGTTGTTGTTATTCACTATTTAGCCTTTTGATATTTGCAATGTTGTTGTTGTTGTTGTTGAAATTTTTTAAGATGCTATTGCGTTTTTGATGAAATGCGTAAATGGGGTAACACTACTATATAGAGAAAGAGAGAGAGAATGTAACTCTGAAGAAGAAGAAGAAACATCGAGTATAGGACGCCAAAGAAGAATTTAAACGAGAAGAGAAGTGAGAAGAGAAAAAATGTTAAATGTTGGGATCCTATACCATGAAGAAATTGATGATTTACAGTGCATTTATTGCTGCAGTATGGTGTGTGTATGTTTGAAAGTTGGAACGAAAAAAGATGGTTGAATGAATGAATGAAATGGATTGGATGTTTTTATATATATAAAAAAAAGGTTTTCTTTTAACGCCAATTTTTTTTATATATAGAAAAAGGATCATATAAACAAAATGTGGTAGTAGCAGTTGTTGTTGTTGTTTTGGTTGTTGTTGTTTTGCTTGTTGTTGTTGTTGATGTTTTTTTTTTCTCAGAAAATATTCACTTTTTATTTAGATTTTTTTCTTTTCGCTGAAAAAAATTATATAATGATGACGATGACGGTGAAGATAAAGATGATCAGATCAGATTTATGGAGAAAGATGAATATTTCGGGGTTTTTTTTGGTTACCAAGAAAAATTTTTAACCAGAAAAAAAGAGAGAAAATTTTTGGAAAAATGTTTTTGGTTTTTTTGAGAATCGTTTTTTTTTGAAATGTTTTTTTCGATATAATCTCTCGCCAAAATGAAAACAAAACAAAAAATGTTTCCATTCTTTTCTTTTCTTTTGATCATTTAAATGCCACTACGATTTTTTTGGATGTTGTTGTTGTTATTTTTGGAAGATTAACGACGGCGCCATTTCTCTCTATTTTGGAAATGAAAAACATGCGCATTTCTTTTATTTTGGAAAAAATGGATATATTTTTATCTTTTGAATGAGAAAAGCAAGAATATGGATATTTGAATGCACGTTTCTTTCACTTTCATTTTGCTGTTGTTGTTTTGTTTTGTTTTGTTATTGTTTGGCCATTTAAATTTCTGAATGGAACGATATTTTTGAACAACTCCAAAGCGCGCGCGCTTTTTTTATTGTCGTTTTTTTTTGAAAATTAATCTTTTACCTGAATTTTTTACCTGGTTTTTTTAAATAATTAGACAGCCAAATTAATTGTCGTTAATTCATCTTCGATACCAAGCTATATACAATTGAAAAATTATTTTATTGTCGATCTGTTCTATTTGAATCATTCAAATAATGATGATAATGGTGGTGGTGGTGGGGGTGGTAATCCAGATGCATCTTCGACTGATAATAATGAAACAACAACAACAACAACGGAATCGATTGAGATGAATAATACTACAGCATCGACAAATGAAACTTCGGGTCAATGTTCAATAATGATTTTCTATTATAATTGGTGTCGATTCAGTTCGGCTGCTGCACCAAAATTCAATGCAATTGGTCGTCTTTATCCACAAATGTATATTATGGCTATCGATGCTTATTATCATTATAGGTTTGTTATAGAATTTTTGGATTCTAATTCTGGTTATTTACTACTACTACTATTTAACCCTTCTTCTTCCCTCTCAAACAGCATCACAATTCGTTTTGGTGTTTCCGGTGTACCAAGCATTTATTTTCTATATAATGGTCGTGCTGTTGCTAAATATAATCGTACCGATATAACAATGGATGGTCTTCATGAATTTATTCATTCATTAACATCATTAGAGCCTATTCAACCGAATATTACTGATAATAATTATGAAGATAGTGATAATGAAGATAATAATCAAAACGAAGAAAATGAAAATAAAACATCAAATACAAAACAATATTGGAAGAATATTACCGAAAATGATTTAAATGGTCCATTAGTAATATCAATGGAAAATCAACAAAATTATTTATTAATTTTTTGCTGGAAATTTTGTCTAATCGTATTATTTTATCATTTTTTTCGTTCAAATTTATTTACAAAAATCAAAGATCATGTTCGTTCAATGTGGAATGAATGGGCACAAACTGTTCAACATCATGAACATACTGATTAATTAAATACTGAATGAATCGAATGATTTGATTGATCTTTGATCTGTTGATTGATTGATTGATTCGAGGGAAAATCTCCAAACTTGATCAATTTGATCTTTTTAATCATATTGTGATTATCAATCGATGCTTCTGTTGGTTTGTTTGTTTCATAAATAATCATTTGTTGTAAATAAATAAATAAAAGAAAGAAGAAATTTTCTGTCCAGAAAAACAAAAACTTATCACTTCCCCAATTATTATTGCACTTAAAAAAAAGATCATTCGATTTTTGATTTTTTTGGGTTATCCTTTTTGATAATTTTTGATGTAAACAAGTGTGATTCATTGCAAATCCGAATCATGATTAGGATTCACCAAAAAAATCAATCAATCAATTTTTTTGGACATTGGACGTTGGACATTGTCAAATCGATAAAGCCAATTTCAAAAAATTCGTGAAAATCGAATGTTTGGCCCATTTTTTCATCCAAAAAGAAAATATGCTGCCATCTTTCGACCGTTTTGGATCAAAAAATGTTTTCCATGTTTTTGCTTTTGTTTTTGGTGAGCTCATCTTTTTCCTTCCAACTTGAGTTCAATGTTTGTAAATATAAAATTCATTTTGGTTCAAATATTATCATCTGGTTTTTTTGTTTGATTCAACCATTTTCGCGGTTTCAATTTTGTTCAATTTTTTCATCCATTTTTTTGAAATGATTTAAAAGATTTTTTTTCGTTTGTTTGTATCGATAACCACCGAGAATCACAAATGGAACTTGAATGAATCAAAACCGATCGATTGGAAAAAAAATTGAAAACAAAACAAAACAATCAAAAATGAATTGTCAGAAATTGTTTCAAGATTTTAATTCCAGGTAATTTAGTCCCCGATATTCTCTTGTCATTTCGAGCATTTCATTTGATTTTTTGTTTTTTTCTTGCTTTACAGTAAATTTGTCGTCTATACATCATTGTTAATATTTTCAATATTATTTGCACTGCGTTTAGATCAAACAATTATGATCTCATGGTGGTTAATATTCACACCATTATGGATATGGAAATTTTTAGTTATTTTCGGTGCATTAATTGGTATTATTGTTTGGATTTTCAATCCAGAATATCGTCTATCCGAATCATCATATACTCATTTTAAATCAATGTTAATCAGTCTTTCATTACAATTATTATTATTAATGTTTGAATTATTAGTTTGTGATAAATTAGAATCGGATCGTCATTTTTGGACATTAACATTTATACCATTAATATCAATATCATTATTATCGGTTGCCGTATCAATTTGGTCATTAAAAAATGAACGTGATTTTGAATTAGAATTATTCTGTTCAGTAAATATATTACAATTTATATTTATTGCATTACGTTTGGATCGTTTTATTATTTGGTCATGGGTTGTTGTATTTGTGCCTTTATGGATTCTATTATGTTTAGCAATTATTGGCGTTCTATATGCATTAATATTTGCTGTTATATTATTTCATACACCTGAAGTATCATTAGAACAACGTAAAGCAAGTTTTTATACAGCAATTGCATACATATTGATCGTATTACCATTATTGATATTTTTCGTCCTGCTATCAAGTAAATTAGATTCAAAAGAATTTCGTATTAACAATGTTATTAACAATGGTAATGGTAATGGTGGTGGTCACTTTTATAACACCGGTCTGTTGAGTGATCCATCATCGTCATCGAATCAATATGGAACCTTTAATATGATTCATATTTATTCGCATATTCAACAACAACAACAAAATTCTGCTCAAAATACTGATGATAATCTTGTTACAATTGGTACGAATGTTGTTGATCAACTACAACAACAACCATCGACCATTGGTCAAATAAATCATCAACATCAACCATTAAAAATGACAATATCAACACAATCACCATCATTTTTTGTTACACAATATTCATTCGATATGGATTATTTTTCCATTTGTATACCATTATATTTTACATTATCAATATTGATTTGTATGTCATTCAGTTCAAAAGGTGGTAATCTATGTAAGTGTGGTTAACCTGTTTTTCCTATTCAAGTTTGTTAATTTTTCTTTTTTTTCCCCAATACAGGGTGGTTTGGAATGCGTAAAGATTTTTGTTCATTTCTCTTGATCCTATGTCCTTGTTTACGTGAATATGCAAATATTTCATATAATTTAGATGGAATTCTATCATCATCATCACCAAATTCATTGGAAATTAATAACGCTGCTGCTGCTAATAATACTGCTAACAATGTTAATGAACAACAAAATGAACGTACAAATCTAACACAATCATCAAATGGTTTAATACAGGTGAATAATCTGGATTATGATGCAACCGATTCTTCTTCTTCAGCTATGAATAATAATAAAAAGAAAAATGGAAAAAAATTTTCAAAAAAATCAACAATTACAAAACAACCAACTGAATTTATTATACCGAATCTATTACGTTTAGATATACCTGATTGATCTCATCATATCAATTATCATTATCAAAGGGGTTTTTTTATGTTTCAATAATTTTCACATCGATTCAGAGCTTGTACAAAGTGAAAAAAATGTGTATGGTGTGTGTGGAGTTTTGCATTCAAAAAAAAAAAAAAAAATGCAAAAATCATGAATGTAAATAGTAGTTGTTGTTTTTCTCTTATTCTTTTCTTTTGTTTTTCAATTTTATTTTGCATGAAAAAAAACATTTGACTGAAATAAACACAAGAATGTTTTGAAAAACTTTGTTTTTCGTGTTTTGTTGTTTAATCAATACCAGTATCACCTTCAACAGTTTCCTGTAACATAAGAACATGTAGTTCAGATTTTGGTGTACTGTTAACCAATTGATCGATTGAACGATAATTTCCAGGATCTGTTGTGAAAATCTTTTGGAAATAAAAAAAAATCTTTCAGTGAAATAATTTTGGAAGAGAAAAAAAAGAAAACTTACCATTTCGATAATACCATCATCCAAATGATTTTCTTCTTCCAAATTACAAATAAATTCTTTCATTTTGGATTTATTTTTTTTATTTGTTAAAACTCTTAATTTCATTTGTGCACGTTCAATTTGAATAACTTTTTTCAGTTGTGGTATTATTTCCAATGCCTGTTGTTTTGATGTACGATTTGGTTTAACCGATACATGTATTTGACGCATCGATTTTTCAATCATACCAACTGGATATGGTCGTTTTGTTTCCGGATTTACACATTTATCCGCAATAATTGTAGCAATATCTTTGAATGTTGATTCCAATTGATGATGACGTTCTTTTTCGCTTATTTGTAATTCACCTTTATTTAAAATTTCCAAACAACATTTCAAATGATCATCAGTTTGAAAACATTTCAGTAGATCTTCTTTTTTTGCAACTTGTCCTTTGGAAACATTTACAAATACAACCGGTGTTTGTAAAACTTCATCAATATCTTTTTCGCTGTTTTAAAAAAAAGAACAAATTAATTATTTTACAAAACAGAAAATAATTTGAAAAATAATTACATTTTATCACGATAAGAAACGACTTTATTTTTATAGCAAGCAATTTCAAAACGTTGACCACATTTTTTCATTCGAACAATGGCTACATTCGTTAGCCGTTGTTGATTTGTAGGTGTTTTAATCATTTGTTTGCTGCTTAAGTTTTTCAAATTTTCCAAAGTAAAAATTCTTCAAATTCAATTCAAATTGTCAAAATGATCATTGGCAATGAATGAATGATGACGATGTTGAAATTCACCAAAATCTTTTTTTTCACTTAAAAAAAACGAGCGTGGAAAATTTCCATAAACATTGAACGAAAATCATCGGTATCGTCATTTATGAATGAATGTTTGTTATTGAAACAAAAAACAAAAACAACAAAAATTTCTTCTGACGGTTATTTTTTTTTTATTATTGATTGTTTCGTCGTAATTTCTTTTTCTGATTTTCTAATTTTGTTTTTTTTGTTTGTGTTTTTTTGTTTTGCAAGCCAACAATAACAGCTGCTGTGTTTATGATAATTTACTTATTTAGTGAGGTTATTCAGTTGAAAAGAAATCCGTAATAATTAATCTTGGGAAAACACAAGCAAAAAATGACTTTAGATGAATCAGGTTTGAATGTTTTTTTTTGTTTTTTCGTTTTTGAATTTTCTAATTTTTCCCATTCCGTTAAATAGATAAACAAACATCAGATAATGGTGTAAATAATACACAGGAAAATGTTGATGGCGAAGAAGAAAATATTTCGAAATCAAATCCATCAACTACCACCACCACCCCAGATGTTATACAACAGGAAGAATCAATGCAATGGACTAGTAGTACGATACGAAATGATTCAACCGATGATCTTTTAAATAATAATAATAATAATAATAATAACAAAGCAGCTATAAAAAGAACATTTGATCAGATTTCTGATGGTTCAACATCATCTCCATCACAATGTTTATCAGTGAACGAAGAATCGAACAATAATGATGATAATAAAGTAATAGAAATGAACGATGAAGAAACAATGAATATTATCGATCTGAGTGGCCAGAATACTGTTGATAATGAGGATGATAGTAGTAATTCAAAAGAACAACAAACATTGAAAAAACAAGAAAAAGAACCTGTTACATTTAAAGTTGTTTATGCAAAAGAAATATTTGATATTACACAAGATTTGAATGATACAATTTCGATATTGAAAAATCATCTACAAAAACTTACCTCAGTCAATCATAATTCACAAAAACTTTGTTATAAAGGAAATTTATCCGATACGAAAACATTAAAAGAATGTGGTATAAAAAATGGTGTTAAAGTTATGATGATTGGTTCGAAAGCAACAGATATTTTGGCTGTATCATCCGTAACAAAAGATTCAATTGTAAAAGAAATTAAAGAACCTGTTCCAACTAAAGAACCATTATGTCAGCAAAAGGTTTGTTTGTTTGGTGGTGTGTTTGAGATTTGTTTAAAACTTTTTGTTGTTTTTGTTTTTTAGCAACATAAAAATATTATCGATAAAGGATTACCTGAACAGGTTATGTCCGGTTGGATTGGTGAAGATTGTCCATTACCATTGGAACCATTAACAGGAATGTTAAATAAATTTGGCAATAAAGTTCGTATGACATTCAAATTGGAACAGGATGAAGTTTGGATATCAACCAAAGAACGAACACAAAAAATTCAGATGACTCAAATAAAATCTGTGATTAGTGAACCAATTTTAGATCATCAACAATATCATATTATGGCCTTACAAATTGGTACAACTGAAGGTTCAAAAATTTGGTTGTATTGGGTACCGGCACAATATGTTCGAGCAATTAAAACAGTTATATTGAATAGTTGAACAAAAAAATGACAGAAAAATCATGCAATCATCGTCGGGAAAAGAAATTATACCTGGAAACAAACAAACAAAGAATATTTATTGTTTTATCAATGAACAAAATTGAATAAAATAAAAATTTTTTAAATGAAAATTTTTTTTTGTAATTTTATTTTATTTTGGGAACTTCACTACCGCTATAAACATCATGATGAATGAATGAAAAAGAAAAAAACAAAAACGAGAAAATCAAACAGAAAAACAAAACAAAAAAAACTAGAAAAAATGAAAACAAAATTGATTAATTAAATTTAATTTTTTTTAAGAAAAAAAGTGAGAGAAACAAAACAAAATTCCTATTACGTCGTTTTTTGTGGTTGTTGTTTATTGTGATACGATGATTTTCAAAGTGAAAGTTTTTCAAATAATTTTCTTAATCTTTCCTGTCCAGGTTGTCCTAACATTTGTCCAAAACCTTTTTCCGATGATCCACTTGTACGTGCATCATTTGAATCTTTTCCACCAACTTTGTATGAGATCTTTGTAAAAGAGTAAAAGTTAAATAAGGGTTAAGGAATTTAAGTTTGAAAGAATTTTACCTTAAAATTATATGGTTGAATATCCGGATAACTTGTATCAAATACATTATCCAATTCAGATTCGGAAGGCATTGTAGGTAGAAAGGCATTCGGTTGATTTACAATCGATACAATCGATGATATTTTATCAAATAATTGATCTTCAATGCTTGTTTTATTGAAAATTGATTCATTTAAGCCATCTAAACATTTTTAGGAAATAAAAAATTTAATCAACTAACAAATCAAACAATCAATCAATTGAGCATACCTTTTAAACAATTAATTTTCAATGTCCAAACATCCCAAATTAATGTATCCAATACAAATAAACGATTATTACTTTTCAATAGAAATTCTAAACTAATGCTACCAGTTGCTGTTGATGTTGTTGTTGTTGTTGAATATAATGATGATAATGAATGTCTTTGTGTTTTTTTATTATGATGATGTTGTTGATGTGAATGTTGCTGGTGATGATGATGTTTAGAATTTTCTCCGGAAATATCTAAATTATTGAATAATGCAGATGATGGTCGATGATGACCAGTGGTGGTTGTTTGATTGACAGCTGAAGCAGCAGAATTGGTAGCATTAATAATATTGGCAGAATTTGAATATTGATTATTTAATGCCCGTAATTCATCAACAAATCTTTTAATTTGATTATTAACATTTTTTGTTAGCTCAATTGATGCAACACGTATATAGGTAAAATCAATAAAATCACAGACAACTTCTTCAAAACCTAATGTACCAATTGAATAGGAATTTTCTTGATTATATTGAAACTAAATGAACAAAAACAAAAACAAAACATTAAATTTTTTCTATCATTTTTCATCTCACAAACAAACAAACCTTTCCAAAACATCGATTAAAAATCACAGAATGAAAAATGGCTGATACAATTTCATGGATACGTTTACCTAGGCAAGTCTTTTGTTGAAATAAACAAACAAAAAAAACATTCGAAATCAAAATCAGAAGGGAAAAGAATTAGCAAGAAAATTCACTTACAAATTCAAATGATGTAGAATGTGCATTCATCGTTCGAGAGAGAGATAGGAGAGAAGAGGGTTAATTGAAGACAAACAAACAAAACGTTGAAAAAAAATTTTAACACAACCAAAATGGAATCAGTGCAATTTTTCAATCGATAATTTTGAGAATTTTTTGGAAATTCTTTTCGATGAACGAGAAAAACCAAATGATCGAAATGAAGAAGAAAAAAACACAAAAACTACTATCAACACCACCATGCGAGAACATCACGCGTTTCAATTTTTGTTTTTGTTGTTTTTTTTTGTTTGTTGTTGTTGCTGTTCGCTCTTATTCATTTGATTTTTCTCTTTTAAAACTACCACCAAACATCTATATAAATTTAATGGAGAAAACTCTATATAGCGTTGGTTGTATGCGTTGTTTGGAAGAGAAGAGAAATTGAAATTTGCATTTGGATACTCGATGATGATGACTTTCTTTTCTTTTGATGATGATCAAAAAGATGCTAAATCGATCCAAACGATACTTTTGCTGTTTAAATAGACGTGGAACGAAAATTAAAAAAAAACATTCGATTTTTGATTTTTTCAATTTTTTTTTTGGATTTCGTAAAACAAATTGATTGATTGATTGATGATTGGCAAGGGGAAATTAGAAATCAAAAATTAGAATTTAGAGCAAAAAACAGTAAACATTTTTCTGAAAATAAATGTAATGTATCTAGCGTGTTCCAAACGGCTATCAATGAGAATTTTCATTCAAAGCAACAAATGAAACATAGCGAAAGATACATTTTTTGTTTGTTAATTTTGCAGATTTAGGGAACGCCAAACATTGTCAGGAAATTTGTAGAACAATTTTGGAGCTGTAATCTGCCTTTGGTTGGTTAATTTGGGTTTTTTTTCGGGAAATAATTTTTTTTCACACTAAAAAACACAGGTATCAGGATTCGAACCATGGACGCGACTATTGTCACAAACATTCGAAAGCTATTTCGACATAAACCAACCCAATGTTTATCTTGTTTGACTAAATTGGTAAAATCTCATTATAATTATAATGATTCGATTAACTAAATTAAATCAAATTTTCGTTTAATTTTCGAATTTTGGTTTGTTGAATTTTCATTATAAAACATTTTTGATTCTGAAATGATTTTCGGCTGTTAATTTTTTCTATTTTCGTTTTTCGTTTGTCGTGTTTTCGCACAGAGAAGAATCGTATCAATCAATCAATCAATTGATCAATCAGAAAAAAAATGTCGAAAGAAAATGTACCAAAAACAACAACAATGACAAATAAAAAAATTGATGAAACACCAAACTATGAATTGGAAGATTTTATTATAAAAAAACAACAAGATCGATCATTTAGTTTTGTTACTAAACGTCCAATACGTATATCAAATGCATCAACATTGATATTAGATTCACCAATGAATTCGGATGTACAAACATCAATGTCATCAACAGCATCATCATTATCAACACCTGAACAACAACAACAACAACAATCATCATTACGAAAAGGTTCAGAATTTTGGTCAAGTCCAGAACGTTTTGATGATGATTTAGGTTATCAACCATTAAAAGGTATGTTATCAACATTATTATTATCATCATCAAAAAGTAAAACTAGATCAAGATCAATTCCACAACAACAACAACAACAGCAACAAAAATCTCAACAACCACTATCACCAACAATAATGCATCAAGATGATAATCAATCAAGATTACCAACACATCGTATGCGTATATCGGAAGCACCAACATTAATATTGAGTGATTTTTCGAATAATAGTGATAGTAGTAGTGATAGTAGTCCATCACTATCGCCACCATCACAATCACAATCGAAACAGCAACCATCACCATCGAATTCTGAACCATTATTAACGATAAAATATCAAAGAAAAATTTGGCATCCATCAATGGAATTTGAATCAACATCAGTATCATCATTACCATTGGGCGATGATGAAAAAATTAATGGTAAAATACCACAACCATCGAAACAAGATGATAATCTGAGAAAATCTTCACCATCAACCTCGAAACAACAACAACAACAACTCGATGATATAAATTCGAAAAAAACTGAAAAAATTTCCATAAAAATTCAAATTTATGAACATGATCGTTTGTTAAGAGAAAAAATGTTAAAAAATGATGCTGAATTTGATTCAACAAGACAACGTGAAGAAGATGAAATGATGAAATTACAACAACAAAAATCATCAACATCATCAACATCATCATCATCAGAATCAGAATTTTTAGGAAAATCAAGTAATCCAATAACAAGTGTGGATGGTTCATTACGACATAAATCATTTGCACCAAATCGTCGTGTAAAATCAAATGATGAATTGAAAACAGCAGCAGCAATATCAACCGAAACATTAAAATCAAAGAATAGAAAAAAATCTAAAAAAAGAACAAATCAACCAAAAAGAAGTTTAATATTTAAAAGTTTACAAGATATTGATCAATTGGATGATGATTATGATCCGGAACATGGTTTACGACAATTAGCATCATTTGAAACTGATAGTGAAACAGCTGAAAGAAAAAATGAATTATTAAAACATTTAGCTAGTTATGAACAACAACATTCATTTACTGGTGGTGGTCGTCGTAGAAGAATCGATCGTATATCATCATCCGAAGAATATGAAAATGAAATGAGAGCAAATTTATTACCAACAATAAGGCCAACAACAACAGTAAAAACAAAAACACCACCACCACTACCATCACCAACAATAACAGATATGGAAAAATTGGAAAAAATTATTAATGAATTTAATTTACAATTTAAATTATCAAAAGTAAGAAATTTATCTTCTGTAAAAAATGAACCAAAAATTATGATACAAGAAAAACATGATAAAAATTGGTTTCGTAAACAACAAATGGATGATTTTAAAAAAAGTTGTAGTAGTGGTAGTATTTTGAGATCTGATAGTGGTAGTGGTATTAGAAGATCTGATAGTAGTAGTGGTAGTAGTAGAAAAAGATTAAGTGTACCAAAAATTCGATCACCAACAGATCGAAGACATAAATCGATTGGTAAAAGTGTTGATCAACAACAACAGCAGCAACGACGGCGAAGATCGCCACCGATATCACTACCGCCGCCAATGTCACCATTATCAGCATCGACATCGGCATCATCAGCATCGACATCGCTGCCACCAAGACCATCATCATCGAGATCGAAATCAAAATCGAAATTACCACAACCAAAACAAGTACCATCGTCATCCGAATCAGAATCCGAATCCGATTCATCATCATCATCATCGATATCGATAACACCACGAACATCCGAATCAGAATCAGCATCGATATCACCATCAACATCATCATTATCATCAGGATCATCATCAGCAGCAGGATCGCCATTACCACCACTAAAAGCACCGTCCGCATCATCATTGGATCGACAAAAAAGTACTGGAAAAATACCAAAACAGATTTCCAAACAACAACAACAAACAAAACGAAAAAGAAGGAAAAAATATCATGGACCATTAATGCGTCGTTTATCAATACCAAATCGTCAATTAAGAAGATTTATACATAAAATGTTTCATACAATTATTAATCATAATGAAAATAATAATATTATTATTAATCAACCAAAAATGATGATCACTAGGGATGCAATTGAAATATTGAATTCAATGGCAAAAGAACTTATACGTAAATATGCTGAATATGCTGATCAATTAATACTGTATAGTGGCCGTAGGAAAATGGATCGTTGGGTATCATTTTCAACAATAAAAATGTTTTTATCACCAACATTAAATCATACAACAAAAGAATCAATAATACAAATTATTAATGATTATGGTTATTATCAAGATTTAAATGATCGTAGTGAAATAAAACATAAATCACAAATCACAGAACAACAATCGCAATCACAATCGCAATCGCAACAACCTGGACCATCAACATCATCATTAGCATCGTCATCAACATCAAAGTCAAACATTCCAAGTTCAAAACAACAACCATAATGATGATAATCAAATTACAAATTTTTTTTTTGTTAAAAATTTTTCGCGCCAATAAATTTGAAATTTTCAAAAAAAAACTATGTAACGTTTATTATGAACGGTTTCCAGAAAATATATATGTTATTCTTGAAATCATATGACAATCGATAATGAGCATCATTTTTCGAGAATAAAATTCAATTTTTTTGTTTTTGTTTTTGTTTTTTAAAATTTACCGTTTAAAACATTGATTATGGCATCGACGACCACCACCACATCATCAGCAGAATTGATACCAGAAATTGATCGAAATGATGATGAAACGAAAACAGCAGAGCCAGCAGCAGTCGATGAACAACCCGAATCATTAAATGTCATTGAAAATCCGGATGATCACCAGAATCATCAGAATGATGAAACATTACCGGTAAGAATATTTTCAATGTTTTCGGTGGTATTTATTCTTTGCTTTTAACCTAATGATCATCCATCAGTCCAAGCAGTTATCTGTTGATCCCGAACAATCATCGAAAACTGAAGATTCTTCATCATCGTCTTCATCGTCATCTTCATCATCATCATCGTCATCAACGGCCACAGATTCATCATCATCATCAAGGCAACAACAACAACCAGCTACTAAATCTTATCTACATTCACCATCCGTATCGCCTTCATCCATTGTTGATAAATCAATAATAAATGTTCAAACAATTCAAAATCAATCACCGATTCCATCGATCAATAGTAGTAGTGTTGGTGGTAATAATAATCGAAAAAATACAATGGCCTGTGAAATGTGTAATAATTATGAAATACAACTACAAGATATACAATATCGTGAAGCAGTTTTAAATTTAAAAATTGTACAATATGAAAAAATACAAAAACAATTAAAAGATGATTTGAAAAAAGAACAAACATTCCGTACGGAATTGGAAGAAAAATATATTGATGAAACAAAATGTTTTGAAAATAATATTAAAGAATTAAGCACACAGGTAGATTATGGTCGTCAAAATGTTGAAAAAATGATTATAAAATTTAATAAAATGGAAAAACGTGCAAATGATTTAGTTGCGGATTTGATCGGTCAGATTGAATTATTGAAAAAAGAAATTCAACGTTTAGCAATGGATAATGAAAAATTGTTAGGTCGTCATTTAAAAAAATCACAAGAATTATCATCCGAATCAATATCATTACCCGAAGATCAAGAATCATTACAATTTTATTGTTTACAATTACGTGAAAATCTTATACAAGCAATTTATAATCGTGAACATTTAGAAGAAACATTACGTTCGGAAAATATGTTCTTAAAAGAACAATTAATTGGTGAACAACAATCCCGAGAGAATATTGAAGAAAATTTTTCACATGAAAATGAAATTCTTTCAGCAAAAGTACAAAAATTTGAATCGGAATTAATGGAAAAAAGAAAACAAAATGATGAATTACAAGTAGAATTGGATTTATTGAAAAATAATTTCAATGATTTATCATTACAATCATCAAATCGTATCAGGAAATTAGAGGAAAAAGTTAATGAATTAACAGCGATTAAGGTATGTAGTTTTTCTTGTAATTTCTTGTAAAATTTTCTTGTAAAATTTTGTAAAATTTTTGTAAATTTTTTTTAGACAAAATCCGAAACGGATTTAGCAACATTACGTGCCAAAGTACAAAGTCTGCAAATAGATCTGGATAATTCCGAGCAAGTACAACGTGATTTTGTTAAATTATCACAATCATTACAAGTACAATTGGAAAAAATTCGTCAATCAGATACTGAAGTACGATGGCAACATGAAGATGATATCAGCGAATGTAATGGTTGTAAAAAATCATTTCATTCACGAAAGGAAAAGGTTAATTGTAATTTTCAAATGAAACTTTTAACCCCGTGAATCTAATTTCAATGTTATTTTCCCCTATCAAAAACCAAACGTAGATAAATTGTTCACATTGTGGACGAATATTTTGTCAAGAATGTTGTTCAAAATCGATACGTAGTGGACCTAAAATGCGTACATTTAAAGTTTGTCAAGTATGTCATACATTATTGGATAATCAAACTGCTTGTTGGTTTGTAAATGAAGCACCACAAAGTCCAACGTGAAAAAAACTAGCGAGAAAAAAGTCAAAACAAACCTGGAACGGAAAAAAATCCAATATCAAAGCCAGCAAACTTGTGATCATTATAATTAATCAATTAACCCTTTACTTTCATCCATGGAGAGAATTGATTGATTAATTTCAGCAACAAACAAGTTTCTAAGTCAATTTTTTGTTTGTTTAAAATTTTTGTTTTTTTGTTTTCTGTTTTGCATCGAATTCGATGACTAACTGGATTTCATCGTTGTTTTGTTTTCATTGTCAAACCAAGAGAAATTGAAAAAAAATAAAATAAAATTATTACACCTTGGTGAGGTGTGGGTGGTTTTTGTTTTTTTTTTGTTTGCAAAAAAATTTTTTTAAAAGGGAAAATTTCATTCGATGAAAATGTCACCACAGTCAGTCAATCAATTATCATAGTGTGAAATGATTGATGGAAAAAAACAATCTACGTTTTTTTTTTGTTGGCTGGATTCAATTTCATTCAAATCGAAGCAATCGATCAATCAATCAATCAATTGATTGATTGATCAAATAGGAATGTGATGATGATGCATTGATATTTGAATGTGGGGTGACAAACAAAACAAAAATGAACGGAAAAAATGAACAAAAAAACAAAAACAAACGAATGTTTAGTTATTCAAACACAGACAGACATTGAATATAGAAAGATATTTTCCTTTCTCATTATCATTATCATTATAATGATGTTCGGTATCAGTATTTCTTTTTATCATCAGCAAATCAAATCAATCAATTAAATATTTCGTTTATCACCACCATTGACTTTTGTTCAATAAATCATATTGACGTTGGAAAGCATCATTTTTTTTTTTGATGGTAATTGAATTGATCAATCAGCTTGGTGATCGCATCAAATGAGCGAGAGAAAAACAAAATTTAACCCATTTAAAATCCATTTTTTTTTTCTTTTTTCAATCAAGAAAAACTTTTCTCTGTGTTGTTTTCAATTTGTTTAACACAAAATTCTTCCATTAAAGATTTTTGTGATTTTGAATTGTGAAAAAGTCAAAAATCATCATTGAAAATGTATTACGAACATCCAAATGGTTATAATATCTCTCAAATGGCCATCATTTTCAATTCCATACCACATATACAATTAACCAATGAAGGCCTGATTCCGTTAACAAATACAACATTCGATTATGGTCGTTTATCCTATCTAAATTCATTACTGATTACATTCATCATACCATTGTTTGTTTTATTGATAATATTTTTCATTTATATTTGTTATCTGTTTATATGGAGATATTTGGAATATAATTCTCGAACAACCAAATCGACAACAATATTGCAAAAACAAAAATTCAAAACACAACGACCATGTCGTTGGTTAATGATTATTTGTGGTTGTTTTACCATTGGGATTTTGATCTTTGGTTTAACCCTTATGTATCTTGGTAATTTTTTTCAAATGGTTCCCCTTTTTTGAAATTTCTAAATTTTTCTTTCGTTTTGTGTTTTTTTTATCAAGGATTCCGAGATACAGGCAATACAATTGAAGAATTTATTCAATCAAGTAATAATTCAAAACAAACATTACGTAATTGGAATGATTATCTACAAAATCAGATGAAATTAACCCTTAATTCATCAATCGAAACATCGTTATCATCGTCGCCAGAATCTACATCGCTGTCAAACAATCAACAACAATATTATCTACTGAAACGCCTTAACGAAACAATAGAATTTTATACAAATAAAACAAAAATTCAACGTATGAAATGGTCATTTCAAATATATCAATGGTTAACCTTGTCCATAATCCTTATGAATCTATTGAATATATTCCTTATGTCGGCTTATTGGTTAATATTGGCTTTGTTTGGTCATTATATTGATAACAATGATGATAATCGTTTAAAACGTTTTATATTGATTACATTTGCAATGGTTATCATACAGATTTGGATGTTTGATTCACATTTGGTCACAACGATTGCTACATCGGATTTTTGCCTCTCGGCTAAACAATCTATTGCGGATATTGTTGTAAATAAATTCCCCGAATATAATTATACAATGTCTATGGTTAGATATTATCTGGATTGTGATCTACCAAAACATCTGAATCTACAGGATCATAAAAATACCGTTGATAATTATCTTGATCAATGGGATAATTTAGAAATATTAAAATTACCAGTGGGAAAAATTCTCAAACAAAATTTTAATTTTATTGATTCTATACGTAAAAATATAAATGAAACATATCAAATTATAACTTGTGAACATATGAATGAAATTATTAACAAAGGGTTAACTGAATTTTGTCAACAACCAATCAATGGTTTTACATTATTAACATTTGGTCATTTTTTTCATTTTTTTCTTACAATTTTATTACTTTTTTTGATTACTTTTGCTTATTAAAAAATCATTATTTAAAAAAAAAATTAACCCTCCGTTAGATCATAAGGATCACAAACGAAAAAAAGTCCCAAGATTGACGATTTTCTGTTTTCAGTTTTTTGGTTTCGAGGTCAAATCAAAGTTTTGACCTCACGATCAATATGTTTATCGGATTTTTTTTTGTCGTGAACCAGATGTGTGTGTGCTTGTTTGGGTTTAAGTTCAATTGGGTCAACAGCATTGATTTGGATAGGGAGAGAAAAAAAACCTAGACGATAAACATAAGGTCAAACCGAAAAGAAAAATCTTTTCAAAAAATCATTCAAGGATATGCCATGAAAATGCAAAGAAAAGAAAAAGAAGGAAATGAATTAACAAAACCAAAACCAAAATCTGGATCATTTTTTGCCTCATGGTTATTTTTTATTCCCAAAGACTACCCACCATTATTCGAAATGGATCCAATATCAAAAACAAGCAAGCAAGCAGAGAAAATATGATCATCGATGCTTGTTCGCTTAAAAATTTTTTTCGCTTAAAAAAATCGAATCTATCGCCATCTATGGATTGAGGAAAAAAATTAAATGAATTCGAATCATATTTTCTTTCATTTATACCACTACCTTTATTGTTCTTTCTGTAACCAACCCCCAAAATCCCAAAAAAAAAAACGGGGGAAAACAATCAAAAGTAATCATTATCACACATACTAACTGATCACTATGCTACTACTACCATTATCACATTATAGCAACAACAACAACAAAATGGGAGGAGCTATGAAAAAAATAAGGAGGAGGAATAAGAGAGAGAAAAAAGGATATGAATCCTTCTCCTCCTCCTTCTCCTCTTCCTCAATTAAGATATATATCTTCCTCACCCTCCGTGTATATATCTTGTTCTTTCTTTCTTTCTTTCGTTCGTTTCTAGCTCACTAACCTCATCATCATCATCATCATCAATGTTGGGGATCTTTTTATCTTTGTTTGGTATCCTCACTTCACTATATCATTCTGTATCATTTTTTTTTGTTTCATCAATATCTTTCTAAGGATATTTTGTTCTTCCTCACAATAATAATATATTACTCACCTCATCATCATCATTATCATCATCGCTCAATTTCGTTCCACTGTTGTCGTAAAATTTTTGTTGTTGAAAAGATTCATTATTCTTTGCTTTTAGCTTTTTTTCTTCTTCTTCTTCTTTTCTTGAAAGCATAACCCATCATCATTGTTATTATCGTTCGTTTATTATCATCCATCAACCATTTGAAACATCGAAACATTTTTTTCTGGTTTGGTTTGGTTGTGTGTTGAGATTTTCTATTTATTTCTTCTTCTTTGTTTGTTTCGTCGTCTGTGTGATTGGTTTGATTGTCGTTTGTTTGATTTTTGTGTGTGTGTGTTTTTGGTTTGTTTGATGATTGTTGTTTTGAAAGAATTATCATTGAATTTTGAAAGATAATTTTATTCTGTAGTCTTCATCGATTCTTGAAGAATATTTTTTTTCTTGATTTTGGTTTTTTCTTTCCTGCTGTCTTCTTCAAAACATTCGAAAGCAAAAACATTCGAATCATCAAAACATTCGAATCATCCAAAAACATTCGAAATCCAAAAACATTCGAATCGAACATGACTGATGTATTTAGTTGGGGTGATAGTTCACCTGAAGATCCATTTGATGATGATTCATGGATGTCTGAACCGGAATCAATTTGTAATAATTGGCGTGGATGGAAAAGAACAACAACAACAAATGATAATTCATTAAATATACATCATATTGGTTATAATAATGGTTCGATGGCCTCAACATCAACAACAACAACAACAACAAATCATGGCCATCAAAATAGATATCATCATCATCATCATCTACATCTACCATCAAACAGTAGTGGTAATTATTATTATTATTATTATTTTAAAAATGATGATAATTTGTTAACAAAATTAATTTAATTTTTTTGGGGAAAATAAAATAAAATTTTTTTTAGGAATTACAACAAATAGACAAGAACAACAACAAACAACATCATCGACAACGAATGAAACAATACGTCGAACTCAATTTAATTTACCTCAACAAACATCATCATCATCATCATCATATTTAAATAATATTAATAATCGTTCTGGTGATAATAATAATAATAATAATAATGGTTCATCAACAACAACAACAAATAATCCAAATCAATTTGTTCAATCGGCTTCCGCTTCATCAACATCAAGAAATCATTTGACACCAGCATTTGCAACATCATCATCATTATCAACAAATCAATCAGAAAATTTTTTAATTAATCCAAATAATAATGATTATAATAGAATTTCAGGTTTGTAAATTTTTTGTAAAACTTTTTTTTAAAACAAGAAAAGTAGCCATCATCATTATCATCATTTTATGATGATGATGGGTGAGTCGAAATTGAAAAATTTTTCCACAGGGTCTTGTGTGTGTGTTTGGTTTGTTTCACATCATTTCATTTTCATTGTTCTATGTATCACACATATACTATACTAGCATTGCAAGCCATTGGCCATTGGCTTCGTCTACTAAGTAGACGAAGTCTAGCTTAGTCATAAGGCCAATTCCAATGCAAGCCAGCCATTTGTTTATGTAAAAATCAAAAGACCCTTATAAATAAAAAATGCAAGCCATCCATTTTTCGAGCATGCGCATTGAAATTGAAAAAAGTGTTTCGTCTCAGCCAGTCAGTGTTTTACTTTTTTATGTTATTGTGGATGGATTGGTGTTTTTTGTTTTGTTTGGTTAGCCTTGTGTGTGTGTGTGTTACCATTGGTTAGGGCCGACGACCTATTGCCTTTAACCCCTCATTCGTCATTATTTTATCATTTTTATTTCTATTTAAGAATGATGATGTGTAGGAGGAAGAGGATAATAAGAATTCATTCATTCAGTGTATACACGCTTTTTTATTTATTTAACACAAAGAGAGGGAGAGTTTTTTTTATTTTATTTTCTTCTTTCTCTGTGTCTGTGTGAATGTTGCACATCAATTTTAAGTTAAAAAATTTCTGTTCTGTTCTGTTCAATTTTACTTTTTTTTCGTTTTTTTTTTGTTTGTTTGTTTGTTTGGTTGATTCATTCGTTCATAGTTTGGGTTGGGCTAGTCCACTTATTGACTGTGAAAAAAAACTAGTCTGCCTGCTTGCCTGCCATATATTATGTAATTTTTTTTTGTTTGAAAATTCAATTGACGAAGGGGGGAGGATGGTCGGGTACCCAGCGCAATGATGCGATATTTTTGGACTTTTTTTTTGTTGGCTGGATAAAAGAAATACTTTGGTTAGTCGATCTGTGAATATAAATGAAATGTTTGTCTGAGCTATTCATCATCAAGATTGAATAGATTATTGGATCGTTGAAGGTTAAATGATGCGGCTTGTAGTTTTTATTTATTCAAGATGTTAATGATGTTTGATGATGATGATGACGATAATCATTTGTCTGTTTCTAAGGGGAGGAAACTTTCTTTCTGTTTTTCTTTTTCTTTTTTTAGTTTTAAGATATTCTTTTTTCTCAACAAAAGACCCTAAGGCTATTTCAAAGAAATTGAAAAAAATATAACCCTTTATTATCCAAATTTTCAATTTGGTTGTTTCGAATTATATCAATAATATCATGACCTGAATTGAACTTGGATTTTTTTTTCAACAATGACCAAATTTGGAAATTGATATAAATCTAGATAGATAGAGAGAGATTGTATTTGCAAAAAAAAATCAAAGAAATCCATATTTGAAAAATGAAAGAAAAATTGAAGGATTTTGTTATTGTTGACCGCATTCATGGAACACAGAAATACACACCTGGAAAACAGGTTTTATTCATTTATTATGAAACATTTTGATTATGAAATTTTGAAATTTGAATTTTGATTTTTGATTTTCTTGTTTACAAAACAGGAATCGATCAACAACAAATACCACCATGCTGTATGATGGGCATAAATATACCACCAACATTAACAGAATTAGCAGCACGTTCAGTTGCATATCATATATCATTTGAAATTGTTGAACGTGTTTGTAGTCCATTACCTGAACAATTACAATTACGTATTGCATATTGGAGTTTTCCCGATAATGAAGAAGATATACGATTATATTCTTGTTTAGCTAATGGTTCGGCTGATGAATTTCAAAAAGGTGAAACAATGTATCGTTTTGGTTCGGTACATTGTGTTTTACAAATTGGTTAGTCTTGAAAAAAAATTGATTTTTTTTTTGTTGTTTTAAATTAAAAATTAATTTGAAATTATTTTTTTTCAGGTTTTCATCTTAGTGCTACAGTTTTAACATCAACAAAACCATGTACAGTTGCTGTTACATTTGATCGTTGTCGTATTACATCATGTAATTGTACATGTACATCACAATCATCATGGTGTTCACATGTTGTTGCTGTTTGTCTTTATCGTATTTATCAGGTAAATAACAAACAAAAAAGGTCATAGGTTTTAAGGTATTAATATTAATATTGTTTTCGGTTTTTATATAATTTTAGCCAAATAAAGTAAGATTACGTGCACCAGTTTCCGAATCATTAACACGTTTATCACGTGATCAATTACAAAAATTTGCTCAGTATCTAATATCAAAATCTCCACAATCGATTCTTCCTATTGCTCAAAGTTTATTGGATGATTTATTATTGAATGAAAATAGTAATATTAATAAAGTACGTGGTGCACCTGATCCAACTGCTGGTGCACCAGCAAATGAACAAACTAAATGGTGTTTAGATGAATTTCAATTACATGAAAATATACGAAAAATTGTTATAAAACTTTGTATACCATCACCAATGGTTTATTCGGATGTAAATTATTTATCATCAACAGCACCACCTGCTGCATCCGAATGGTCATCATTATTACGACCATTACGTGGACGTGAACCAGAAGGTCTTTGGAATCTTTTGTCTATTGTAAGAGAAATGTTACGTCGTCATGATCGTAATGCTATACCATTATTACGAATTTTAACTGAAGAATTATTAAGCTGTGATCAAATATTGATTTGGTGGTTTAGTACTAATGTTTCATTAAATCGTGGTTGTCCTCCAAATAGTTTTTCCAACAATAACAATCATCATAATGGTGGTGGTGGTACAAATCATAATCATAATGGAGGTGGTAATGGTAATTCAAATTCAAACAATAATAATAATAATCGTTCAATGCATTCAAATATTTATGCATCACAACATGCTTGTTGTTCATTATGTGATGAAATTGTTGTATTATGGCGTTTAATAGCATTAAATCCAGCACATTCATTTTTAGATACACATACATTATATGTACAATTGAAAGAATATCATTTAAAAACATTATCAGTTATTTATCGTTTAAAACCATCTAGTGCTATTTGTTATAGTAATCCTTATCATTTTAATCGTTCATCATTTCGTTCATTATCATCATCTACAAATACAACAACAACAAATAATAATAATTTAAATTCAGAAAAATTCAATGATTTAACAATATTTTCTGGCTTTAAACCGGCTATGATTAGTTGTTTAATTAATTGGGATAATTATCCAATACCTGGTATTACTAATCAGAAAAAAATACATTGTTATTATGATCCATATTTACATGGATTACATGGTCAATTAAATTCAACAACAATTAATCATTCAATAACAAGTACATTACATTTTAATGATTCAATGATTGGTAGTTCATGGCCAACAACAACATCTAATGATAATAATAATAATAATGGTAAATCTCCATCAACATTGAATTGTCAACAACAACAAAATCATCAATCAGATCAATTTAGTGATACAAATAGTAGTGGTGGCGGTGGTGGTGGTGGTGATAATCGAAAATCAAGAAAAACAAATAAAAATAGAAAATCCCATCAGCAACAAAAACAACAACAAAAAGATAAAGATTGTGAAGAATCAGATGATTCTGGTAATCAAGATATTTGTTGGGAAAGATATTCAGTTGCAAGTAGTGTTGATAATGATAATGATGATGGTGATAAATTAGATGAACCAATACCTGGACCATCAGGTTTACAGCAACAACAACAACAACAACAACATTCATCAAATGATCAAGAACAACAACAAGCTGAAGAATCGAATGATAATAATATTGTTCAACAACAAAAACAAATTTCAAATAATAATGATGATGATTATCAAATTTATATTTATAATAATAATAATAATAATAAAGATGATAATCATCAACAAGAAATATGTCAAAATTCATCAATAGATGATTATGAATGGGATCCAATATTATTACAAGCAACAAAAATAAAATCAATAAATGATTCATTTGAAATATTATTTGCAAGAGCTGAAGCATTATATGCACATGGTTATGTTGATGAAGCATGTCGTTTATCAAAATGTTTAGCTAAAGAATTATTAGCTAATCCACCTGATTTAAAATTAGATTTAAATAATCAAAATCAAAATGGTGAACTAAATCAATCAACAACAACAACAGCAAATAATCAATCAGGAAGAAATCATACAAAACGTATGAATCGTATACGATTTAATCCAATTTTACATCAAATATCATTATTATCATCATCAACATTATCAAAAGCAGCATTTTTATGTCAAGTTTTATCGGAAAATCAAGAAACACATTTATTAGCATTTCAAATTGGTTTGTTTGGTTTAGAATTAATTCGACCACCAGCATCAACAAAAGCATTAGAAGTAAAATTAGCACATCAAGAACAAGAATTAGTAAATTTATTGAAAAAAATTCCATTATGTTCAAATGCATTAAATGTTTTACGTGAAAAAGCTGAACAATTACGTGATGGTCGTTTAACAACACGTGGTGAAGCATTATTACCATTATCATTAGCTAGTTATTTATTTGATGCATTTCTTTCATCAAATCAAATTATACCTGGACAATATCGTTTACCAACGGATGAACGATTATTATTTGATGCAACTGTTGCTGCGATTGGTTTGAAAGCAAAAGTTTCGGAAGCTGAACATCCATTACTTTGTGAAGGAACTAGAAGACAACGTGGTGATTTAGCATTACAATTATTAGTACATTATAAAGATAATAAACAACGTTTAGATTTAATAATGGAAAAATTATTAGATCTTGAAATACATCCAATTTTTAATAGTAGTAAAAAACAACAACAACAACAATCTTTGAATAATGTAAATTCAAAATCTACATCATCATCATCGAATGTTCAAAAATCAACCATAGAATCAACAGCAACGATTATTGATCCTATACCATCATCATCATCTACAAAAGATTCAACACCGAAACAAACTACCTCAAAAATCATAACTGAAAATGATGATAATAATAATGATGATCAACAACAACAACAATCATCGTCAACCGAATGGAATATGGTTGATGAATTTGAAAAATTTAATATAAAATCAACTCCAACTGCAAAACCAAATGATTGTAGTACAACATCATCGGATAATAATTCACCAACAATAATACGAAGAACATTATTTCATAAATCAAATTCTGGTTCTGATAGTAGTAGTAGTAGTAGTAGTGGTAGTGGAAATGAAACAAGTAGTAGTCAAACAAGTGAAACAAGTAGTAATGATTCTTTATCAACAAATTCTGATTGTAAAAAATCTAATAATAATCCGAATCAAATCAATAATTCTAATGATGATAATACAAAAATTACCATTACTGCTACTGATGGTAATAATGATGATGATAATTCAAAATGTTCTTCAATCGATCCAAAAGCTGGACCATCATCATCATCATCATCAAAAAAGATTTTGGATTCAAATTCTTCTGGTGGTGGTTCATCGATTCTTGTAACTCCTGGTCCTACATTATCAACATCATCATCATCGCAACCATCAACAACAACACCATCAACTTGTTCACAACAGCCAACAACATATCAATTATCATCATCAGGTTCTCAACAACAACAACAACAATATCATCATTTATCAACAACGGCAGGACCATCATCATCCACAACAAATGGTTTACAATCATTAAAACCATTACGTTATAAAGGTAAACGTCATTATCCAATAATACCAAATCAACCATCAGAAGCATCAGCACATTTTATGTTTGAATTAGCTAAAACATTATTAGCTAAAGCTGGTGGTAATAATACAACAGTATTATTTACACAACCACCATCATCACAAAATTGTCGTTCACCACATCGTTTATTACATATGTGTGCATTTCAAATTGGTTTATATGCACTTGGATTACATAATGCTGTTTCACCAAATTGGTTATCAAGAACTTATTCATCACATGTATCATGGATAACATGTCAAGCAATGGAAATTGGTCATCAAGCTATTGAATTTTTAATCGATACATGGGAAGGACATTTAACACCATCGGAAGTAGCATCATTAGCTGATCGTGCATCACGTTCACAAGAATCATTAATGATAAAAGCAGCAGGTGAATTAGCATTATCATGTTTACCACATGCACATGCATTAACACCAAGTGAAATTCAACGTGCATTAATACAATGTAAAGAACAAAATAAACAAATGCTTGAACGTGCTATTTTATCTGTTGAACAAGCTGCACAAGGTGGTGGTGTTTATCCAGAAGTATTATTTGATGTTGCAAGAAAATGGTTTCAATTATATATTGATGAAAAAGCTATTCAAATTTTTAAAACTAAACAAGAAATGAATATTAATAATAACGATACAAATAATAATGATAATAATGGTGATAATAATAATGATGATGTAGATGATGAATATTGTACATTAGATAATAATGATCTACAATCATCATCATCAATTAATTTACAAACATCAACAACAACAACAACGACAAACACAAATTTTGATCCATCAAGACCGGATATTTTACATATTTGTAAAGCAAAACAAGAATTTTTTGATTCTATTGATCTATATAAACAAAGACGTGATTTATTTAGAATTCCTGAACCAGAAAATATTATGTCATCTCCTTCAAGATATTATCCTATGCATTATTATCATTTTAATAATAATAATAATAATAATCCAATGATTGATCAATCTGCTTATTATTATCATAATCATAATCATCATCATCATCATTATCAATCATCACCGGCAACATCATTATTTCCAAATGGACAGAATATTTATTCATCTATTCCGGATATGAATAATCCATATTTATTTTATAATCCTTCTCAACAACAACAACAACTTAATAATAATAATAATGTTCAACAATCTAATCCGATGGCTAATTATTATCAACCAAATCCAGCTATTTTATATGATGCACAACGTGGTTATCATCAAAATCCATCTTCATCATCAACATATCAAACAACATTAATTGGTCAAAATTATAATCCAATACAACAACAACAACAATGTAATAATAATAACAACAATCGTGCTCAATATTATCCATTATTATCGAATACACCATTACTTTCATCACCGATTGTTGTTAATTCTTCTTCATCATCTTCTTCTTCTTCGGGATTGACTTCAATTAATCCGGTTAATAATGGTACAAATCAAGGATCTTCTAATATTGGTAGTAATGGTATTAATGTTGGTGTTGGATCATCATCAATGTTTCAATCAAATGGAAATTATTTCTATCCAATTGCTAATAATTCACAACAACAACAACAACAACAGCCTTTGCCATTCAATATACCACCACCACCACCACCATCATTACATTACATTACTCCAGCTGGTAATATTTTACCATATCCATTTATATCATCATTTACTCCAATACAAAGATTTATGCCACCAAATTTAATGGCTTCACAAGAAAATATGCGACAAAATTTTAAAGTTTTTGTTGATCATCTGGCTCAATATCAGCCATCATCATCGTCATCATCATCATCATCATCAACCAACACTAACACTAATACTAACATTACAAATGGTAATACATCTTCTAATCAAATGAATGGAATTCCGATTCATAATCATTCAAATCATCATCATCATCATCATCATTCAGTTGGTCAACAACAACAACAACAACAAACAAATAATTTATGTCCAAAAGAATTAACTTATTTACATGCAGCATATCGTGTCGGTATGTTAGCAATGGAAGCATTAGCACGTCGTGTTAATGATGATAGACCACAAGCAAAATATGCTCGTAATCCATCTTATGGTGAAGATGTTCGATGGCTTTTGTCGATTGCTAAAAAACTTGGTATGTATTTATTTGTAATCAGTATTGTGTAACTAAATTTCATTTATTTTTTTTATAGGTACTCAATATGTTCAAGAATATTGTCTATGTGCATTATCAGCAATTTCATCACCATTCGTATTGAAAGATATTATATTCGATTCTAATATTTGGATTTATGGAAATCAATACAATAATACAGCCTATGTACATACAATACGATCACATATAATAACACCGCTTATACATAAATGTCAAATGATGTAAGTTTTTTGTTTAAAGAAAATTGTTCCAAAAAAATATTTAAAATATATTATTTTCTTTTTCTTTTCATAAATAGGTTTACATCGGGTATCTATTTTCAATTAATGAATATTGCATCAAGTGATTATGATGAATTTATTAGTACATTACGTACAGCACGATCAGTTTTTCAATTAATACCTGGTGGTAATTTACAATTTAATGATCTTTTACATAAATTAAAACGAACAAAAAGTTGTAAAAAAGAATTATGGCAACAGATTACCAAAGCATTGTTAATAACATGATTGATATAAAAACATATAATAATTTCAGATTGTAATTCAGATTTGTAATTAATTTTTTTTCGCGAGTTTTTCGAAAAAAAACTCTTATAGGAAACTCTTATGATATTATATTCGTGATACAATTCATTACAAATACAAAACTTAATATAAAATAGATGAATAGAATTCAATTCAATTTAGCTTTTCTTTTTTGAATCAATGAAATTAACCACGGAAAACCATTTACCATTTACCATTATCATTTGAATCATAATTCGTGATATATTTATTAATTTTTTAAAAGAAAAAAACAATGATTCAATTGAACAACAGCTTGAGTAATATGAAAAAGATATTCTTATTACTAGCTAGGTAGAATTTAGAATGAATTTTTTTTTAATTTAAATCAATTTGAACATCATTATCATCATTATCTAATACGAAATATGATAGAATTATAATGATGAAATTTAATCAAATGAATCAATATTTTAGCCTATTTTTTTTAGTTACCAAAAAAAACAAATAATTTTTCAATCATCAAAATTTAGCCTGCTCTTATCTCATCAAATCAATTTTATTTATTTAATTTCATTTTTGTATAATAATAATAACAAAACAGAAAAAAAATGTCGACTGAAATTTTTTTTTTTTTAAAGGTGATATATAATATGATTTTCAATATGATAACAACAACAACAACAACAAATGTAAAAATAATGATTTTAATTTCACAATTTCAAAAAAATAATAAACAGCATTACAAATTACATACACAATCTCAATACATTTTTATTTGCAGTAATTAAAATTATAAAACAAAAAAAAATTAAAAATTAAAAATTAAAAAAATGAAAATAAAGATTCTATCAACTTTTAAACCCTATTGGCTTTTCTCTCATCTGATTTTTAAGATTTTTTTTTGTTTTGAAATTTTTGTGGAATCAACCTGTTGATCACCGAAAAAGATGGTTATATTAGATTCCAATCGATCGACGGTGATTCGATGACCATTTTGTTTGTTTGTTTGTTTTTCCTGGTTTCAATTTCATTCGGAATAAATTATAACCACGTACAAGAAAAAAATAAAATATTCAGTTGATCGGTGGATATTTTTGGTGAATATGTCCACCAATAATGTTCACTATTATATCATTTCGTTATTTGGATTTTTTTTTGGGTCTAAATTTTGATTCCTTTTCTTTGATCAATATTATTATTTCTTGTTTTTCTATTATCATTTTGATTGATTGTTTTCGTTGTTGATGGTAATGATGGAGCATCCGATTGTAAACGATCGATATCAAATTTTTCCATTGATAATAATGGTTTACGTTTACTATCATTGATTCGTTTTTTTGTTGTTGTTGTTTCTGAAATTGTTGATCCTGCTGCAGCAGCAGCAGAAGCAGCAGCTGTAGCAATGGATGCTGTATCTAAATTTGATGATGATGATGTTGGAATATTGGCTGGTGATATTGGTGAATTACCATCTCTGGTTACTTCACAAACACAACATGATGGTGCGAAAAAATTTTCACTCGATATCGATTGACCAGATTCATCTAATGATAATAATTTTTTCTTTATATATTTTTGTCGACATCTGGATACAAAACCAAATGATAATGATATTTGATTTGAACATGGTGAATTTGGTGTCCTGAATATAGTAAAAATTAAATTAAGAAAAAGTTTATCCGAAAATTAAAACAAAAAACAAAACTTACATGCAAACTTCAACTTTAATTGCCTGTCTTAAACGACGATCACGATCAGCAATATTAACAACATATTTCCATTGACGACGATCATTTAATGCTGCTTTTGGTTCTAATAATATTGTACGTGATGGACATAATGGTTCAATTGAAATGGATGTTTCATCTGCTTGTCGTTTATAACGTGAATGACCACCATTATGACCATTATGATTTTGATTACCACCATTCGGATTTTGATGATTATTATAATGATTATTTGAAAAAGATTGATGATGATTATGATCACCATTATGAGAATACATTGATTTTATTGAATTATGATTGTTATTGTTCGTATCGATTGTTCCGGAATTTGAATTAATCGATTGTATCGTACCATCACCACCATTGATTGGATTATTATTATTATTATTATTGTGGTTATTATTAATCATTGAATATCTTTGATGATTCGATGATGGTATTATATTACGAATATATTTCCAATCTAAATTATGATAATGTTGTACGATTGATGGATGTTGTGGTTGTTCATGATTTATGATAATCGAATTCATACGATATCGATATGGCTGTTGTTGTCTTTGTTGTTGCTGGTATTGATGACCAGGTGAAAGTGGTGGATGTTGTGGTTGCGTTTGTTGATTATGATAATTATTATATGGCTCAGAATATGGATATTTTGTATAAATATCACCATATTGTTCACCAAAATCATCATCAAAATATGGTTCACTATCATTTTCACTTTCATCAATAAATTCTGATGAAATATTAAAACGTTTTGCTTTGGCCATTTTTATTAATAAAAATACTTCATCCGATGGATAATAAGGAACTTTTGAACATACAGTACGACCAGTTTCTGGACAATATTGTGGTTGTGGTTGATAATTTGGTGGTGATGGTGGCGGTTGATAATAACTTTGCTGATATGGTCCATATTGTCTTTCAATATTTAATGATTGTTGTTGTTGCTGTTGATGAACAGGTAATGTTATTGAATATGATGTAAATGTTGATGATAATGGATATGAATTATGTATTATATTCGATGATGATCTAGGTGATGATAATGGTGATCTTGATGGATGATGATGATAATACCTTGCTAAACCATGACGATATGGTAATGATGATGATGATGATGATGATGTAATTGATTGACAATCAATATAATTAATGAATATCAATAAAATTATCGATGATAATAATTTCCATATTTGTAATGATGATGATGATGATGATGGCAATGATTTGATTTTGAATATCAATGATGAGAATAATGTTTTTGGAGATGATGATGATGACAATGATTTCATGGTGACTAAAATGATGAAAAATTTAATGATAGTTAATGGTAATGTTGATGATCGATAACCTTGATCTTTTAATTTTGTTGTTGTTGTTGTTATCATTAATAATAATCTATGTTGATTGATTAATAAATTGTTTGATTTCATTTTGATTTCTGATTTTTTTGATTTTTTAATTGATTAAATCAAAAAAAAATGACCACCAACAAACAAATTTTCAATGGCTTCTGGCTTTGTTTTCGTTGTTTTTCCTGTATACAGTGAGAGAGAGAGAAAAGTCAATCAATCAATCGATCGATCGATTGATTGAAAAACAAACGACTTTTTGTTTTGGTTTTTTGGTCAGGGTTTGAAAGAAATGAATATCGCTTAATGATTTGAACAAAACAAACAAGCAAATCATGTTTTTTACTGATGATGATTGTTGATTTTTTTCTATTCAATCAATTTCGTTGGGGAAAAAAAAGCCATCAAAGTAAAAAAATACTTTCAAAATTCGATTATCCCATATGAATATATTTTAATTGAAAACAACAAAACAAAAAAAAAATCATTAAAAAAAACACACAGGGAAACGTTGAAGGAAGGAAGCAAAGAAGAAGAAACGACAAAATGTTTTGCCAAGTGCAAAAAAAAAAGAATCTGTCAATTTCAATTTCCACCATTGACTGTCTTTTGATTTAATTTAATTTGAATTATCAATGGATGATGATGATGATATCAGCAAAACAACACCAACACATTTTTCATTTTCAACAAGTTGAATTCGCGAATTGACACCCAAACAAAATGTTTTTTTAAAAAAACAAAACAAACACACACACACACACACCCAGGATATGACGTTTGTTTTGCAGGTGAAATAACGACACCAACCTATTTATTCTCTCTCTCTCTCTCCTATAATGTCCACAACCAAGATACAAATTTTTTTTTTGCACTGAAATGAATGAATCATTGATGATGATTAAGCTGATGATTGGGTGGATGGATGGTTGAAATAAATGGACAAGAAACATTTAGTGAAAACTTTTTTTTTTGGAGAAACAAAAAAAAATAATGCCGAGGCGTTTTATCGATGATAATCAACCACCATATCACCAAACAAAAACGGATTTAAAATTTTCAATTCAATGGAATTTAACGAAATGAAAAAAACGAAAAAAGTGAAAAAAAAGATTTGCCATTGATTTGAGCGAGATCGAGCGAGAAAATGAAAAAAAAAATTCACATCATAAGACTCACACTATAGTGGATTGGAACAGAAACAGAAAAAAAAATGAAGATCAAGATCTTTCAATGTTGTTTTGCACGAGTTTTTTTTTTCATTTGTTTGTTCGTCATCAACATGTCTCTTCATCATGTTCTCAATGATTATGGTCGACAACGAAGACGGCTACGACGACGACGATGACTGCGATGGTCATCATTGGATGTAAAAAAAAAGAGATAAATAAGTTCAACAGGCGTCCAATACTTTTTTTTTGCTAAAATTCAGTTTCGCTTTGCTTTGTTTTTTTGGGAAAAAATTTGTTGCAATCATTGATGATCCAGGACAGGACAAGTGTTAACGTTTTTTTTTTGGGAGCCAAAAAACAAAGAAGGAAAAATAAAGAAGAAGAAGAAGAAGAAGGAAAAACCAATTCATTTAGTTTAGTTTTGTTCAAAAACAAACAACAAGCCGCATCAATCAAATCAAATAAAAAGAGAATGGTGATGGTTTTTTATTAATTTCTTGGGACTTTTTTTTACATCATCGACAACCGCGACGACACCGTTTTTTTTCATTTTGACACATCTTTTTCTTGTGAGAGAGAAAAACATTACACGATTAAAAACATCCCAAAGCAAAGCAAACAAAAATCACGGTAAATTTTTTTCATTTTGATTTTCAATAAAGGAAAAACAATAGGAAATGAAATTGGGATTTTTAAATTTGAAAAAAATTGAAAATCAGGAACAAACAGTGTTAAAAAAAGTGAGATGGTTAATGAAGAAAAAAGGGAGGAAAGGAAAATCAATTAAACTTAACACAAACAAGATTGATTGATTAATTGATTAAAATCTGTAACTGGGGGAGGGGGAAAAACAAAAAGATTTAAATAAAATTAACATTTTTGTTTTACTTGCTTTGCTTTAAATCAAGATCAAAATTAAAGTAAAGGTTATGTAAAGGAATGTAAAGGTTGTACTATAATATTTTTTTTTTGACAATAATGCTGTTGTTGTTCAATCAATATGAAATCTTTCAAATGGTGGTTGATGGTTTAGTAGTTTCTGAATCTGAAGATTTGAAAGATTAAATGGCAAATTTTCTTGTAAATGTTTTTTTTTTCAATTTTGATGAATGTTTTGTTTGTTTGTTTGTTCAGATAGATCAAATGGATGAATGGATTTATACGGATGGCTTTTTTTTGTGGATTGTATCTTTATGATGTTTTGTTTTATCATCGGTGGTCATCATCATCATATTCAAATAATCTTTTTTTTTCTTCTGATTTTAATCGATTTTTATGTGCCTTTTAACGAAAAAATCTTTGAGGCGACCAAGGAAGTTGTTGCTGATGGTGGTGGTGGTGGTGGGAAAATAAAACCATCACCAATGATAAATTATCATGTCGTTTGATGGTGGTGACCATTGTATGATCGCTTTGATCGATTTTTGTTCGTAAATAAAAAAAAATGTCAACATTTCATTTTCTTAGTTTCTTTCACATTTTTTTCCTTGTTTATTTAGATTTGATGATGATTATAATGAAATAAACAATGAAAGATATCTTTGAATGAGGATAATAATAATTTTTTGACCGTGAGAAAAACAAAACAGAAAATAAAATCCACAATCGATTATCGTTGAAACAATTGTCATTTGGTGTCAATAATTAGGAAAAAATGATAATAAAATTAATCGATTAATATGAAAAAATCTTCTTTGTCGATATCATTCATTCAATGGTGATTTTTGTTTCCATTATTCAACCAAGGTTTTGGTTTGGCGTTTCACGGCAAAAGATGTTTCGATCCAAAAGACAAAAATCTAACGAAAAAACAAAAAAAAATCGATTAATTTATTTTTTTTTTGGAATTAATGAAGGGATTTTAAAAAACATAAAAATAATAATAATAATCTTTTATCACGATTTATGGCCAGACAATAATTTTAGCTCTTTCTTTTTTTTCAAATAATAATGATAATGATAATGAAAAACATTTGATAACATTACAAATTTCGTTGACTTTGTTGTTTTTTTTAATTCATTCATTCATTCGATAAAACAACAAATAAATAATCTTTTCAACACTTTTTTTGAAAGCAGAAAATTTTTCAATTTTCGTTCGGTACAAAACATATATGAGGCTAAATAATGATAATTAGATGAGAATTTTCAAAAACAAAAAACGTTCGATTTCGTAACATTCGAATGTTTGCCATTCGAATGTTACGACGATGAAAAAAATGGGCCATAATTTTGTGAGGAAATTTTTTTTTTGTGTGTGAAAATCATCCAATTAATTGTTTCCATTATTTACAATTCACACGTTTGCTTGATTTTTTTTGTTTTTAATTTTGTTCAAACAAAATAAAATTTTATGTAATGTGGTTATCTGAAAAAAAATATAGATCAAATTTGAAGAAAAATAAAAATTACAACGTTACATCATTTATGAATAAATAATTTTCGAACGTTCGAAATATAAACATCACATGTTTTTTGTTGAAAACTTGAAAAAATCGTTTGTTTTTTCCTGATTTAATTCAGTTTTTCTTCGCTGATTAGATTCAGTTTTCACAAAAAAAAGAAAAAAAAAATTCATCCAATAAATTATGTCTGTTATTAAATTGTTAAACAATTGTTGTTTGAATGAAATATTAGCAAACAATGGCCGTAGACAAGGACAAGGTAAATTTTTGATTCTTATTAATGATTGATATTTTATGATAATCATTGATGATCATTATTTCTTTGTTTGGAATTTCATTATCGATTTCATTTCAATAGTGTTAATGAATTGGTCACAATTACGTTATCGTCGTTCGGTTGCATTTCGTGAATATCGTCAACCTCATTTTAAGCAAAAACTTCTGTTATCAATTTGTGAACCTGTTTTTGCACGACAAACTCAATTACCAACATCAGAAAAATGTGGTAATTTACGTGAAAAACCATTGGTTGTAGATCATCCATATGATCAATTACTTGCTGCTGATATGTCGGAAGAATTAAAACAATCCAAATTAGTTTGTTTATTTCATCAAAATCAAATGACCCGACCAGATAAACGATTATTATCCAATGAATTTGAACATGAAGGAATGTTTCTTCGATATTATAATCGTGATATTGCTCGAATATGTTTACAAAATACACCATATCAACCATTGCTTCATTTTGCAATCGGTTATCCTTTTACCATATTATTTGCTCCAAATTTGGAAAAAATTGATCAAATTTTTAAAATTATACGTAAATATCCACAAGTAATTTTATTAGGTTCATTGGTTGAACATCGTCGTTTAATTACTAATAACCAGTTGAAAGAATTAGCACAATTGGGTAATAATCTGGATCAACAACGTTCAATTTTATCGAATACATTAATGCTTGGACAACAGCAATTTATTTCAACATTAACACATCATTCAAGTCAATTGAAACAATTATTAAATAGTCATCATCAACAGTTACAGGAAAACCATGACAACAACAACAACAAATCAACGGAAAAACAAAATGATTCTTCGTAAACAAGATTTTTTCTTCATTTTAAAATCTTTTACTTTATATTTTGGAAAACAAAAACAAAACAAAAAATCTTCTTATAACTAATGTAATAACAATGATTAAAAAAAATGTTTTTTTTAAAAGAGTTTTTTGAGTATTTTAATCAGCAAAGAAAAAATTCAAATGAAAAACCTGGAGCAAGAATTGATGGAAGAAAAAAGGAAGAAGTGTCACCTATATTGATCCATTTGACTATTTATTTTTTTGTTGAATGTTGATCAAATCGAATGTGTATCCAATTGTTGCATTGATGTTAAAATAGTTTCATTCTGTTTTGAGTGAGTGGTGGGGAAATGGGTTAAATTATTGAAAAATATCAAATTAGAAAAGCATATTTTGTGTATTTACCTTCAAACAAATATCTTTAAATTCATCAAACGTAACATAACCGACAGAATTTTCATCCAATTTTGCGAAAACACGTCGTGCATGTTCCTCATACGTTTTATAATTATGTGTTGGTGTTACATGAAATCCAAGCAATGCATAAATAGCAACGGATATTTTGAATACTTCATCATATGTGATACGGTCTGAAAAATTGGATCGAAAAAAATTGAAATTTTCAGAAACAAAGAAACAAAGTATTCTTCGTCGAAAACTTACCATCATGATTAATATCATACAAAGTAAATATCCATTTAATTTTATCCATTAATGTACCACGACAAAGATTGGATAATGCTTTTGCATATTCGAAAAATGTTATCGGTTCATTTGTGGCTAATTCATTGGCAAACATTGCCTGATAAACATAACGTGCATAGATTGATGCATCGCCTTTGATTTAAAAGATCAAAAATCAAAAATCAAGAATCAAACATCAAAAGTCAAACATCAAAGATCAAAAGTCAAAAATCAAAGATAAACATTACCTGCTTGTGGAAAAAATTGTGAATAAATATCACGAAAAATATATTCATTAAGAATACCTTCTGGACATGATAATTTCCAACCCCAATATAATAATTTTATTTCTTTCCGTGAAAATGATGTTTCCCTACACAGAACATCAATTTCTTGTTGTCGACGATAAATGAATTCCTGTCCGCCACATATTTCATTGATCATTTGTTCAAGTTCATCAACTTTTTCCTCTGCCAAAATCAATTGAATCAGTCGATCAATCAATCAGAAATCAATCAATCAAAAACAGAATTTACCTTTTTCAAATGCTTTATGTATCAGATCGATAAAACGATATGATAGATATTGTAATGGATTTGTTTTGAAATTTATCTGTTGATGTTGATGGTGGTGGCCAATTTGAACCGATGATGCCGAATATGTTGATGATGATCGTCGAATCTTTGTGGATGCCGACGATTCATCCGGATGATCTTTTCCTGTTGTGGACATTATCTTATTTTGATCACCATCTTGGTTTGGATTAGTCGGGGTTGATGATTTTTGTTGTCTATATTTTTGTCGTAAAAATTGTTGTTGATGTTGTTGAAATATACTACGATGATATAATGATGATATTGAACGACGTGGTGATGCCGATGATGATAATGCAAATGTACTTGTATTCATGGTTTGGCTTGTTTTATTTTATTTTATATTCATTAACACTAATGTAATACGTTGGAGTGTTTTGGCGTTTCCGTTAGTTCAGGCGTCACATTTACAGCAATAATTCAGGCATCCGCATTAAAAAAAAGTGATGAAAAAAAGTAGAGTTTTCGATTTGCGCATGAAATTTTGCTGATAAGAGAAAAAAAAATTGCTGAAAATTAACTTTGGTGAATCTAGAATATCATTTTTTTTGGTGGGGGGGGGGTTAATGTTTTTGGGAAAAAAAAGCAAAATTATCTTTGGCATCATATCATATCGCAGGATTCCACTATTATTACAAACAAACACACAGAAAAAAATCTAATCAAGCGTATTATTCAAGCAAGAAAAAAAGTTGATTTGAATTGTGAAATGTGAAAAGTCTGAAATCAAATTTGTTTGAAATGAAAAACTTGAGAAATGAAAATTAAATCAAATGGAATAATGGGAAGCGAAAGAGAGAGAGAGAGAGAGAGAGAGAGAGAGAGGGAAAAATAACAGCAGAATATTCTTGATTTGAAATTTTTTTTTGATTTGTAATTTAACAAATGGAAATTCAACTTTTTTTTTGAATAAATTAGATTTTTTTTCATTCAAATCAAAATTAAGAATCTTGCGTTTTTTTTTTGTTTTTTTGATTCTTTGATTCTGTGATGGGTGAGAGAATAGGGTTAATAGAGGGGGAGTGAAGAGGGGAATTTGAAAGTTAAGAAGAAATCGATTTTTTCATTTTTGCTTCAAAAAGAATTTCTTTCTTTCATAAAGAATCGATTTTTCACTGTTTATCTTTTTCATCGTTCAATACCGACTTAACCCTCAATGACAAAAAGAAATGAAAATGAAAAATTTTCATTTTGACAAAAGTTCTGATAAGAAAAACTAAGCAAAACAAAAACAAACCTCATTTCATTTCGATTCTTTACACTTGATGATGATGATGATGGCCAAACTTTTTCTTTCTTGCTTTCAGTTATTAATTTTCTAATCGATAATGTTTATTATTGATCAAGGTTACTTACAAAGTGTTAATATTTATTTTTAATAAAAAAAACGTTATTAACAAAAAAAAAAATTAACTCGTCGTTATCATCATCGTTATTTTTTTCTGGTTGATCGGATTCACTTTACTCAAATTCACTCATAGATAAAACAAACAAACAAACAAAAAACCAGCCAGCCAAACAAACAAAATTCTGGTCCAGAAAAAATCACTCTCTCTCTCTCTCTCCATACACAGGAGAAAAAAATTGTATAGAAATCTACAAAGTGCACCAATTTTCATTTGGGTAAATAGAAAAAACCGAAAGATTCCTGGATCCAGAATCCAAAATAAAAAGAAAGAATTTCTCAATTATATAGATGTGTGTTTGTTGGTCCAAACACATCTCTCATTTTTTGAAACATTCGTTTCGGTATTTCTAGGTTTCTTCTGGTTTTTTTTCCTGGTTTCTTTTCAAATTTTCTATATATAGCAACTGAATGAATGAACTGTTGATGCGCCAAACAAGATTCGAACAGGAAAAAAAATTTTTTATTAATTTCAAAAAATTTTTCAAAGGAAAAAAAGAGGGGTTAAAAGAAAGGAAATTTTTATCGTAAAAGAAAAGCGTTCTGCTGTGACGATTTCCTCGAAATGCTTTACATTTTTTTTTTTTTGCACCAAGACGACAAACATTAACCACCACCACCAACAAACCGTTTTATCAAGGTTTTCGCTTTATCAACAACAACAAAAAAGTTACTGAATTGCTTCTGCACCCCATATTCAAATCGATCGATTGATTGATGGATGAAAGATACCATCACCACCACCATCACCAATTTGTACCTAAACACAAAACGAAAATTCATTCATTCAACAAAACGACAGACGACAAGATTCCAACATTTTGAAAAAATAAATCATGGAACAACAGAAAAATTCATCATCCAAAATGAAAATGACCCGTACTACATCCAATCGTTTTATAAGCGTATTATTAATTTTTTATTATTTAATAAAAAATTTTCTATTATTATTTATACCGATACGATTGTTGAAACAACCAAAAAATATTCATGATAAATTAATATTAATAACTGGTGGTGGTAATGGTATTGGTCAATTAATGACATTAAAATTATTAAAACTTGGTGCAAAAGTTATTGTATGGGATATTGATCCATTGGCATTAGATCGTACCAGAAAATTGGCTAAAGGTTATGATAAAAAATTATTTTGCTATCAAATTGACTTGTGTCAAAAAGATATGATAAAAAAAATGGCCAAACAAATTGAAAATGATCTTGGTAATGGTACCCGTGTAGATATTCTTATCAATAATGCCGGTATTGTTGTTGGTAAAAATATTCTCGATCTAAGTGATGATGAAATTCAACGTACAATGATGGTCAATACGATTTCACATTTTTTTACTATACGTACATTTTTACCGGGTATGATTGAACAAAAATCTGGTCATATTGTTACAATTTCATCGGTTGCAGGTGATATTGGTGCAGGTTCATTAACAGATTATTGTACATCAAAATTTGCTGCAACCGGTCTAACCGAATCATTAGAATTTGAATTAGCTAAAGCTAATCTTGATAAACAGATTAAAATTTCTGTTGTAAAACCATGGGTAATAACAACCGGTATGTTTGATGGACTTGATTCCGGTATTTTTCCACCATTAAAACCAGAAACAGTAGCTGAAAAAATTGTTGAAGGAATTCTTTTTGAACAATCAGTTATAGTTATACCATGGTATTTTAAATTTATAATAATATTATGGAAAATTCTTCCACATGATTGTTTAGTTCATGTTTATAATTTGGTTGGTGCTTTTGAATCTATGGATCATTTTGTTGGAAGAAAATAAAACAAAAAACGAAAAATTAAAAACAATGAACAATGAACAAAGCAAAACGAAACCTTTTCTGTAAAACCAACGGCTTAATTAGAAAATGATGATGATGATTATTTAGACGACAAAATAAATAAATTATTTTTGAATAAAAAATCGTTCTTTTTTTTGCTTTTTCGGGTTTAATGAAATGATGCACGGTTGAAAGGGTTAATTAATTAGAAATTTTTCGTAATTAAGTTTCTATTCAATAAGCGATAAATAATGATTACGATGATGACGATGACGAGGATAATGACGATGATGATGATCACACAGAATCACAGAATCACACAGAATTTAGAGGAAAGCATCATTATCTTTTTGTTTCATTAGATTTAACAATGGAATTTCATTTTTGTTAAGCAAAACAAAAACAAAAAAAATTGTCAAAAAAAGATAAATGAATTTTGCCAAATTCAGGAAGAAAAAAATGGATCATCATCCATAATTACAAAAAAAAAAAATCGAACGAAAAGAAACTCGATTCGTTCGATTCGATTTGATTCGATGATAGGATCCAAAAAAAAGTAGTGGCATACAATTTCTACTGATGGGGATTCTGTGGTCGGATGAGTTTTCTTTCTATTTCAACCGATACCACTGCCTTTCGAATGATGGTCAGTCGGACAGACAACAGCCAAACAAACAAACAAACAAAAAAAACCTCATCATTTTTCTACTTCTAAATTCTTTTCGATGTTTTCTTTGTTTGATTTTTTTTTGTGGAAGAAAATCTTTGATCTTTGTTTGATTTGATTTGATTTGATAATCGATTCAAAATGATGTTAATGAATGTAAATCAAATGCATCTTGAAGATATTTATTCTTCAGATCTAAATGTTTGTTATGAAGCTGTTCGGTAATTTTTGTTTTTGTTTTTTTTCGAAAAAACCTTAAAATCTAATTTCTGTTTTCTGTTTTGTTTCCTCCCTCCCCACCATTCTAATGTTTTTTTTTGTCCCAAAGACGTTTAAAAAATTGTGTTATCGGTAGTAATCGTTTGAAAGGATTAGTTTTAGAACAAAATGTTAGTGAACGTTTAGTTCAACTTATGAATCCGCAAACAACAAATGAACAAATAAGTTGTGAAGCAATTTTAGCTATAACAAGTTTAGCTAAAGGTACTGAACAACATTTGAAAATGATTATCGATTCGGGTGCTGTACCACAATTATTACGTAATACTTATTTGGAAAAATTTGAATTAATCGAAGCATCATTGCGTGGTCTTCGTACTATATTTAAATCACGTTTAGCACCGATTGATCTCATCTATCAGACCGATAATATAACACCGGCTACATCAAATCCATCATCATCATCATCATCATCAGTCGATAATCAACAACAATCACCATCATCTTCGTCATCGAAAACTGTCGATACACAAAAATTTCAAAATCCAAATTCAATATTATCACATTTATTTACATTAGCTCGACGTAATATATCACCATCGAATTATGTTGTCAAAGAATGTATTGCTAATATTTTGGCCTCTTCTTGTCAGGTAAAATAAATCTTAGCTGTTATTTTCATTTGGAAATTTTAAAATTAAAATTTTGTTTTTTTAGTCAACTGAACATCAAAATATAATGAAAGATTTAGGTGCAATACAAATTATTGCTTCATATCTACATCCAAATAATCGTAATGCTTATCAGGTAAAATTAGCTGCATTAAATTGGCTGGCACAATTATGTTTTGAAAATGAACCAGTATCATTATTGGTTGCTGATGAAATTTATTCAAATCAATCATTATTGGATATGTTATTTGATTTAATGAATGCATTGAATACATATGAAATGCAATTTTTTGCAGCAAAATGTATGACTTATATTTATCGTTCACAAGCAATGGATAGTCAAGATAAACGTTTATTATATCGTTGTCTGCCAACATTAATTTATTTATGTAAAAAAGATAAAGAATCATCGATTCGTGCACAAGCAGCCGAAGAATTAGCATATTTAATTGATGTTGATGTTTCATTACAAAAAACAGCAAGTATTTGTGATCATTTGATTAATTCATTGGCCGATATGTTACGACAATCATCGAATCTTTATTTTGCAAATAATTCACGTATAACGATTGGTTCTTCAACAGCCGGTGATAATAGTCGAAAAAGTTCAATTGCATCGGATAATCTAACAACAATGGCAACAATGTTAATTGATGAACCAATGGATACAACTATATTGACTAGCGCATCACCATTACCATCATCATCATCATTACCTATTTGTCAGGTTGTTAATACAATGTCATCATCATCGACATCGACTATAACTACCGGTGAAAATAATAATGGTGAAACAACAACAGCGAATAATAATAATAATGTTAAAAATGAACTACGTCAAGCTGCATTCAAAGTTTTTGCATCGCTTGGTGCTAATGATGAAGATATACGTAAACGTATAATTGAAACAGAAAATCTAATGGATGAAGTAATGAATGGTTTAGAAGATTCAAATTTAAAAGTAAAATTAGCTGCATTAAGATGTTTACATTCATTATCAAGATCAGTACAACAATTACGTACAATGTTTCAAGATCATGCTGTTTGGTTACCATTACGAACATTATTACAAAGTCCAACATATGAAATTATTATGTTAGCATCATCGGTACTTTGTAATTTATTATTGGAATTTTCACCAAGTAAACAGGTAATTATATTTTGATATTTATTTTAGAATCATTTTTTTTTAATGTTTTTTTTATTGTTTTTGTTAGCACTTTTTGGATCGATTTGCTATTGAATTATTATGCGATCTAACTAAACGTGATGATGTTCAATTACGATTGAATGGTGCTTGGGCATTAATGAATATGGCCTATCAAGCTGATGAAGATCTTAAAACACAGATATTAAATCGTTTAGGAACTGATCAAATATTTCGTTTACTTTCCGATTCGGATGTTAATATTTTAATGAAAACATTAGGTTTACTTCGAAATCTTCTGTCAACCAAACCGGTATGGATAATAATATTTTTTTTTTGGTTTTTTAATTTTATAAAATCTTAATTACCTTTTTTTTAGCATATTGATTTAATTATGCAACAACATGGTAAACAAATAATGCAAGCTGTTATATTGATATTAGAAGGTGAACATCCATGGGAAGTAAAAGAACAGGCATTATGTATTTTAGTTAATATTGCCGATGGTAATAAAGCAAAAGAATTTATAATGTCAAATGAAGATGTACTGAACAAATTAATTAGCTACCTATTGAATTCAAATGTTAATCTACAAAAATCGGCTGTATTTTGTATTATTAATTTGGTTTGGCATGAAAATGAAAATTCTGCCATTCGACAGGAAAAATTAATCGAATTATCAGTACCGAAAATTCTACAACAATTATTACAACAAACCCAGATTTCACAGATGAATTCATCACAACATGCATCATTATATGGAAAAGTAAAAACAGCATTGGATGAATTTAATCATTTCAATAATATTAATAATAAATAGCCAACGGATTATCATCATCATCATCATTGGATTATTGTCTAATGCAACTTTAGTTTTTTTTTCCTCCGTAAAACTCTTTTTTATAATTATCTATTACATTACATTATAAAACAGGTTTTTTTTTGTAATTTTTTTCAAGTAAAACGATGATTAGGTTAAAAGGAGAAAATTTTTTATTATTATTATTAAAATTACAAGTTTTTTTATTATTAATTATTATTTACAAATATTTTTATTTCTTGAACCATAAGTTGCTAAACATATACCTTGTCCTTGACATTGTTCAGGTATTAAACATGTATCACAATTATTAACTAAAATGAATGGATTTATAAATGATAATGACGATGATTTCTTATTATTATAATCTTTTGAATCACGTGATGTAATATTGATCGGTACAACAACAATATCTTCAATATCATTTGTAATTAATTTTGTTTTCATTTTATTCGGTTTGTTGTTAAGGCTAGTTGAATATGGTTGTTGTTGTTGTTGTTGCTGTTGTGTGAATGAATTATCCGATAAATCGGAAATTCGATCATCCGATATTCGATCTAATTTTCGATAACCAGGATTCGATAACCGATTAGCCGGAAACGTTGATTCAATACTATCATTATCATTGATATTATTATCATTATTATTATTTGAACGATTATAAATTGTAAAACAGGTAAAAATAATTGATATCACAATCAAAATGATTATAATAATAAATATTGTAATAAAAAAATAAAACCAATTATTATCGATTCGAATAATCTGTTCTTGTTGTTGTTGTTTTCGTTGATGTTCATCCTGTTCATCGGAAATTATCGGATGTTTTGTCGAATGTCTGTTGACATCAACAACATTATTGTTGTTTTGATGATTATCCTCATTATCACGAAATGTTAACAATAATGATTCAAATATTGTTTGTGATTCAATCAATACAATTGTTTCATTATTTGTTGATAAATCAATCAATTGAATTTCATGTTGATCTTGTACAAAAATCCATTGTTTTTGCTGCTTATGATGATCATTTTGTCCATTTCGAATATCTCGGTTGGAAAAAATTGTCAAATCAATAACCGATGATATAGATGAATTATAAATAGAAATGGCTTCCATTTCATTTCGAATCCAATAATCACCGGAAAGAATATGATTCGATTTATCTGACCATATCAAACGATGATTCTCCGAATCTAATGTCATTGTAATTGGTTGATGTTTGAAAAAATCATCCGTACAATTTTTAATTAAATTATTATTTTGTAAATCCGAATAATCCATACGACAAATACGTTTCCATGATTCAATCCAGAATAATATTTTCAATTTTGAATCCGCTTGTATATTTTTTGGATGATTAGTTTGATTAAATGATTTTCGCCATTGAATTTTATTTTCAATCAATGATTCATCATTAATTTCATAAATATCAATACGATTTTGTAATAAATTTGATAGAAATAATAATTGATTTTTCGTATCGATTGTAAGATGAAAAAAATTATCACCATTTGGATTATCCGAATAAGGATTCGAATCAAATTGTAATGGTTGAATATTTTCAAGTCTTAATAGTGAATTGCAATCTTTTTTATTCATTGGTCTTATTATGGTTCCATGATACAGTTGATAACTTGGTACATCGAACCAGATTAGATGAATATTTTTCGTTGATCGATAAAGTGACATACCAGATATACCATATTGTTGACGATATGCATGACGGGTTGAATTTATCATCAATGGATTTGAATGATGAATCGGACAATCTAATGACCAAAAACGTATTGAATTTACTGAACTTGATAGTAGAAATGTATTGTGTAAAAATTCTGTTTCAATTGGAATATCTAAATGAGGATGGAAGGAAGGTCGAGTAAAACAGAAAAATTTATAAATTTAAAAATTTTGTAAATTTTTTGTAAATTTTACCATAAAAATTTTCCAATTTATTAACATCCATTGATTCATTGAATTCATATGATGATTGTAATTTAGATGCCAGATTTTCAATAAAATTTCTATTGTCAAATTGTTGTTGTTGAGGTTGTTGAGTTGAATTTTGTTGGCCCAAAATCATCAATGGTAATAAATACCAAACGATGATCATCATAAACGAACACAATTTAGGCATGTTGTTGATTAGTTGTGCTTTTGCGAACCGGGGAAAAATTTCGTTTTTTTTGTTGTTGTTTTGTTTGACCAGAGTGAAGAAGAACACAGGGCTGAATCGAAGATTAATTCAATAAGAAAAAGTAAAAACATATCACATGAATCGAAAAAGAAAAGAAGAAAGTAAATTTAGGCTATCACAGTATTTTGGTTGTTGTTGTAAAATTGTTTTGAATTTCTCTTGTTTTATCAATCGAATCAATCAAATCAATGCTGCTATTAATGTGTTTTTGAAATAAAAAAAAATTTGTTGATAACGAAAATTTTATTAGTCGATTTGTTTTAATCGAGAAAAAATCAAATCAAAATGAAAACATCCTTCTGGCGAATCGAATGTCGAATATATCGATTGATGATGATGATGATTCTCAACATTTAGAATTCAATAACAAAAATAACAAAGTTAAACTTTTTTTTCTTTTTCAAAATTAATAACAAAAAAAAAATGTTGTTTTCACTTTCGAATACAAATTGCTCAATCGTAAACACACACTCGTTTAAACTGGAAGACCAGGATCATCAACAAACAGAAAACAAAAACGGAACAAAATTAGAGAGAGAGAGAGAGAGGTGAACACATCAATCGATCGAAAAAGATCAAGTTCGAGGAAAAAAATGGCAATGTGATTTTTATTTTGGCGGTGACCGATTATGGTATTCAACATACAGCATGTGTATTAATTCTTTCTTTTTCAACCAAACATTTTTTTTTCTGTAAATGTCTTCACAGTATAATTGCAAACAGAAAAAAAACGCATCATTCAAAGCAAGCACATTCGAAATGAATCAAAAAAAATTCAACCGGGTTATCATTATTAATGTCACAGACACACACAAACAGGATCTGCGCATGTGCAGATTTTTTTATATAGATGTTCGAAAAATTACAACGTTCGATGTTCGATGTATACGGTGCACCGTAAACCGGTAACCGGTATACGGTGCACCGTAAAAAATCACGTATACCATGGTATACGTGATTTTTTTTTGTATCGATTTTTCATCTTCCCGCCGTTTTTATTTAATTTTTTTTAAAGAAAAAATAGAAAACAGGTAACAGGTAACTGTTATAACAATAATCGATTATTTTGTTGAGGAAACAAAAATGTTACAAAATAAAAATATGTAATGGATAGATATAGAGATAGAATAAGCGGTGTCTTTTACCCGAAGCAGCAGCAGTTGTTGATGATAAAGCAGAAAAAAAATAGAAGCTTTCAATTGAATTTTATCGATTTTTTTTCGAAACATCTTTCATTTTCACATCATCGATTNAATGAAAACATCCTTCTGGCGAATCGAATGTCGAATATATCGATTGATGATGATGATGATGATTCTCAACATTTAGAATTGAAAAAAAATAACAAAGTTAAACTTTTTTTATTTCAAACTTTTCAAAATAACAAAAAAAAAATGTTGTTTTCACTTTCGAATACAAAATTGCTCAATCGTAAACACACAACATACATACACTCGTTTAAACTGGAAGACCAGGATGATGATCAACAAATAAACGGAACAAAATTAGAGCAAGAGAGAGAGGTGAACACACATCAATTGATCGATCGAAAAAGAAAAAGATCAAGTTCGAGGAAAGAACAACAACGAAATGAAAATGGCAATGTGATTTATTATTTGGCGGTGACCGATTATGGTATTCACAACATACATACAGCATGTGTATTCTTCTTTCTTTTTCAACCAAAACATTTTTTTTCTGTAAATGTCGTCTTCACAGCAAACAGAAATGATCAAAAAAAAAAAAAGCATCATTTAACACGAAGCACATTCGAAATGAACATTTTCCAATTCAGCCGGGTTATTCATTAATGTCACACACACACACACACATAATAAGTGTAACAGGATTTGCGCATGTTCAGATTTTTTTATATAGATTTTTTGATAGAATCTAATTTTTTAACGTTCGAAAAAAATTCAACGTTCGATGTTGAAAATATGGTAAAAAATATCTGTACGGTGGTATACGTGATTTTTTTTATCGATTTCTCATATATATCATCTTCGCGCCATATTCAATAAGGTTGGATTTTTTTTTATTTGTTTGTTTTTTTTAGAAAAAATAGAAAAATGCAGTAACAGGTAACAGCAGGTAACAGTATATACTGTTATAACAATAATCGATTATTTTGATGAGGAAACAAAAAAATGTTACAAAATAAAAATATGTAATGGATAGATAGAGATAGAATAAGCGGTGTCTTTTACCCGAAGCAGCAGCAATTGTTGATGATAAAGCAGAAAGAAAAATAGAAGCTTTCAATTGAATTTTATCGATTTTTTTTCGAAACATCTTTCATTTTCACATCATCGATTGTTGTTGTTGAAGGTTGTTCGGATGAAATTTCCGATGCAACTTTTTGTAGTTGATCAATAGCCTGATTTAAATCATTGCCTGCAATTGATTCTTGTTGTTGTGCCGGATTGCCTTGTGTTGTTGTTGTTGTTGTTTGATTTTGATGATTTTTTGGTTGATAATCTTTTTTCAAAATCGAAGAATCCGATGATGATTGTGGATTTTGACGATAAGCAACTAATTGTGGATAATTTTGATGATCAAAACCACAATTACTTGTTGTTGAGGATGATGATGATCTTGATCCACGTCCATGACAACAAGGACAAAGAATACCTTGATCGATTGGTCTTCGTGCCATACGAATAGGAATTTCACGAATCATTTGACGAATTGCATCTGGTGGTGGTGGTGGTGGTTGTATTATCGTTGTTGCAGGAGGTGTCGGTGATTTATGTGAACGTTTTCCACGTTCCAATTGTTCTGTTTGTTTGGAACAAAATGATTCCTCTAGAATAGGTTGACGGCCAACAACATGTTCGATTGGAATCATTCGTCCACCTGTTGTTTGTTTTGGCATATTTTGTTGCTGTTCTTCTTGTTGAATTTTAATAAATTTTTCTTCTTTTGGTCCTTGTTTTGAATCCATAGTATCCATTGTACTAGGTCGGTTTACAAATTGAATTGGAATTTCCTTTTCTACATCGGTTTGCATTTGTTGTTGTTGTGAACGATTCAACATTGGTGCTTCAATTTGTATCAAACCATTTTCAGCAATAAAACATTTCATATTTTTCATATCAACATCGGCGGGAATCAATATACGTTTATTAAATTCATATGATTCACATTCCCATTCATTTCGATGTTCATGGCGGCCACTAATTGTGATTTGTCGATTTTCTCGATCCATTTTGATTTTAATATCATCCGGTTGAAATTGTGGTAGACCAAAATATTGTAGATAACGACCATTGTATTCAAATGGTGGTATTTGGCCATGATTTTTCGATAATGATGATTGTGATTGATTCATTAAACCAATCATTGATGCAGCACGAGCTGATGCTGAAGCTCTGGTCGGTAAATACCAGAATTCATTTTCAAATATTGGTTCGATTATTGGTTCAACTTGTGATATGATAATCATTTTCGCTAGTTCGTTTCGTTTCGTTTCGTTTGTCAGGTGAATTATCAATCAAACCAGGTAATAAAATTTGGTGAAATTGATGCGAATAATAATTGCAATGTTTGTTTGTTTGGCCTTGAAATCAATATTGAATGTTTATTTCGAATGATTTTGATGATCCCACTTCTACTTCCACCCCCACACACATTTAAAAGTCCAATAAAAAAGGTAGGGGCATTGGCAATAATAAAAAGAATTTCAAATTGGAAATTCCTATTCATAAATTCTATTACCTGGAATTTTTTTTTGTTTTTTGTTTTGAAAACGGAAAAAATGTTCGATTCGAATCAAAATTCTTTGATAAAAATTTTATCCAATCAATCAATTGATCCGATTCCAAATTGTCGATATAAACGTTTGATTTGTACAAAAATATTTGAAAATCAAAATCAAAATGACAATGATAATGGTAAACAACAACAACAACCGAATGTTTTTGCATTCGATCAAGTTATTTTTCGTCATAAGTGTTCATTTCAATTTGAACTTTTGGATAATTTGTATGTTGAATTTTTTTTTTTAAATTTTTTTTATCATTATAAATCATTAATTCTTTTGATTGATTTTGGATAGAATCATTCTTTTCAAAGCAAATAATCATCATATTTTATATCAAATTAATACAAAATTTTATGATGAATTAGAACAAAATGGTTTTGTTGAAGAAATTGCCAATCATATTGATCATGATATTTTACAACAACAACAAATTATTCGTTGTCAATTTTATCCATATGATCTTGGATTATATTCATCATTATGTCGTGAACGATTAAATATTTATGATACAATTCGACAGGAATTGATTCAAACATTATCCATACGAAACAATAACAATCGAAAACAATTCTATCAAATGGATTGGAATCGTTTAACATTTGTTTCGATTGCTTGTAAGTAAAAAAAAAATTTTTGTAATTTTTGTTTTAATCAAAAAATTTATTTTTCCAGTGGCCTGTGATAATTCTGAAACATTAATATTTGATCATCGAACCAATCATACATCATTATCATTGATTATAAATGATCCATGCATAAAAAATAATGAAACAACTAAATGTCAAACAGTTTATTGGTCACCACAAGATGAAAATGGTTTGTTTATTGGTACTAGAGCCGGTTCAATACATTTTTATGATATTCGTCAAACCCGTCGACCATTAGCATCACATTTATCATCATATCTGTATAGACATCCAGTTGCACATATTTCAATGACACCTGATCATCAAAATTTAATAACAATTTATCCAACATATCAAAATATATTTCGATGGAAAATTAACCGAATGAATCAAATGAATCAATTTCTTAAAGAAATGCCATTGTTTATTGTTCGTAACAAATCATCATCAACAATAAATTTATCAAATGATAATAATTCATTATTGTTTAAAAAATATAAAAACTTTAATGATATTCATTTTCGTTTTGAACATATGCAACCATTTATAACAAATGAATATTTAACTCTTTATAGTCGAACTATGAATGGACAAATTGAAAATATCAATTATACATTTAATGAAACGAAAAAATATGTTGATGAATCAATTTTAACAAAAAATACAAATTTTTGGCCAAAAAAATTATCATTATCCATTGTTGATAATAATTTTGGTCATCATCCATTATCAACATTATTTTATGGTTATCGTTCAACAAACCAAGGGGATGAATCAATGCCAGCATTATTCTATAAAGCTAATAATGTATTTGTAGTACGGCGTTTACGATCAACAAATGATGATGATGATGATGATTTCAAACAAAATTTTCGAAAACAACAACCAATGGAAAACGAAGACAGGTGGTCGAGTGATTCAGAATAGTTTTATTGTGATAACGTTTATTTAATTTAAGAAGAAAAAAAATTTTGAAAAACAAAAATAACATTTTCTATTTCGAAAATTGAACAGAAAAAAACGAAACCTAAACAAAAAAACAAACAAAATGAACACCTAAATGAGCTCGAATCAAAGAAAAAAAGAAGTAAAAATTGATGGTTTGTTAAATGAAATGAATGATTTATGAAAAAAATGACTAGAAATGTTCAGCAAAAATAATTTTCTTTTTTTGGTTGTTTCAAAGTATGAATATATTGGTTATAACAAATGTTGTTGATCATGGTTATCATCATTATTATTATCATGATGAATGACAGAATCGGTAGTAGAATTATTTTCTTTGGTTTCATCAATATCTTCAGTATCATCAATGAAATTATCTAATGGTTCAATCACCGGTAAATTTATTGATAATTTTTTCTCCAAATTCAAACGATTTATTAACATTTTTGATATTAATGTTTGATAATCGGTTTGTAGAAAAAGTTTACGTTTCATATCCAATAAATGTTGTTGTTCATCTTGTCGATTGATTTCATTTTTTGTTTGCATTCTTGCTAATTCTTCCGAATAATAATATGGTGTATCCAAATAATGACGAAGATATTCTGGCAATGATAATTGATGAATTTGATCACGACGAACAAATTGAAGTATTACAAATCTATTTTTCATTTATAATTTAGATTGGAAATTAACGAAACATTTTTATGGTGGATTATGGATTAAACATACCGACAAATATGCTGTAAAGATTGTACACGTTTAAATCTTGATACTGGATAAAGAAGTTGTACACGAATTGGTCCCAATTCCGGTCCTAAACGTAAAAAAAATAAAAATTGTCCACTACGTGAATGTTCCATAGCACTTTCAATAAAATCAACAATGGTTGATGAACGAAATTTTTTCAATGAACCAAAACTAAAATTTCCTACAAAAATGATAGAACAAATAAGAAAAATTGAGGGAAATTTGAAAAAAACACACACAAAAATTTTCAAACCTTGTTCCTGTTCAATACGAACATGACGAACCATTTCATCAAGTTTAAATGATAATGAAAATATATAATGTTCATCGGATGAATCACGTACTAAAAATGATCCACATGGTTCGGATTCTAATAATTTTTCAGCCATTTCACCTGATATTGGACCCCAATACCAACCACACTAACAAAAACAAAAAATCAAAATCAATTTTTCTACTCAAAGCGACTTACATTTTTCACTCGTTCAATACTCGAAACATAATCTAAATATTTTTGTCTTTCATATTCAGACATTGATTTTAATTGTGATCGAGTCATTTGTAATGATGATCGATATCTTAACATTGGATGATGATGATGATTATCATCATCAGTAGTGATTATTTGATCGGATCCATTATCATTATCATCGTTATTATTATTATTATGATCAATAAATAAATTTGTTGCCGGAACTGGTGGTAAAGCTCGTTGAATGAATGGTGATGATAAATGTTGTTGTTGTTGAGATTCAGATCTGGTCGTTTCGATTGGCTGACGTCGTGTATGTCGTCTTCTTCGAATATTCGAATTTAAATTATTCTGAGTAATCGGTGGTGATGAAGAAGATGATATATTCGATGAATGATCAACATTGTTAGTTGTTGAATAATCACTTGAACAATGACCACCACCATTGATACAAGGTGTAGTTTTATTCAACAAAGTATCCATAAAATTTTTAATCTTTATTTTAGCATTATGAAGACCATGATGACCGGTTCCCGAAGTTGATTTGTTAAGACCAACATTTGCTGTTGTTGATGTAGATGATGAAAATGAACGAGATTCTTGACTTGAAGAATGTGAATTTCTTGTAATCAATCTTCTTTCAGGTGAACCAAATGCAATTCTTCTTACTTCTTCCAATGTCATATGAATTGGTTCTTGTTGATGATGATCATAATTTCTCAATGATTTTTCCTCATCGACATGATTAATGGTTGATGTTACATCATTATCATCATCATTATCATTATCATTATGTTCAATATTTTCCATTGAAATTGGATTTGAATAAGGATTCGATACAATCATTAATAATGGTTCACTTAATGAATTTGATTTTGATGATTGTTGTTGTTGTCGATGATGAGATAAAACTTGATGAAATGCTGATGAATGATTTGATTGGGATGATGATGATGATGGTTCTATTAAACCAGAATTATGTAATCCTACGGATGTTGATGGTCTTGGTGGAAAATAATTTATATTTGGATGAATAGCTGTTGGTTTTATAACACGTACTATTGATTTATTATTATTTGATTCAATATTTTGATTAATAATCAATTTTGAATCATTACATGTTGAAATCATTATTTTTGGTGATGTAGGTGATGAATATGATTTGGTTGTTGTTTGATGAGATGATCGATTTAAAAATTTCATTGGTTGCGAATCAACATCTTGCAGATTTAATGATTCTATTGATTCTAAATCCGAAACAGAATCACCATTATTCAGTTTTTCATCATCATCACCATTATTGATCAATAAATCATCACAGATATTTGATTTAAATTCTTTTGAATTTGAACGATGATAATGATGATGGTAGTTGTTATTGTTGCCAAACATGAGTAATTTTTTCAATCTTGAACAATTTCGACGACGATTATCATAATAATCATTATCATGATTGTTATTTTCGGTTGTTTTTGGCCGTTTAAAACGAAAACGAAAACGTATTCCACCACATTGATTATTATTATTATTGCTGGTCATTATTATTGGTGAACAACGTATCTGATCATCATAACCATTATTATCATCGATATTATTCGAAGATTTGGATTTAAATTTCATTCGAATTAAATTCATTTGTTGTTGCTTTTGCTTCTTCTGCTGTTGATTATCATCGTTATTATTATTTTCATCACCATTATACGAATCGCATTCACCATCATCACAATCATCAACAGACAATGATTTATGATTGTTTGTCATTATTATATTCGAAATAGAAAGAAAATGATGTGTATTTGAAATATGGCACAAAAAAAATCCTAAAACATTTTGCTGTTGTTTAGGCCATAAACCTTTCAAAATTCAAATGAAACAAAAAAAAAGATTAGTAAATATTATTATATTCAGAAAAATTGAGAAGCTGAATATGGGATGTATGATTCATTCGATTGTGAAAAATTTCCAAAAAAAATTTTTGGTTTTTTTATCCCAGAAAAAAAACACTATTTTAACAACAAAAAGGTGTTCCAAAAAAGGAAACAAACAAAAACCAAAACGGGTTATTTATCTTATTTTTTACAATAGGATTTTTTTTTGTAATAAAAATGAATCATTCAGAGTCAGTCAATTAAGTAAGTAAATATTACTGTGGACAAAAATCAACTCGAACAAAGTGGGGGGAAATGATAAAATGTTTTTTGCTTTTGTGATGGAAAACCAAATATGGAGATGTTTGTATTTTTTGTATTTTTCGAACGAAAAAAAAATACTTTTGTTTAGTTTTTTGTTATCTTTCTATTTACCTGAAACAAACGATAAATAAATAGAAAAATTTTATATTTTTTGGTTATAATTACTATTTTTTTTTTTAAATATTTTTTGTATTTTTACAAATTTGGCCAGTTGTTTTTACTTATTTAGCTAAACTTTTCATTATTATCATTATCATTTGACATTTATTTTATTAAAAAATAAAAATAAAAAAAATTGAACTTGAAAAAAATTAGAATAATTTTCAAAAGATAATTATAGGTTTGATGAAATTCAATCATGAAATGAATCAATTAACATATGATGCACAAACTAACTAACTAAAATTACCGAAACAGAATTTCACAACAAAAAAAAACAAACAATCAAAACATTATACTCACTTTGTTAGATTCGAAAAAAAAACGTTTTTCAATGTTGAAAAATTAGATGACAAAAAAAACAGATTTTCAAGATCAAATTCGATCAATCAATCAATCAAATGATGTCGCGTTAGAAGATTTTTCACATTGAACACAAATAGTATAAACACAAATCGAATATCAGTTTAGCTTTTTAGTTTGTTTTGTTTTTTGTTTTTGCCAGCTCGCATAAATATAATATTGAAATCGGATCGATGTTGTAAATATTGTTTGCTTTATTGGGATTTGGATGCGCGTGATTTCTATAGTCGATCCAAAATCGCGAGAAGAGAAAAAAAATTGATGTTATTCGAATTGAGGAGGATGGATGATCGAACAAGGACAATTTCTATTCGTCCTCCTCTCATGACTATTTCGACAGAATTGGGAATATCGAACGATTCTTTTAAAATGGCTATTTTGATTCAAAATGGGAATTTTTGTAATTTTTTTTTTGTAATTTTTTTTCTGAAATTTTTATTAACGAAATAAATAAAAACAAAACAAAAACACAAAACAAAACAAAAATAATAATCATTTCTTTTTATTATCATTATTATCCAGAATCGATTCTACGTCTTGTTCCAATAATTTATTTGGATCAACATTATCCAAATTCGGTATTGTATCATTTTTTTCATTTGTTGTTGTTGTTGTTTCAGACGATGTTGTTATCGTTGATAAATTCTTTTTAGCTTTATTAATATTTGAAATTAAAATATTAAATTTTAAATCACGATCAGTTAAACGTTTTTGATTGATGCGGCAACCATTCGTTTCATTGAAAATTGATTCAAATTCATTTAGAATTTGTTCCTGAAATATGGAAAGTTTTGGATAAGAATTCTGTTAACTTTTTTTCTAGAGAAAAATCTGATTCCACTTACCAATTTTGTTCTATGTGATCCATCCGAAACAGTTGAAACAACTTTGACTAATGTTTCTTGGCCACGTAACAGAAATCTTTTCACTTGATTAATTTTTATCTGTAAATCATGTTCACTCATTTTTGTTGTAAATGATAGAATTTTCGGAGATGTTTTTCGTTTAATAAATTCTTCTTCTTTATCCGTATGATCAGTATCATCACCATCAAGAATTTTATCATTTTGATTTTGATCAGCAACAAATCTAGGATCAGCAAATTTCATTGACATAAATTTTTTAGCTGGACTTTCCGTTTTGATTAGAATTTTTTTATGTTTTTGTGCCAATTTTTCCGCCTCAATCAATGTCATCAAACCGAGTAGACGATTTTTTTCATCACGCAAATAAACTTTAGGTAATTCTGGGGTTTTACCACGAAATTTAATTTTTTTATCTGTTTCATTATCATCGTTTGATTTAAGTGCCGAAACATCGGTTACATCAATTTCATTATTATTACGTGAATTTTTTTGCGATTGTGATGATAGATATCTTTTGGAATTTTGAATGAATTTCAATGAATTTCGGTTATTCAATCGATTCGAATTGATGATAATATCGGTTGCCGTCGTCGTCGTCGTTCGAACGGGTAAACAATAATTTTGCCATTGACAAATCGAAAAATAATGATGATTGAAAAAACGTTTATTGATAAAGGTAAACATTTTTTTTTTCGTTTTCAAAATCGAAAATCGATGGCGATCGATTTCAAAATCAATTTTTCCAGTTCTGTCCTTTCTCGAATTCTCTCTCTTTGCTTTTTGTAAACAAACACTGCAGCAGCAAAAATATCCGTTCCAAAAATTACGTAACCAAATTAGAATGTAAACAAAACTCGAGAATGGTGGGTGGAAAAATCGAAATTTTTTTTTCCAGAATTTTCAAATTTCAATAAAATTTTAAAAGAAATAAAATGTCCGAATTTGTTGAATATCATGAAATAACGAATCGTTTGAAAAAACGTTTCAATTTGATTCGTAAACCAAATTTAAAAGAATCATCAGAATCTTATCGTAAACTGGCACAACAATTAACATCGTATCCAAATTATTCGGGTTTTTGTTTATATTCAGCTTCGAAATGTGAACATCAAATTGTTGGATCATTAAAAGAACAATTAAATCAATCGTCAAGTTCATCGTCAATTGGTGACGCAACAACAAAATCCGATTCCCATTCGCAATCATCAAATCGATCATCATCATCATCATCATCGAATCGTTCGAATCAAGCATTAGAAAATCTTTTATCCGAAGCATTATGGATTGAATTTCAAACATGGCTAGATACAGCTCGAATGTTTAGTCAAATTGATTCAATTGAAATGGATTTAAATGGTGCAATATCGGCTTATGCACATGCAATACAAACTTGTCCATCACCACGTATTCTAACATTAGTTTTGATTGAATTAGCTGAATTTTATAGAAAAAATGAACGTTTTTATGAAGCTGCTGAATCATTTATTGAAGCCTGCCAATTTCGTGATGCAATTGATTGTTTGATTTGTGGTCATTTTTATCAAGATGCATATCATTGTTATCAGGAAATGTTTAAAAAACAACCAAATTTTGAAAAATTTTCACATCTTACCGATGCAATATCATCGGCAAAAATTTCTTCGACGAAATTGTCTTCAACAGCAACTTCAAAAGCAAATCCGTCATCAATTCTGCCACAAAAATCATCGATTCTTTCATTGTTCAAAAAGAAACAACAAAATTCCGAATCAACATTTATGAAATCACCAACCGATGATTTATCAAAACATTCGAACAATCATTCGAAATTTCCACCACATAAAGTGGATGGAAATAATCCATTTGATTTTTGTGAAAATCAATTAACAATCGATGATTATATTACATTTTTCTTGTTACGACTTTATCTTTATGATCCGATCAAATATGAATATCCATCACCAATTATACCGATACCTAAACATTCAATATTAAAACAATATGAATATGATCAAAATTTCAAAGAAGAATTAGATGATGATGATGATGATACAACAGAATTCTGTACGGATCAGAATAAAAATGGCTCATCATCAAAAACATCGAATCAATATTTATTAAAAGCATCTGAATTATCATTACCATTTATCGATATGATTAATAGTTGTTGGTTAGATCGTTCGATTGATGATGTTTTGAAATTAAATCAACTTTTAGAAACATTATATTTATCATATCGTAATGAACTACGATCATCATTAGATAATGAATATTCTGATTATGATATTATACAATTACCACAATCAAATGATGAATTGGATGATGTTGTTGATGATAATAATGATAATGAAATGATAAAAACAAAATCAAAAGAAATATCTGGTAAAAAACATGGTGGTGATTCTGAAGATTCAGAAGAAACTGAATTTGCTGATGAAGATAGTAGTTTTTCATCGATTTTAGGACAAAGTACACGATATGATTCAAAAGATTCATCGGATGATGAACAACAACAACAACATAATGATGGTCAAAAATCATTGCATTTACATCCAGGTAAAACGTTAATGACGGCGGGTTCATCAGGTGGCGGTGGTCCAACTAGTCCAGGATTAAAATTATTAGAAACCGGTGAATTGGATGATATAAGTGCACGGTTAAATTTTCTGGCAAATCGAAAACCATCATCGAATTCGAATGTTTCGAACGTTTCGAAAAAAGAATCGATAGAATCGATACTTGAATCCAAAAATCCAAATATAGAAATTCTTATCCGGAAAAAATTGGAACAATTTGAATTCGATTGGATGGATAAAAATAATATTGTTTCGAATGAATCAAATAATGATAATAAATTAGAAGAACAATCGTTTGTTGATCAAGATGGTCAAGATGTTGATGATCAAGATGAAAAAAATGATTATTTACGACAAGAAATTGCCCGAAAACTGTATCCATTATTAAATTCAAATCAAATACAATTATTGTATGATATTTTAAAGGAGAAAGAATGATTTTTTAAAGTTGAATAAATAATAATTGATGAAAAATTTTTTTGATTATGATGATGGTTGTGGACGAAATTTATGATAATAAGATTTAGTAAAATCAATCATAACATCAGGCATTGATTCAAATATAAGGCCATTATATGTTGCAGGTGATCCACTATAAATACCGAATGCAGGTACATTTATACCATGCGGTATAACCGAATTATCAGCAATATAACAACCATCTTTTAATTTACAATATCGTCCGATTACACAATTATTTCCAATATAAACATATGAACCAATTTCAGCTGCATTAACAATTGTATCTTCACCAATATAAACATGTTCACCAATTGTCATTGGATTGAATGCAACACTATATTTAATGGAATTAAAAAAAAAGCGAATGGATATCAAATATGCACACTAACCCTTTGGTAAATTTTTTAAATGGTGGTCGTATAACAGCATTTTTACTTATTACACAGTATCGGCCAACTCTAACCGAAGCTAAATCACCACGTATTATACATCCTTCTTGTACGATTGTCTGTAATGAGATAACGAAAATTATAAAAAGAACAAAATTAACACCTGAAAAATGAAAAAACCTGAAAACCAACCTTTCCAAGTATCATAATACTTTGTGGTCCACATAATACAGATTTTCTACAAACTTTATTACCGGATGCTGTTTCAATATAATCCATTTGATTATAAAACATATCATTTACTTCCATTATAATTGTTATTATTTACAACAATTTTAAAAAATCAAATTAAATTTTTTTTTTGTAAAAAATAAAAATTTTTACAAAAATCGAACACAACATATACTGAAACACTATTTACACCCATGGATGTATGAATTGGTCGTAATCGACAGAAACAAACGAACAACAACAACAACAACAAACACTCCTTTTAATCATTTAATCCAAAACAAGATAACAGCGTAGATCAAAAAAAAAAACAAAAAAAAGAGGAAATTTTTCGTTTTTTCAATCAAGAAAAACCATCATCCCAACAATTTTATCTTCCTTTGTTTCGACAACCGAACATGACGCATATTTGAATTGAGAAGAAAAAACTTTCGAACTTTTGAAGAATATTCTTTCGTTGTTGTTGTTGTTGTTTGAAAACATCTGTTACAAAATTTTTTTTTCTTGTTTTTTGAGCATTTTTATTTTTTCGAATTTTATTTTCTTTCGGAATTTTTTTTTTAATATTTGGATTTTATTAATTACAAACAAACAAAGAAAAAATGCTTACCGAAAATGATATTCAACAACAATATCCATTACATTGTTTAGTTTGGAAAAATTCCGTTGAAGAATTGAAAAATTATCTTTCATTACATTCCAAGGTAGGCACCATTTGTAAACTTTTCTTATTAAAAAAAATGGAAAAATTTCATTATTTTTTCTCTCATCCATTTGATTTTCAAGGACGTAAATCTTGAACAAAAAGATAATCGTCAACGAACACCATTAATGTTGGCCACAGCATTAGATCATAAAGAATGTATACGTATTTTATTGGATCATAATGCATTGGTTAATGTAACGGATTATAGTGGTTTTAATGGTATGGTAGTATTCGGTTGAAAATCAAATCAAATCAATCAGTTTCCATCTAATTTTCCATCATTTCTTTCTTTCATACGATTCTAGTTCTACATGAAGCAGTTACAACTGCTGATCCAAAACTAATACGTGATGTTTATCTTCGAAAAGAATTGCAACGTATAAATTCATTATTAATTGATGGTATTCCACAATTATTATCCAAAATATGTGATACAACAGATTTTTATCTAGAAATGAAATGGGAATTTACATCATGGTTTCCATTAATATCAAAATTATGTCCAAGTGATACATATCGTATTTATAAACGTGGTTCAAAAGTTCGTGTTGATTCTACATTAATCGGTATTGATGAAGTTACAAATGAAGCTATTATTGATTGGCAACGTGGTAATACTTCATTGATTTTATCTGGTTCGGAAAATGGTTGTACATTTATTGAAATTGATCATAATAAACGAACAGTACAAAAACGTACAATGGAAATTATACGACCAGATGAAGTGGATGATTTATTAGGCATAACGGATGATCAAATTGTTGATCGTTTAACACAACCAATCAAAACAATGTATATTGATACAGAAAAGGTGAATTTTGAACGAGCAAAATCCGGTTTTATTGGATTTCGTACTGATCGTATTGAACAATTTAATGGTTATGAATGTAAAGTTTATTTGGCACAAAATGTTGAATTTATAACTAAAACACGGATTGAACATTTGACGCAAGAAGATAAAAAACGTTATAAAAAATTAAAAGATTCATCATCACTGACATCGATACGATCGATTGTCGGTATACATGAACAAAATATTTTGAATCCATTTGAAAATGATTTGGAATATAATTCTAATCCTGAATTACGACGAAATCCATATCGTTTATCGATGGTTGATTATTTTAATCTTCAAAATAATCAAGATGATCAAGATCAACGTGATATTGGATCGCCAAGAGAAATGAATATAAAAAAACAATATTTCAAAGCAAATATTTGGATGTCGGATGATTTTCCATTATCATTAAAAGAACAAATATTACCGATTGTTGATATGGTTGCTACATATAGTTCACATTTTGCAAAATTACGTGATTTTATTCATTGTAAATTACCTACAGGATTTCCAGTTAAAATTGGTAAAATTTCTGTTTTTTTTTTCTGTGTTTTTCTGTGTTTCAAAGTGTTAATTTTTTTTTTCATTGAAAAATTTTTTGACAGAAATTCCATTATTTCATCTACTAAATGCAGTAATAACATTTGGAAATGTATTTGCACAAGATCAACCTGTTGATGGTGTACATATTATCAATTTGAACATCGATAATAATGATGGTAATCAAAGTGTTAATCGTAAATGTACAGTAGATGAAAAATGTTTTGAACCACCTGAAGATTATGAAATTTTGGGTGAGTTTTTCCCAGTTGATTTTCATTAATTATTCAATCAACAATTTGTTTAACCCTTCACCACTACCCAAATAGGTAATGATTCAATATTTTCAATGATGAATTTTAATAATCATCATAATGAAAATTCATCTAACCAAAATGAACATAATAACCATGATGATGATGATGAATATGTTAAATATATACTTAATCAATATAATAATGATGATAAAAAATCATTATTATCAGCAACGAATGATGATGGTAATGGTGGTGTTAAAAATAATAAACTTTTAGATTTAAAGAAAAAAACCGATCATCAAGAAAAGGATAGGAAAAAATCAAACAAAATTGAACCAGAATTATCAATTATGGAAGCATTAAATTATGATTCGGAAAAAGATTTACAAAAGTAAGTTAACCCTTTGGGAGAATTTTCTTAATTTTTTTTCCAATTCTTATTATAGAGCCATACAATTAAGCTTGATGGAATATAATCAGAAAAAAGATCATTGTCCACCAGAAACATCATCAACAGCAGCAGCAGCAGCAGCTGTAAATCAAACTTATGCAAATGGATCGATTGTTAAATCAAAGAAAAAATTGACAAGTAAAAAGCTGATTGATCAGTCGGATAATCTACCTATGATTGATGCCGATGATGATAAACCTGAGGATCAATGTTCATTGAAATCATCAACATCTTCATCATCATATCAAAGCTGTGATAATTCTAATAATAATGATGTTTCTGCCACCAATAACGATCATCATCATGATGGTGATGGTTGTAATTCAAATTCAAATGATGAAAATGAAGAAGAACGTCTAATACGTTTAACAATGGAACAATCAAAACGTGATCATGATGAATATGAACGTCGTCGTCAATTGGAAGAGGATGAAATTTTTAATCAAATTTTAAAATTATCATTAGTGGAAAAGTGAAAATTATAAATTACAAAAAAAAATCTTGCAAAAATTACAAAATCTTTTTTCGTTTTTAGTTTGTTTTTTAACGATTTCTTTTTCGTCATTTCATTTCCACAAAAAATTTATTTTAAATTTTTAGAATCATTTCTTGTTACATTATTTTTTTGTTTTTGTTTTTAATTCTGTATAGGCAAACTAAAAACATTTTTTAAAATTTTAAAAATTAAACTAAAATGTATTATTCAGGCAAATTTTTTTAAGAAAAAAATTAAAAAAATAAAAATTATCATTGACAACGACTATTGGCTATGACTGAAAGTTCAAGTTGAGTGAGGTTAGGTTGATGACTATGATGTGCTATTGACTATGACTGAAAGTTCAAGTTGGGTTAGGTTAGGTTGATGACTATGACTGGCTATGACTGAAAGTTCAAGTTATGTTAGGTTAGGTTGATGACTATGATTGGCTATGATTTTAAATTGTGGTTAGGTTAGGTTAGGTTGATGACTATGATGGGCTATGATTTTAAATTGTGGTTAGGTTAGGTTAGGTTGATGACTATGATGGGCTATGATTTTAAATTGTGGTTAGGTTAGGTTAGGTTGATGATTTTTTTTTTGTTTTTTTTATTCTTGTTGTCTTTATACGATAAAAGAATTATGAATGAAAAAAAAATCTTCTTTTTTTACTATTAGCATTAATGGAGGGTAGTGGTAACAAAACAAAAACAAGGTGGTGGCGCCAAGCGCCAACAAAACGAAAAATTGGGCGCCTTTCATTTCCCCTTATTATTATTATTATGATGATCATCATTACGCAAAAAAAAGCTTTTGTGCATGTCTATATATGAATGGTTAGTTTGTTTTGTTTTGCTTTGTATATCGCATATATTTTATATAGACGATCCAAACAAACAAACGATCATTACCATTATGTTGAGAACAAGAAAAAAATAATGTTTCTCTTCATTTTCACCTATTTTCTCTCTTTTTCTCTCACATTTTTTTTTATTTTCACATCACATAAACTCAATATATTATGAATTATTCGATGAAATGTGATACGCAATATTTGAAATATGGAATCTCTATATAGACGAAAAAAATGTAACAAAAACGATTTTCTTCTGTGTTTGAATTCATTCGTTAATCTAACCTAACCTAATTGAACCAAAAAACAGGACGATTCCATCATTGTTTTGATTTGTTTTTGTTGTGTCTATGTGTGTGCTGTGTGATGTGTTTATGTTTCTGGAACTACACTCTGTATATAAACATCATGGTTATATAGATTCTTACCAATCATTTGATGTTTGTTTGTTTGTTTATGATTGATTTTCGCATAATAAAAATCTTCATCTCATTCCCAAATGATTCCACGTTGTCAGAAGACAGAAGAAAAGAAATTGAAATTCCTGTAAACAATTTTGTTTTCAAATGAAAAGGTATGACATTTTCTCTTTGTTTTTTTTTCAAATTACAAGGTGACAAGGCGACAATCAATCAATCAATCAATCAATCAATCAATCGATTTTCAATCAGTGTTTTGATTTGATATTTTGATCAAAAAATGATAAAACAAAATTCATTCGAACAACAACTGTTTGTTTGTTTGTCACATAAAAATGTGTAGGTGTCGAATATAGAATAACGAATGTTGTTGTTGTTGTTGTTACTCAAACGGTACAAAAACAAAAAAATCTTTTGAATTGCTTTGATGAATGAGAATTCATATCTTTTTTTTCGTTGTTTTGCCTATGATTTGATGGTGGTATAAATAAATCACAGGCTAAAATTACCCGGAAAAACAAACATTATTTTAAGGAAACTTATTTCATATAGAATCTTTTGCCAAAAAAAAATCTTTTTCCTATAATCTCTCTTTGTTCGATGACCCCTTTTTTTGTGATTTGAAGAATTTTTTTAAGAAAATTTTCTTTTCTGATTTTTTCCAGATAAAATTATCATTTTTCTGATTCAATTTTTCTTTCAAAGAATCGAACAAAATTGATCTTCGACAACAAAATCAACAACGACAAAAAAGTGAATCGAAAAGATTTTTTCAAACAAAAATTTTTCATCATTTGAGAAAAGAATCATGTGACGATCATCGTCGACGTTCGCCGAATCACCAAAAGTGCCTTAAAAATTCACCAAAATCATTATCGAAGTCACCGAAACGAACAAAATCATCGCCCATAAAAGACCAAAAATCAAAAAATGAAAGAAAATTTTATCGAAATTTACGTGAAAAAATATTTTTGAAAAGGAAAAATTCCCGAAAACATCAATCATCGACATCAACAAATCGAATCGAATGTGAATCAACAACCAAAACAACCAAAACAAAACAAAATCTAAAGTTTAACAATTTTGACCATGGTGATGATGATGAGTTTATTGAAATCAACATTATCGCTGATGATGATCGACGATTAGATTTGGATTCAGAAACCACAACAACAACAGCGACCATACAAACTTATCAGGTTAAATTTGTTCCAGAAATTTCAGAATTAATCGAAGTAATTTTATCATCTTCAGAAGATTCAGATGATGATGACATTGATGTTCATTTTGAATTGAATAGTGGAAAAAGATTTCGAAAATTTTTCCGAAATTTTATAACCCGAACTAATCGATGGAAACGACGTTCGAAAATAGCAACAACAACAACAACGTTTAACGATAATAATAACAAAGTGAGTGTAAAAAGAAAACTCAATACAAGTGATGATGATCATAATGGAACAATGTCTCGAATGAAACCACCATCAACATATACTATTAATAATAATCATTCATCAACAACAAATAATCCATCCATATTATCAACAAATTTTCATCATAATCAACAACAACAACAGAATGATAATAATGATGGTAATAAAGAAACTAACAATAAATTGATCAACAATAGTGGTGATCGATCATCGTCGTCGACAACAATAACCAGTAAATTATTACCACCAACACAAATTCAACCCAAATCATCATCATTATTTCGTGGATTACGTTCACGTATACCACCACCACCACCACCAACACAATCATCATCATTATCATCGACATCTAAATCAACCGGTAATGTTAATCTAAGTCAATCAACAAGACAGAATAATTCTTCAAATATCGGTGCAATATCCAATAATAAAAATATTGGAAATGGTAAATCAAAATCATCATTAAATCATAATGATATTGGTTTGTTGAATAAACCAACAAAATCAGTACCATCATTAGCTTCATCATCATCGTCATCATCATCTTCATCTTGTTCATCATTGAATCGTGGTGAAAAAAATCCACTAAATAAAACAAAATCAACACAAAAATCATTGAAAATTTTGAACAAAAAATTCGAACAAAAACAGGCTCATCAGCGTAGATCATCATCATCATCAAATTTATTGGCTCAATCATCGACAACAACGGATTTTCCGCTTGATCATATTAAATCTGGTCCAGCTTTACCACCAAAACCATTGTTAAAAGATTCCAATTCAGCAACAACAACAACAACACAAACGAAAACATTATTAATATCACCAATTCGAACACAACAGGCACAGATTATTTCGATGGTTTCTAATTCTACTGTTGGTGGTACCGTACAACAGCAAAGTCAAAATAGCAAAATAGCGGAAACTTCGAAAATACAAACTTTGATTAATAAACCGGATCTGAATTGTATTGGTATTCCAACAACAACAACAACCGCAAAACCATTGATTTATACGAATCGACAACAACAACGTTTAAATTTTCTTTATGGTAATGTAAATATGCAACAACAACAACAACAACAACAATCGCCGGTTTCGGTAAATAAATCAACAAATATGTCACAACAACAACAACAACAACAACAATCGCTACCTCGTTTAACGTTGGGAAGAACGAATAATCAGCCACAACAACAACAATCATGTTATCGTCGACCATTACCATCGACAAATATCAATTCAATCAAAACAAACAATCCTAATCATCATCATCATATTACTAATCCAGTACAATTTCATGGTATACATGGCCGAATTAAATCGAATTATAATTGTAAGTTTGGTTTTTGGTTTGTTTTTGGACACCAATTTTTGATGTTTACCTTTTTTTTTCCAAACAAACTTTTTAACCTTTAGCTCAAATTCCATCAAAACAATTGGAAATGATTGGTGGATCATCAGCTATATCAACATCAGCGACTACTACTTTATCATCGAATCATTATTTTAATCCATATAGCCGTTATCAATATCAACATCCATTAAATGTTCGAAATAATAATAATAATAAACAACAATTTCAACAACAATTATCATCAATAATGAACAATAATAATAATGTTTCTTCTTCGAATAATCATATATATCGTGCTGTACCAACAACCATTACATCATCATCATCATTACCATCATCGAATATTCCACAATCCAAAGAACAAGATTCAACGAATAACCGGAAAACATTGGAAGATTTTTATGTTTCGAAAAATAATCATCATTTACCATCATCGCTATTATCGTCTAAAAATTCAACAGCAACGAAGCGTCCTGTGGTTGATTATAATAACCAATCGGAAAAATCTATGGACAATTTTGATTTATCCGAACATGGAACATTTTCTGGTTGTTCTTCATCCATTTCAATGACTGATGATAATGATTTTGATGGTGATGTTGATGATTTTGATGATGTCAATGGTTTAAGTTCTGAATCCAGTAATATTGATAATAAACTTGGCAAATTAATGTCAACAAGCAATGATAATTGTATTCGATCATCAACAAAATCAATCATAACACAACCATTATCATCAACATCAATATGTTCAACAGCTAGTACATCGGCTGCATCTAGTTTTGTATATGATGGTCATCATAATCATAATCATCATTATCGAACACGTAATGGATCAACATCAACATCATCATGTTCGAATCGTGATTTATTTTTAATTGATGATGAAATTGCTGATCAACCTGAATTGCTCATTTCTGGTGGAAATAATGGTACGAATGTTAATGTTGAAATAGCCCGACAACAACGAACAATAAATCTTTCACAAATATCAAAAGAATCAATTGAAAAAGATTGGCCAATGTCACCGACAAAAACATTAACACCAACAACAACAAATTCAACAAATACAAATAATTCTGGTTCATCATTAGAATTAACAACAATATCATCGAATATTGATGATTTTTCTTTATCGGAACAATCGCCAACAACGATGAATAATAAACAAAAATCAATCAATAGTCCTACCAATACAACAACATCATCATATGATTCAATGTTACAATCATTGAATAATGAATTGGAAAATTTAATTTTACAAACAACACAGATTGATTCATCAACTTCAACAACAGCGAAACAACAAGCAAATTCATTAGATTCGAATGAAATTGATAGTTCCGATACGAATATATCTAGTCAAAATATAAAACGTATAGCATCATCTAAATTACGTAAACGTCATTCGTATACATCATCAACAAACACATCAAATCTTAACAATAAAGTTCCTGTATTTAGACGACCAAGACCATTATCGTTTGTTGAAAAAGATGATGGTTCATTTGGTTTAGATCAACCATCATTACGAGCGGTTGCACAGGATTTAATCGGTATAAAAACATTATTATTTCGTTTACAAAATGTATTACAAAATGTAAGTTTTTTGTTGAATTTGTTCTGAATTTGAATTGGATTTTTTTTCAAATCTGCAGAGTGAAACACAGAATCCATTTGAAAATCATCATCATCATCATCATTTAAATCATCGATATTCATTTGATTCGTCGAATAATTCGACAAAATCATTGACACCAGTATCATCGTCTGGCAATGATCATTCATCATTTGATGAATCAGTACAATTATTACGTGAAGAAAATTTTGATCTACGACAACATTGTCAAATGTTGGAACAAAAATTAACGGAAAAAGATTCAACTATTCGACTATTACAACAACAAATGGTTAGTATGGTTGGATGTGAAACAAAAAAGATCACATGTGTGAAATTTTTTACTTTTTTTTCTGATAAAAACTTTATCGATGTTTTTTTTCTATTTACAGTCTAAATATACGATGACCAACTTTAGCAACAACAACAACAACCATCCGCATCATCATTCACAACGTCAAATAACAACAACAACGATAGAAAATGGTTGCCAATTCGGTGAAGATTTACATAATAATAATAATAATAATATGTATTTGATGAAAAAAAATCATCAACAATTGTCAAATTCAACAACAACTAATGATTACTCAATTAATAAACAGCAGATGATGATGATGATAAATTCATCTACACAAACTGAATGAATTGTTTGTTTGTGTTTTAATCATTATCGTAAAAATTCATTTATCTGACGACAACATGTGAATTTTATAACCGAAAAGGTGACAATTTGAAAAGAAATTGGCGATAAATCAAACCCACCGCGGTACACTGTTAAAATAGTCGATAAGCGGATGATATTCGAAAAATACTCAATTGTGTTAAAATAGTTTTTAGAAAAAAAAATCGAACGTTAACTGTGATCTGATCTGATAATAATCCTAAATAAACAAATGATCAGCCAGAATTCAAAATTGTAATTTTTTTTCTATAAAAAACATTTAAAATAAATCTAATTAATGTGGGAAATGAATAAAGAAAAACGATGAAATCAAATTCCATTTGAATCGGAAATGAAAAAATGAATCCTTTTTTTCCAAAATCCTACACACAACAAAGGACAATAATGTCTATTTGGGATTTGATGATTGTGTTTTTTGTGCAAAAAAACAAGAAATGAAAAAGTTTGTATTTTTTCGACTTTTGACTTTTTTTGATTTCATTGGTTTGTATCATCCGTTTCAATTCGTTGATGATGATGATGATAATGATGACAATGATGATGATGACGATGGTGATGGATCAATGGAATGATCAAATAGAATGTTGTCGGTGTGTGTGTGTTTGTTTGGAAAATCATCATCATCATTTTTTTATGTAATGACATAAATTTTGTTGTTGTTGTTGTTGAACACATTCAATGTGAAAAGGACAACAACAACAACACAATTGATAATCATATCTTCTTTTTTTTTCGTTTTTTATGGATTAGATTTTTTGTTGTTGTTGTGATTGACTTCCGGAACAAGACATTGAATTCTCTCTCTCTCTCTCTCTCTCTCTCTCTCTCTCTCTCTCTCTTCGGGACAACAACAACAAAAAAAAATTGATAACCCAAAACGTTGATTGGTGAATATCATCAACATTGTTCCATTGAACAAACTAATTTTTTTCAGGAAAAAAATGTTTTTTTTTTGTTGTCGTCAGTTGTTGTTGTTGTTGTTGAAATTTGATTGTTTCAAATGAATAACCGATATGAGAAGATGTTGTTCAATCATGTTCTTCCCGAAAATTTTTTTTTTTTTTAAAAAAGTATGGACCAAATCATCATAATGATCGGGGATGTTCAAGTTTAACAATTGTCAAATTAATTAATTTCATTTAATGATTATTTTGGATTGTTTTGACTAATTAATTTGAATTTGTTAAACAAACAAAACAAGCAAACAATGATGATTGGTCCCTTTTTTTCAAACTAACTTTATGGACGTACGGACGGAAGAGAGAGAGAGAGGCAATCATCATTTGGATATTTTTTTTTTTTTTTGTTTCAAAAATCCAAAAAAAGTTTCCCAATTTTTTTTTCTACCATCAGAACAAACAATCGGAAAACTGAGGTTTTTTTTTTGTTTGTTTGTTTCTTCTTCCAAAAAAGAAATTTATTTGGGAAAACAAAACAAAACAACAAAACAAAAAAAAATCATAAATTCGATCGGGAAAAAGCTATAGAAAAACAACAACAACAACAAACGGAACAATATTGATGATGTTCATACATTTTTTGTATGAATGATGAATGAATGAAATGAAATGATGATTGTGATGTGCTGATGATGATGATGATTTTTTTTCCACAATAAAATAACAATGTTTTTCATCATCATCGATGACAAGGATGTGTAAAATTTCTTTTCGTTGTTTTTTTTATATTCCACCTTTATTGGAAAAATTATCATTTTCGTTTCTCACTATAGTCATATATTGTATGTTCTCCAATATGGCCAATTGTCAATATGATTAACCGGCCGACCAACCAACCGATGATGATCAATATGATTCAATAGAAATTAGAGTTAAAATCAAATCAAATCAATCAATCAATCAATCGAATGAGAAAACAATGGAACAAAAAAAAGACCATCTTATGTAATCAATATCGGAAAAAATGATGACCATAATGAAAAAAGTTCAGGAGAAAAAACACACACACGTGACACACAAAGATGAAAACTTTTGATTTTTGATGATAAATTCCACTTATAAACCATAATTAAAGATAATTAGAATAAATTATTCTAATTATAATTAATTTACAGTGTGAATTTTATCATCATCATTATCATCCAAGACAAAACATGGCTAAATGGATGTGGTCTTGTGGTTACCAATTATCATCATGTTCACCAATTAATCTTGATTCTTTTAAAAGAATATTTCCAATAAATCAATCGATCAAAAAAAAAAATATCCATGAAAATCTCAAATCCAAGTTTGAATAATGATGAAAAATACAAAACGATAAAACGTGACTACCGGGTCTTTATGAAAAAAAAATTTGTAAAATTTTCCATTATCATCATTTTTTTGATATGATGATGGTGAATTGTCTTTTCTTCTGTTGTTTGTTTCGGTAACATCTTCAATATTCATCATTATCATCATCAACATTCAATGATATCATTGGGGAATAACAGAAAAAATTTTTTTGGGAAAGATTTACAAGTTGAAACATTCACAATTTCGAATTTTGGAAAACGAAATCTGTTTATATTCAAATTTCTTCTTCTTCTTCATTTTCTTCGTTTTATTTAATTATCATTCATTCATCATATCACCATGCCATCATAATCATCATCATTTTCTTCGACGTTTTTGACCTGTGTGTGAAAAGAGAGAGAGAGAGAGATAACAAAATGAAACCCAACCAATGAAAAAAAACAATGAAAAAAAATGAATTTTACTTGCTGCTGTTATTGTTGATAATCAAATGATTAAATTATTCATTCATTCATTCATTCACAACCTGTTTTGTTTTTCCCCAAATCTTTTTTTCTATTCGAGATGTTTGTAAAATACTTCCCCCTTTTTTTCTATACGAGATGCTGAATGAAAAAACAATAAAAAAAAATTTTTAATTAGAATCTGTGGAAACAAACAAAAACAACAGTAATTTTGTTAATTAGATGTGAAAATTATCATTTTTGTTTTGTTGTTGTAATTCTTTTCAACAAAAAAATCTCTTACTTTCAATTTTGTCTTTGAGCAAGATCATGGCCTCACTTTAAATGAATAAAAATTACTTAATATTACACAACAACGAATACAAACGATGATTATGATGATGAACATCATGGAATCATCATTGTTTGTTTGTCGGACTTGAATTGGATGATGATTATGATGATGATGATCAGATTCGTTTTTGAAGGAAAAAAAAAGCGGAAACGAAAAAATCAACAAACAAACGAGATAAAAAAACATTCGAATGAATTACTCGAATGATGATGATTATTTTGACTGATCGAATCATCGAGGTCGAAATAATCTCCCTTTTGTTGTTGTTGTTCGTAAATCATATTCGAACGAATATTGGCTACTGGGCAACGATGGATGATTTTTTTCCTTTTTTCTTTTTTTTCCCCGTTTTTCGTAAATCCGATTGGTTTGAATTGATTCTAATTGGTCAAGATTGAATTTGAAGAAAATGAATGAAAGTTCAACTCAATTTAACTATACTGGTCATTTGTTACGGCTGAAATATCATGGATATTGGTCATCATCATCAAATAAGTTGTTGTTGTTGTTGTTGAAGATCATCATTCGAAAAAGAAAAAAAACATTCGATTGTTTGAAGAATATGATGATTACTCGTGAAACGAAGCGAAATGACAAAGACGAATCATCAAAAAAATGATGTCTGATGTATTATCATCATCATCGTCTTCGATATGATAATCAAAGAAATTTTTTTTTCATTTCATTTTTGACATTTGATTGCATTTGTTGATTCCATCACCACCATCATCATCACCGCCAATCATAATCATAATCATCACCGGAAAATACATTCAAACGCTTGTTTTGTTTTGTTTTGTGATGATTTGGAAGATAGGAAGATATTTTATCCATTGTCTTTGCCTTTGATGTATTTGGTGATTGGATGAATGTTTTTTTAAAACGAAATCCGAAAAAAAATCAAAAATTTTGTTGACAAAAAAGATGACCAAACGAAGATTCGATCCATTATCCATCGCCATCACCATCTTTTTAATCAACTTTGAAAAAAGAAAAAAAAAGAAAATTCTTCATTCATCGAAAATCCACTAATGATGTATGTGTATATCCTGCTTGTAAATAAATATTATTACAATGTAACCAATCATCATCATCACCCTCAATTCCATTATCAACTGATGATGATGATGATGATCATGGTATACCATCATCATCATCATCTTTTATTTCAAATGATCAACAACAACAGAAACATATCCATCTTTTTTGTTCCTATCTTTTATCGACCAACAAAACTGATTATTTGTCAGCCAAGTCAACCAGTCAGCCAGTCAGTCAAATGAATATAATATCCTCTCATCACATATAAGGTAAAAAATGAAAAGGTACATTTCCTGTGTGTGGATGTCAATCCAATGATTGTTGTTGTTTAGCAAATTCACATAATTTTTTTCTACTTTTTTTTATTGTTGTTGACGGACCATAAATATCCATATAGCCACCATCATCATCATCATCATCATCATCGGTAATCATCAACAACATCAAATCATGACCATAATTCATAATAGAAAATTCATTCATTTTTGTATTTGTTTTCGGGAAACAAAACAAATGAAAAAGAGAATGTATGTATGTTTTTATATTTTCTTACGCGGGTTTTTACACAAAACTTTCTCTTTTTTTCTCAACAACAGCAACAATAACCGAAAGATATGATGATAGAATCATTGAAAAAAATAAAGAAGAGCCGAAAAAATGAACAAACGATACGATACGATACGATATATGACAAACAAGATTTAATGTTTTTCTTTATTATCATATATATAATTCATTGAATTGTATGAAAAATAAAATGTTTCAACGGATCATCTCTTCTGTATGAAAATTCCTTTCTTCCTTCCTTCCTTCCGTAGACCATCATCATCATAATGGATTGAATTGTCTCTTCTTGATCGTCGTCGTCGTCAACGAACAATCAACGATCATCATCGGGTATAAAAAGTCATCACAATCATTTCGATTTCATATCATTCAAAGTTGTTTCTCAATCTCAGTGTGATCAACAACAACTTAAATAAAAACTGATCGACCAACGATAACTAATAAATTTTCGACATGAAGCTGAAATTTTTAGCAATATCATCACTGATATTGGTTATCACTTTGATAGTAAATCTATCCGAAGTTGATGCCGGTAAAATGAAAAAAATGATGAAAGATATGATGATGATGGGTATGATGGGCGGTAAAAAGAAGATCATCATTCCGATTCCAATACCAATGAAAATGGGCGGTGGATCTAAGTGTGTGTATGTACCACAACCCTATCCTGTTATCAAATATGTCGAAAAACCTGTTTAGTAAGTTTATGTTAATGAACATTATCTAACTAACAAATATTCTTTTTTTTTGGAAATTTTTCTATTCAATCCTGCCCGAATATATTCCTTAATATCCCAAAAACCTTTTCTTTTTTTATCCAAAAATTTTTAGCATGAAAAGTGGCGGTTATGGTGGCGGAGGAGGTGGATATGGAGGCGGTGGCGGTATGATGATGGGTAAGCATTAATTTGATTGATTTTTGATTGGTAAACGTTTGGTCTCAAATTCGAATGCTATTTGTGAACTAGGCGGTTACGGAGGCGGCGGAGGTGGTGGCTATGGAGGCGGCGGCGGCGGTGGCGGCGGATATGGCGGTAAATAATCTAAAAGTGATGTGATTTTTCTTCTAAAACATTTTCTCAACATATTTATTTTGGTTATATTTAATAGGTGGTGGTGGTGGTGGCTATGGAGGCGGCGGCGGAGGCGGTAAGAATAATTTGATATATTTGGAAAAAAATTCATAATATTCAATCGATTATCTTTTAAAATAAATTTAGGCTACGGTGGAGGTGGTGGTGACGATTATGGTGGCGGCGGTGGTGGTGGTGGCGATTATGGTGGGGGTGGAGGCGGCGGCGGTGGTTACTAAAAAAACCGCAGGAAAATAATCCGCACAATATAATTTATAACCTGATTAATACGTTACACGTGTATATATAAAACCCCCCAAAATCGCTAATTTAATGTTTCATAATTTTGCCATTTCTTGATGAGAACCGATCGATCATCATTGATCATCTTATCGCCATCAATCAACATTTCATAACATAATTATCATCCACAATCATTCATTCATTCATTCAACATTCATTTTGTCCTATCGTCGTCATTATTAATCGTCATTCATTCTCGTGTGTTGTACATCATCATCATCATTATCATCATCATTATTGTCAGCCTCAACCTTTTTTAAAATTTTTTTTAGTCATTCCGTCAAACGCCATTCATTCATTCATTCATCACCACATACATCACATTACGTCTTGTTCGTCCATTTTTTTATTTGTGAAAATTGTTTCCCCCTATCTTGATTTTGACCTCCCCCCACATTCACAATCATTTTGGTTTCATTCGACTGTATTCCACACAACTATATTATTTCCCCCCTAATCAAACACTGATTGATTGAACGTAATCAATCCTTTTGACTCCCCCTATTTGATTTACCTGATCGGCAAAAAAACAAAAACAAAATTTTTATCATTATTGTTGAATTAAAGAATTTCTGGCTGGTTACAGAAATCTTTATTCAATTTTCAAATGTAATGATTTTTTTTAAATTGTTCAATCAATTCAAACTAAATTTATTTCTTTTCAATCAAACGAAAATTCCGATTAAAATTATTTACAAATCATGATTCTTTTTTTATTCACTTTCATTCATTCACCTGATGCAATTCTTATTTTCCATTGTTTATCATTCGAACTAGTTTCATTGGATTTTGGACCCAATACAACAACTTTACTATCGGATAAATTCTTTCCAATCAGATATTTTTCAGCAACTTCTTGTATATCTTGCCTAGTAACATCTAATAAACGATAACGATATTCTTGTCGCAGTTGATCAGTTATACCTGTTAAAAATTGTTCAATTCCTTGTTCACCAGGTGGAATTGGTTGATCAATTGATTGAAATATTTGTAATTTTGCTTCATCAATTTCATTATCATCAAAATTTTTTGATCGTATTAACCATTCACCCGTTTGTTCGAATGCGTTTATTGTTTCATTGATATGTGGATCACGATATGAATAAAATTGAAACATACCACCATTATCTAACCGAGAACCACCACCATATGCACCACCTTTTTCACGTATTTCTTTATGTAAAAATTTCATTGATACTAAACTTGATGCAATACGTAATTTTGCATGATCATTATGTGTATATGGTATACAATATAATGAACGACCTAAATAATTTGTTGAAAATGGAAATATAAAATGTTCATTCATTGAATTGGATTGTATTGTTGGCATAACAAAATCAATTGCTGTTGGTTCATCATTGTTCATTGTTGTTGTTGATGATGATTTGTTTGCTGTCGATGAATGTTCAAATGAATTAATAAATTTTTCCAATATTTGTAATGATGTTCGCATTGTTACTGCTTCAGCATTTATTGCACATCTTATCGAATCAGATTGAAAACAAATCCCGGCAATTTGTTCTAAATGTTTAATAATTTCACGAACTTTATCTTGACTTGCAGCCATTAAACGAAAATAAGCTAATGATGATATACCATTGGTTAATTCACGAAATTTATATGCACCACCAAAAAATGATGATGCACGACGCATTGCATATTGATGTCCTTGATGTGGTACACCTTGTGCCAATTCAGCTGAACATATTCGTATTAATTGCATCAAATGATCTGGATCATCATTAAATCGTATACCATTAAATATTTCGGTCCATAATTCAAACATTTGTTCAAGATTACGTTCCAAACAATAAGAACCAAGATAAATACCAGTTTCAAATTGATCAAATGTTTTTGGATTATCGGCAATATGTACCAATGATGTTAATCCACCTGTATGCATCTGTATCTTTTGATCTAATTGTTTTCGATCCAATCTACCTGCACCAAGTTTACATAATACCTGTGCAAACAATGGTAAATATGGTACCAATTTTTTCGGGAAAATTTCCGGTTTCAATTGTATAACCGTATTAAAATAAACAATACCATTTGTTGGTTGTGTACTATATTGAATAGGAATCATTCCTATTCGTATGTTTTCTAAATTTGTTTTCAAAATTGTACGATTAATATCCTGTATAGTTAATGTTGGTAATATGCTAACATCTTCTTGTTGATTTTGTAATTTTAATAATTCTTGACTATTTTTTAATATTTCTTCATGATCTTTGTTTGATAATTGTGAAATTTTCATATTCAATATTGATTGTTCATGATTTTGTAGTTGATTTTCATAATCCGGATCAGGACTCATTTCAATCAATAATCGATGTTTATTATCTAAAAAATATTGTTTAATTTTTTTCTGTAAATATTTTGAATCTGATTGAAGATTTTCTTTAAACTGTTCAACTTGTTTGTTAATATTAAGACATTCAATTGGATCAACATCATGTATCCATGAACTATTAATATACATTAACAGACCTAAACCAAAATTTGATCCTTGATGTTTAGTACTCAATTCAATACGATGTAATATTGCATCGATACGTTCCTGTGGAAAACCATCCGTATAAGCATCCATTAATGCCATATCAATAGCTTTCATAACTGTATTACATTGATCTTCAGATATACCTTGTAAACCAATAGAAAATAATGATTGTTTAGTAAAATTATGATAACCAGAAAATGGTGAATAATCTGAACCAAGACCTGAATCGATTAATGCTTGATAAAATGGTGAATTTGGTCCATCCATTAACAGTGTACACAATATTGATAATGTAAAATTTTCCTGTATATCTTGTAATGATTTTAACATCCAAGCAACACTTGCTGTTGTTTGACGATCTGGAAACGGTGCTAAAGGGTCATTTTGACAACGTAGTTTAACACGTTGATATTGCAGCCATGAATTTTGTTCCGGTATACGAGATTGTTCTTTTAATGATTCATTTGAATCAAATTGTTCAATTACTTTACCAATTGCTTGTAAATGTTTTTCTAATGGAAAATTTCCATATGTAAAAAATCTTCAAGTGAAAAGAAAAAAAAAACCAAATTAAATTAAATTCAGTTAACCCAGTTAATATTAAGATTTACGTACCTTGCATTCGAAGGATGATAATGACGACTATGAAATTGTTTAAGCTGTTCATAGGTTAAATCCGGTATTGATAATGGATCACCACCAGATTCATTACGATAAGTATTATCAGGAAATAATTTATTTATCATTTGACGTGTATAAATCGATGATGGACTTGACTGAAATTGAATAGAAAAGGGTGAAAATGAAAATCCAAATAATAAAAAGGTAATTACAACAATTAATACTTACAAAAACACCTTTCATTTCATTGAAAACAACACCTTTAAATATTAATGATGATTTATCATCATTAACATTTGAATATTCTAAACGCCAACCTTCTTGTAGAAAATCTAAATATCTTAAACGTGGATAAAATACAGCATCCAAATAGATTGACATTAGATTATAAAAATCTTTTTGATTTTGTGTTGAAAATGGATACATTGTATAATCACAACCGGTAAATGCATTCATAAATGTTGATAATGAACGTTGTAACATTTTCATAAATGGATCACGTACTGGATAACGTTTTGAACCACAAAGGGCTAAATGTTCTAAAATATGTGCAACACCTGTTGAATCATCGGGTGTTGTACGAAATGTAACACCAAAAACATTATTTGAATCATCACGTTCAATATGTAAATGTTCGGCACCATTTTTTTCATAAATCAATCGATATGCTGTTAAACATAATTCGGGTACTGATCGTATTGATTCTACTCGATATCCATGTAAACGTTGACCAATTTGAAATTTTTGTTGTTGTTGTTGATCTGTGATATTACCAGCCGAACATGATGATGATACATTTTGAATCAATAAATTTGCCGGAATCGATGATGATTGAATATTTCTTATTGGCAAAAATGAAAAGATTGTTTGTCTGTTTGTTGATTGTAAAGCTGAAAGTTTTTTATAATGAAATTGATATTTTTGATTATTATTGAATCGTGAAAGAGAAAATGATTTCGATAAATTTCGTATTCGATACATTTTTTTGTTGTTGAAAAATTGGAAATTTTTTTTCAGAAAAAACCAAAAAACCACCGCAGAACCAAAAAATTCTTAGAAGAATCACATGTGACGATAATTAATTGTTAAACATTTACGATAGATGGTGCAACGAGTTCATCTTTTTTTTAATGAATATTTTCTGCTGGCCTTCATTTCATTTTAATCGTGTCATTCAAGCATTAATTCACTGCATTCAGTAACAATCATATGTTTTTTGTTCATCCCTCACATTTGATGATGATCTTGTTGATAACGAAGATTGTTTTCGGAAAATACTTTCTATAATTAATCAATTTTGGAAAGAAAAAATCAAAGTGAATAAATTTCCAATGAATTTTTCTTATGTGTGTTTTCAAATCGAATGACATCTAATTGATTGAATTTTTTCTCATTGAAAAACGAGAAAAAAGGAAAAAAGAGAAAAACTTATCGACAACAGGAATCCAACTCGATGATCATTTTTATTAATTGAGAAAAAAAGGCATGTTTATTTTGGGAAAACTCTAAAATTTCTGTTTCTGTTTTTTTGCAAAAGAATCTGTGTACGCCTGCCAATCTTCATACATTTATTTTTTCATTCAGTTTTTTCCTGTTTTATCCATCCAACATAATATATAGTTACACAAATAACACTGCAGTGTTTAATGCTACTTCCCAGCAACAACAACAAAAAAAAACTTTGGTTGACAAATTCTTTTTTGCGAATTACGACATTAATTTCTGTTTTTTCAATGGGATTTTTCCACCACCACCACCACCACCACCACCACTTCTTTTAGGTTAATATTTTTAATGTTTGTTTTTTGTTGTTGTTGTTGTTGTTGTTGATCGAATACAACCTTGATCTTTTTTGTTCAGTTTCAGTTTCAGGAATTATATTTTCTAATTGATTTTTTTTTGTTTTCTAATCAGACCAATCATCAATAAAATTGATTATCAACAAAAATTCAAGCCAAACGGATAATTTATCAATCAAAATTGGCCCGAATCTAATATTGATCATTATCAACATTCAAAAAACAAAAAATCTAATCATCCAATCAAATCGAATCATTTTTTAAACATTCGATTTCGTTTTTCCATCCTTCATCCATGTAAGTTGATTGATAAATGATTTTTTCTTTCTTTCTTTATCCAACCAAAAAAATCTTTGTCTTTAAATTGAATGATAAAATCGTTTCTTTTTTTTTCTTCTTGGCAGAGGTGAAAAACTAGCAATGTCAATATCATTTTGAATTGTTTCCAATTGAAATTTTAACTTTTTTCTTTTGTTTTTTTCCTCGTATAGAATTTCGGTCAGCATTACGATAAATAGGAAAATATGTTAAGAAACGTATTACGTGGTTATCGTTCGTCCATCATATCACCATCATCATCATCAATATTATCATCAAATTCAATATGGACAAATCATTCGGCAAATATTTTAAAATGTCAACAAAAATCGGATGAAAATCCAATGAAAAATGATGATATAAATCAACCACATCAAATACCTGAACGTGTTAAATATGTAATCGATGCAGAAAATCCATCATTTTTTCATATGGTTGAATATTTTTATCATCGTGGTTGGCAAATTGTTGAAGATAAATTAGTTGATGAATTAAAAGGTCGTATGAGTATTGAAGAGAAAAGAAAAAAAATTCGTGGTTATTTAAGTATTATTGGTCCATGTCATTCGGTATTGGAAGTATCATTTCCATTAAAACGTGATAATGGTGAATATACAATGATAAAAGGTTGGCGTGCACAACATAGTCATCATCGTTTACCAACAAAAGGTGGTATACGTTATAGTACGGATGTTTCATTGGATGAAGTAAAAGCATTATCTGCATTGATGACATTTAAATGTGCTGTTGTTGATGTACCATTTGGTGGTGCAAAAGCTGGCTTAAAAATTAATCCCAAAGATTTTAGTGAAAATGAATTGGAAAAAATGACTAGAAATTTTGCATTAAATTTAGCCAAAAAAGGATTTTTAGGACCGGGAATTGATGTTCCAGCACCGGATATGGGAACCGGTGAACGTGAAATGAGCTGGATTTCCGATACATATGCTCAAACAATTGGTCATACTGATTTAAATTCACATGCTTGTGTTACCGGTAAACCAATTAATCAAGGTGGTATTCATGGTCGTATTTCGGCAACTGGTCGTGTAAGTTTTTTTTTTGTAATGAATTTTTTGATTCGATTTTTTTTTTAAATTTATTCAAATTCTGTAGGGTTTATTTCATGGAATTGATAATTTTATTAATGAAGCATCATTTATGTCGATGATTGAATCGACACCAGGTTGGGCTGGTAAAACCTGTATTATACAAGGTTTTGGTAATGTTGGCCTACATGCAATGCGTTATCTACATCGTGCTGGTGCTAAATGTATCGGTGTTATTGAATGGGATGGTTCAATTTATAATCCGGATGGTATCGATCCAAAAGATTTAGAAGATTATAAATTAACAAATGAAACAATTGTTGGTTATCCAAAAGCAAAACCTTATCAAGGTGAATCATTATTATATGAACCATGCGATATTTTAGTACCAGCTGCAACCGAAAAAGTTATTACCAAAGAAAATGCTCATAAAATTCAATGTAAAATTATTGCCGAAGCAGCTAATGGTCCAACAACACCGGCTGCCGATAAAATATTGATTGATCGAAAAATTCTGATCATTCCGGATTTATATATAAATGCCGGTGGTGTAACAGTTTCATATTTTGAATGGTTAAAAAATCTGAATCACGTTAGTTATGGCCGATTATTATTCAAATATGAACGTGAATCTAATTATCATTTACTTGGTTGGTTATTTTGATCACTTTGGTTTTTTTGATTTTTAAATAATTTCATTTTTCATTTTTTTCTTCTTAAATGAAAACAGATAGCGTTCAAGAATCATTGGAACGACGTTTCGGTAAATCCGGTGGCCGTATACCAATAGTACCAAGTGAAGCATTTCAAAAAAGAATATCCGGTGCATCAGAAAAAGATATTGTATTATCCGGTTTAGATTATACAATGGAACGTTCAGCTAGGGTTAGTTTGAATTTTATATAATGTTGAAATCTTTTCTCTAATTTTTCTTTTCTCTCTTTTTCAATTTACCTTAATATTCTTTCAGCAAATTATGCGTATTGTTCAAAAATATAATCTAGGTTTAGATCTGCGTACAGCTGCCTATGTAAATTCGATTGAAAAAATTTTCCTTACTTATAAAGAAGCTGGATTGACATTCACTTAGGTGTGGAATAATGTGAAGTAATAAAACCAAACCAACCAACCAACAACAATAGCAATGGCAAAAGAAATAATAAAAAAAAATCTACAAATTTTAATCTAAAAATCATTCATTTTTATAACATGCGATGTGTTTGAAATTGTTTTAGATCATCATCATCATCTTCTTCTTCTTCATTTTTTTCATTTTTTGTTTTGTCTTTTTTTTTTGTTTGTTTATTGAAATTGTGATGTTAATGCATACATTTATTCTGGTGTTATTATTATAAAAAGAAAAAAAAAAACATTTTGCAATTTTCATTTTGAATTCGGATGGTTTGGTTGGTTGGTGATGGTGGATAGATTTTTTCCAATTATATTTTAGACTAATTTTAGAATCCCCAACCAATATCATTTACAGACATAATTACGAAATGTCTTGAATGAGCGATGATGATGATGATGATAATCAGTCAAGTTAAGTTTAGTTAGTTAGCAACGAATCTAATTAATCGTGGCGCCAAACAAAACAAAACAAAACATTCAATGTCAGCTATGACGACGACGACAACAACGATGATGTAGACATAGAACACGGTCGGTCCGTTTAGAAGGAGAAGAAGAATATTCCGAAAATATTATGGCGCGTTTTTATTGCCCCTCACTTTTCCTCCCACCTCCAAACCCCATCCTTATTCGATTATGGTATTTAAACGACATCAAAATTCTTGAATGCGGGAAAGGATTTTTTTCTTTTCTTCTCTTCTCCATTCATTCATCAGCTAAATCCAATTTTGACTTTGTTTTCGTTGTTGTTCTTTGTCCGAATCTGAATTATGATGATGGTAAAACATTTCCATCAAGGTGATATTATCTATCAATCGGTGAATGATAAACCATTTGTTTATGTATTATTGGCTGATCAACGTTTGATTCGTTGTGAAAATTGTTTGTAAGTTTATTCATTTGAATTGAACTGAATGATTCAAGTTCATCATCATCAATTTTCCCCTTCCTCAAAATAAAGCAACAAAATTGAAGATGCAAAATTCATGTGTAAGGAGTGTCGATATGTTCGTTATTGTTGTAAAAAATGTCAGGTAATAGTGTCAGGTGTGTTTGATTAACGCAAAAATTGATACAAACGTTTTTTTTATTCTAATTTAGGATGAATCAACCGCTATACATTATCCCGAATGTTATGTAATACGAACAAGACCATTACGTACATTGACAAGAATGATTTTAAGAATTTTAAATAAAATTCAACCAAATGATAATGATTCATTTAGCGAAACAATTTATAATCATAAACGAACATGGAATTGTTTAATGGATCATTATGATCATTTAGTAAAAGATTTGGATGCAATGTTAATGTTTGGCGCTATTTTCGAAGAACTGGAATTATTCAATTTCCATAATAATAATAATCATCATTATAAGAATTTATCAATTGAACAATTAATAAGAATTTATGGAAAAATTCTTATCAATTCATTTGCAATAACTGATCAAAATTCTGGTCAGATAATTGGAAGAGCATTATATCTTGGGTAAGATTAATGTTGTATAGATTTTTTATCAGTAAAATTTTTTTTCTGAATTTCTGAAATTTCACAGTGCATCAATATTTGATCATACTTGTCATCATCCAGATCTTTATTATCAATTTGATGGTTTGAAAATTTATTTTATTGCAGCCCGAGATATTTGTTTACGAATAACCGATTTGGAAAATTTTACCGAAATAAATGATAATGATCAAGATGCTAAAGATATTGATCAATTACATATCAGTTATTTGGATGAAATTCTACCCGTATGGGAACGACAAAGAATTCTAAAATCGAATTATTATTTTGATTGTCAATGTCAAAGATGTCAAACGGATATGAAACGATTATCATCATTATCAACAACAGCATTCATTTCAAATGAATTAACACAATGTTTAGATTTGATTGAAGATGATTATTTTCAATCTGATTATTCCATAGAATTAATACAAATGGCAGTTGATTATTTTGATTTTATTGATAAAACAAACAATTCAACAATCTCGGTGGATATTTCCATGCAAACAAACACCGAATTGATTTCAAGAATCCAACATTTGATTCAATATAATCATCAACAACAAACATCCAATCAAATGTTATTGAAACAATGTAAAAAAATAATTTTGATCACCACTATTGATAAATCATGTCCATCATTAGATTTGATACGAATCAAAGATTTTCTATTATGTTATGATGATGATGATGAATCAGATTTATTGAATAGTAATGAATTTGAACAAATATTACAATCATATTCAAAATATTATGGTAATCATAAACATCCAAGAATTTTACGAAGATTATGGTTTTGGTTAGGGATATTATTGTTGAAAAAATTTTCAACGCCATCATCAACAACAACGACGACAAAAGTTATAGAAAATTTAAATATTTTATTAACATTATTATATCGTCGAGCGAAAATTATCAAATCTTATTTACAATCTGGTTAATTTAGATAAATTCTTAATCAACAGCTAAATAAATGCGTACAACTTTCCAGACAATTTTTCGACAAACAGGACCTAGAAAAAAACCAAAGAAAAAAAAACAAAATAAAATGAAAATTAAAACCAAATATGTATAAACCAGCCAATTCATCATTCACTGCATTATTACTTACATTTACCAAAACGACGAATTTTTTGCTGTGCACATAATAAACAAGAAATTAAATGACCACAATCCAATAGAACACAATCAATTGAACGTTCACAACAAAGCCAACAATCTGGTAATTTATTTGATGGTGACGATGATAATGCTGATGATGACAGATAAATCCAATCTTTTTGTTGTTGTTGTTGTTGAAATGTTGTTTGATCATTTAATATTTCAATTTTGGTAACCATCATTGGTCCAGAATTGGTTTGAATTATAGTCATTATATAACAAATTCAGCAAAAAACAAAACTATAACAATTTGTAAATTTGTTTTTTAAATTATAAACAGCCAAAACAAAAAATTAGAATTGCAATCATTATTTAATTTTTTTTTTAAATTTATTAATTCACAGTTTTAATAATTATTTTTTAAGGAATAATTAATTAATTAATTAGTAATAATAATGACATTAAATTTCAATCAAATTATAATGAGATGGATGATGAATTTCAAGAAAAAAAATACACAAATGATTTTTTCAATGTAATTTTTGTTTGAATGTTTTTGGTATATATTCAACAAATGAATCCGATTCAATCTCTGTGTGTGTGTGTTTTCATGGTTATGTTCAAAAAAAAAATGTGAGACAAAATATTTTTCATATATCGATTCAGAGATGAGACAATAATGTTCAAATGAAAGTTTTTTTTTTGCCCAAGAACCAATGGGGAAGAAAAATATTACATCATAGAAATTTAATATCACAGAATCAAGTTGAGAGAGAGAGAGAGTGTGTGTGAAAAACGGTAAATCCATTAACGAAAAATTTCGAATTCTTCAATTCAATTCAATTAAATCAAATATCATGATTCATCATCCGATAATGGTTCATATGATAGATTATTATTGGTAGCTGTTGTTGTTGTTGTTGTTGTTTTTGCAGTATTTGTTGTTTTAACAGATTCTGATGAAGTATTTTCTATAAAATATATGTAAAAAGAAAAAATAAAAAATTAAAAAATGAACCGAAAACAAAAAAACTATTGAAAATTTAAACTAACCATAATTGCTGCTATTCAATTTGATTACACCACTTTTGGAATTTTTTCCACCACCACCACCACCACCACCACCATCATCATTATCATCATTTGTTAATGAATTATTTTGACAATCAGGTGATGATGATGATGTAGGTGTTGGTTGACGTGGATTTTCATCGATTACCATTTCACCTGGTGAAATTGGTGAATCCGGAAATGTTGATGATGAAGATATTGGTGTTGTTTTCATATTATCCGTTACTGTTGATGAAGTATTTTCCATATTTTGATTTTGATTAATTGATGGCTGTGATAATTCTTTTTTACATTCTTCAGTTGCTAATTTTTTTGATGATGGTGTTGAAGATCGTGATGATGATCCACCACCAACATTACTATTTACCATTTCACCTGAAGATGACTTATTATCAGCACCACTTTCTCTTTCTTGTTGTTGTTGTTGTTCACTGCTGTTATTATTATTGTTTGATGCAGTCGAATAATTAGCTGAACTACTTATTGATGATGATGAAGATGATGTTCGTTTCATTGCTTCGGCAATACGATTTGTAATAAAAAATGGTGATTCATGTCCACCAGGTAAATGATGAATCGATGATGATTGATCAGTGGGAATTTTTGACGAAGATGATGAATGCTGAGGAGGCGGTGGTGGTGGTGGCGGATGATATCCAAATGGCAGAGAATAATTAAGAAAATTTGGCCAATTAGCAGTGGTTACTACTGGATTCGGAGGCTGTTGTTGCTGTGATCCTGATGATGATGATGATGAAGATGATCCTTGTTGTTGTTGTTGTGGTGGAGAAATTGGTTCAATATAATGTGAAAGATGTTTCAAATTAGGTGGTGGTGGCAATGGTGATGAACTTTTAGAAATATTACTACTGTTTGATGATGGTGGTGTCGATACATTTCCAGTCATATGAATTACTTGTTGTCGATGCACAGACGATGGATCTGTTGATTGATCCATTGGTTGTAATGCACGACGTAGTTTAAAATTATCGGCAACTGAAGATGTTGTAGTAGATGAACTACCACCACCACTAGACGACGATGTAACTGATACAATATTTAAATCATCACCACGTTTTGAAGATAAACGTGATGATGATGTTACCATTACAGCCGGTGATGATGATGATGAATTTGTTGTTGTTGTTGTTGTTGCAGAAAAATTCTGAATATTATCCGTAATCATATTGAATATTGTATCTCTTAATGATGATTGTTTTCCAGTCAAATCTATTCCCGTTGTTGCTGATGGCGTTGATGATGGTGGCTGTGATGGTATTTTATGTTGTTGATGAAATAAACTACCAATATCTAAAATCGGATTATTCGATGATGATGTTGGTGTATTCGAAGGTGATGGACGATTATTATTATTATTATTATTATTATTCATCGATGATTTTAAACGATTCAACGATGATGATGATGATGATGGATAATTTCCAAGACTACCACCTTTTGTTGAATCAATATTAATTTGTTTAGTAATAATAGCATCAATAAGATTTGCAGCTGTTAATCCACCACTTGATTGTGAATTTGATTCACGATCTTTTTGAAATGATTGTGAAAATAATTTCGATGCTTCATCCATTGATTCGGCTGTACTATTGTTTACATGACTTAATGATGATGTTTTATTTGCATTTCTTGGCGATCTAAGTTCATCATTTTTCGATGAAAAAGCGACAGCAGCAGCAGAAGCATTTTCAACTTGTTGCCGTAAACCACGTTCAAAATGTTCTGGACTAAATGGATTAAGTTCACGACCAAATTTAAGTCCAGGATTATTACCACCACCACCAGCAACAGCAGCAGGATTAACATTCAATAACGGTGGATAATTTAATAATTCTGGTCGAAAACTACTGGCAGTACTTGCACGTTGATGATGTTCTAATGCTGCTGAATGAAAATCACCTGGATAAAAATTTAGCTTTTTCTTTTGTTGTTGTTGTTGTTCGGCCAACAATAAATGTCGATCATGTTCGACAGATAAATGACCAGTCGGTGTGGATAACATTCCAAACGGTGGTGTAGTTCCTGGTGGAGGTGGTGGAAATCCTCTACCTCCTCTGAGATCAATCTGAGTTTCACCACCACCATGATGATGAATTTGATGATTATTAGCTGAAGATGGTCTTGATGAATCGGATGATCCAATTCGATGATTGCGATTAGATTTCGAAGATGAATCTTCTTTAGATCTATTATTATTATTATTATTGATTGATAGATCAGTAATCATCAAATCCTGACCAGGATGAGAATGATGGCCAGAATCATTCAATATAGGTGGATAAACAATACGATTCGACATAGCTTGTTTGATTTGTTGTTGTTGTTGATTAGATCCAGGCTGTAAATGTTGAGCAAAACTTTCGGAAAAACATTTTTCAAAACCTTCTTTATTTAAACGTGATGAAATCGATGTTGCACCAGAACCAGAACCTGATGTTGTTGTATTGATGGATGTTGTTTGTGAACTTGGCGGTATCGATAGACTTGGCTGTTGAATAGCTGCATTAACCAATGTAGCCAATGCATCATGTTCAGCTGGAAAATTATTATTATTATTATGCTGTATATTTCCCCTAGGTGAATGAGAATTTTTTAATAAATCTTCTCTTGGTGGTACTGATTGTATAACCGATGTTCCTTTTGATGATTGTTGTTGTTGTTGCTGTTGATAACATTGTTGTATAACATTTTGTCGATTCTTTGACGAGAAAAAAAATTCAAAATTAAAACAAAAATCATCATTATCAAAGACATACCAAAAATGCAATTGGATTCCAATGAAGAAAAGCTTGTTGTTGATCTAGAATTGTAGCATTTTTTCCATCTGTTATTATACGATCTTGATGAAGATATGGTGATGATTGATGGGCAGCAGCTGAAATTTGAAATGAAGATGTTGGCCTGGAATGAGATTTATCCGAAATAATTTGATGACTTGGTAGTGGTGGTGGTGCCGAAGGTGGTGGCGGTGGTGGTTGATGTTGAATCAAACGACCAGAAGAATCTTGTTGTTGAATTCGATCGGATTCTTTTTCACTTGATGATGCACTTGATCTTCGTGGTTGCATCTGTTTAGATGTATTAAAATCAATCAATATTTGATTAATATTACCACCACCAGCAGCAGCAGCAGCAGAATCAGATTTTATATTTTGAACATTATTGTTGTTTGCTGCTGAAGAAGATTTTGATGATAATGATAATGATCCAGATGATGGATAATTCGGTGAAAAAGGTCTATGATAAATGGGCAGTTGATGTTGTGAAATAGTTGATTCATAATTTGTTTTCATACGATCAATAAAATCATAATTCGGTATCGATACATTAGCCGTTGATTGTTGCGATGATTGATTATTTGATTTATTATTCGAACGTTTATTTCCACTACCACCACCATGAACAACGGCAAAATCCAATGGTGATGAATCATTTTTTCGATTCGAAGATGATGATGATGGTGGTGGATTAATTTGTTGTAAAAGTTGATGATGATGTGGATGATGATAATGTGATTGTGTAGTTGGAATCAATGATGATAAATTAGTTCCTGGTGGAATATGACCACCACCACCACCAGGAATAGGAATATTATTATTATTATTATTACCAGGCCCAATTGCAGGCATAATCAATGGTGTTCCTTGTGTAATTGAACCTTTAGCCAGATCAGGATTATTCATATGACGATAAAGTTCATTATAATGTATTGGATGATGATGTATTGATGGATGGAATGATCCTGTTATATTTGTTGTTTGATGATGATGTGATTGAGGTGTCAGCGATGATGATGGTGGTGGTGGTAAAATATTTGCTGGATGTGAATGTGATTGTGAAAATTTCGAACCAGAACCCGAAACGGAAACATTTAATGCAGCAGCCATTGCTGCAACTGCTTGTTGTTGTTGTTGTTGTTGATGATGATAATGATGAGGCGAAGCAGCTTGTGGATGTTGTTGACCTAATTGACCAGGCTGTAAAACAACTGGTGTTCCTTGTGTTATCGATCCACTTGTTAATTTATCACGAACAGCTGTTTCAGCTTTAGGTGATAAGGCAAATGTTGATGATGATGATGGTGGTTGTTGTGGAGATTTTGAATTAATTTTCAACGATGGAACCTGACCATAAATATTTGATGATTGACCACCACCACCACCACCAGTAGAAGAACGATTCATTTTCATTGGATCAGTAATATGATGAACACCACCACTATTAGATGTCATAAAAGCATCAATCATATTCGGTATACGTGATGCTGGATGATTATTATTATTATTATTATTATTCATCAATAGATTTGATGAATGTGCATATGGTGGACGTAAAATATTTTGTGTTGCCGCTGAATTATCCATTAATGATGAAGAATGATGTGAAAATGGTGATTTTATCTGATGTGGCATATTTAATGGTGATGAACGTGATGATGATTGGTTACCACCACCATTATTACCACCAATTGAATCCATTTTCATAATTTTATTATTAATTGGATGATGATGATGAAAATCTTTTGGTGAATTACGTTGTTGTTGTAAAATTGTTTGATCATATGATCGTTTAGATGATTTATTACTTAAATCTTGTACTTCATCTTCAACGGTTGTTGTTGTTGTTGAATTAGATCCATAAGAAAAATTAATACCAGCAGCTAAACCTTCCGGTTTCATCATCATTAAATTCATACCACCAGATCGTTGTTGCTGTTGTTGTTGTTGCAAAGCAGTTGATGCTAAAATATCCATTTTACTTAAATCTGGTGTTGGTTGTCGACTTAATGATTGATTAGAATTTGGTGTTGAAATTTCACGTTTTAAACATAAAGGTGTAGAATTATTATTTGATGATGATTGTTGTACAACGGTAGAACATGGTTCTATTTTAACAGCAGCAGCAGTAGTATTAGTAGATTCAGATGATAATGTATGAGTAGTGTTATATGATGATGGTTGAGATGATGATATTCCTGCTGTTGCAGCACCAGTTTCGGTTGATAAACTTTTTTCAATTGCTTTCCATATTAGATCACGAACACATGTTCCACCAGAATTATTATTATTATTATCATTATTATTATTGTTTGTCGATGTTGTTGATGTTAAATTATTAACATCATTAATCGATGATGATTTTGATGTTGAATGTGGTGTTGGTGTTCGATTGGATCCAGCCGTTGTTGAAGGAACCGAAGAAGAAGTATTCGAAGATGATGAAATCTGAATCGATGGTGCATTTGGATTGATCAAAAACATTGGAACTTGTGGTGCATCAAAACCAACCAATTTATCTCGATTAAATGATGATGATGATGATGTTGAATATGATGATGATTGATTCGATTGTTTCAAATCGTCCATCACTTTTGTTTCAATTTTTACATTATTCGAATGTTGTTGTTGTGTTGATGAACCTGAACGTGATCCAGAATTTGGAAATGAAAATGAACCAGAAGATCGATCCAAACCTGTAGCAGTATTATTATTTGTTTCATTCATATTATTTGATGATTCATCAGCACTCATTGTTGCTGATGAATCATAATCACTTTTTAATGAACTTTGTGAAAGACTTAATGGTTTACAATCTTGAAGATTTTGATTTGATTTAGTTAAAGAATTCTGTGCTTCTTGATGATTATCACCTGAAGATGTTGGTTTTCCACTACCACCACCACCACCACCTGATGATGATGAAGCCGATGCTGTATCACTTTCATTATTATTTTGTTGATTATCATCTAAACTTGATGCAGTAGTATCATCATCACCACTAATACCACCACCACCACCATTATCACCATCAGTATCTTCACCTGAATCTATTGCAGAATTCCATGGTCTACCGATTGATTGATAAAATTCTTTCAATGCTGAAACTAATTGAAATTCATTTTTAAATAAAACAAATGCTTTATAACAATCTTGTGGTGTTTTTTGTTGTTCAAAACTACCATTCGATGATATTGTTGCCCAATTTTTACCATAAGTACGAATCATTGTACGTAGTTTTTCTTGATCATCGGGTGATGACCATACTTTACGAAAATCTTCTTTTACCATCGAAGATGAATCAATATTAGTTATTGATGATGATGTATTGGTAAGTTGTTGTTGTTGATTATTATCAATCAATTTTTGATCCAAATTTATTGTTCGATTTGATAAACGACGATTTAATCTCATTACACAACGTGCACAACCAATTTTAATATCTAATGGTATTTGTAATTCTTTCGAAATTTGTTGTTTCAATTCATTATCATCCAACATATCTAACCATTGTTGTGGTAATTGTTTTAGATGTAATTTTTTACGTTTAGGTGTATTATTTGTTGATGTATTTGTTGTAGAATTATTTGCATTCGATGATGATGATGATGAAGAAATACATAAAGGCATTGGACAATAACGTTTTTCTCTTAGATTACTATTAATCGATTGTTGTTGTTGTTTTTTCAGATGACAACCAAAACAAACACGACCTAATATTTGATTACCATTCGATGTTTTTTGATTTATTGTTGTTGAATTCATTAATAATGTTGATAATTGTAAACCATATGATTGATAATTATTCTGTGTTATTGGACGAGATTTTTGTGGATTTGTTGATACTAAATGTTCACCACAACAAAGACAACAACCAATTGATGATGAAGAAGAACTATTTCCACTACCACTATTATCACATTGTGTAGAATTGGTAGAACATTCTGTTGTTGTTAATGTTGCTGTTGTTGATCCATTTGCTAATAGATCATTATTATCACTATTATCACATCGATTAATTACAGTTGATGATGATGAATCTCCTTGATTATTTGTTTGATGAACATTATTATTAGTGTTTGGTGTTGTTGTTGTAGAAATAGTTGAAATTTTACCATTCGAATTTGTTGTCGTTGTTGTTGTTATATCACCCGAACTATTTGCCATCGACGTTGATGTTAATGAAAATGTAATAGTAGCAATATTTGTTGTTATTGCTATCGAATATGGTAATATAACTGATGTTGATGAATTTGGATATTGACGATTTAACAATGCTGCTGATGCAGATGATGATAATGTTGTTGTTGATGATGTGGATAATGATGTTGTTGTCGATGTTAACGATGATGATGATGATGATCCAATTGTTCCATCCAATCCACTAATTGAATGTTGTGATTGATTATTATTATTTTGATTAATTAAATGTGGTGATCCACGTTGATTGACTAAATTTTGATGATGATGTTGTTGTTGTTGTTGTGCTTTAATCATTGCACGTGTACGTTTTTTAACATGTTTCCTTAATAATTGTTTATAATTTTCATGTTTTTTCGATAAATAATAATAATTAATACAATCGGCTATAGATTTTCTTTCCAAATATTGAGCAATTATGCCGAATTTTTTCGGATTTAATAAATATTTTTCACGAAATATTTCCTTTTCACCTTCAGTCCAAATGTTTATATTACGAATTTCTTTATATAATGACATTGGATCTTGTAGATAACCATTTTGATTATCAAAACGTATTAAATTTTTTAATTGAATCCTTGTATACATTATTGGCGGTATAACAATATATGAACGCATTTTTTTATCCTCTAATTCTTGATGCTGTAATCCATCCATAATTTCTTCCAATTCAGCATCCGAACGTATACGATGTTGTTGATTACTATTACGTTGTACACGTTCACGATCTTCACGTTGTTTACGTATTTCCGGAAAATGTTTTTCAAATGATTCTCGTATTTTTAAATCACGTTGTTTTTTCACTGGATTTGATTCAATTTTTTCTACTTTTTTTAACCATTCTAACATTTGTTGATCATATTTTTCTGCTTGTATTTGTTGTTCTTTTGTAACAAGTTTTTTATAACGATTAATACGATCAATTAATTTTGAACGAAATTGTTGATGTTGTTCATTATTTTTTCTAATTATTGGTAAATCCATTGGTTGATTATATAATGGTAATGCGATTGTTTCGGATAAATTATTATTATTATCATTTCCTAATAATCGATATAGATTTTGATGGGCTTTTTTAGCTTTCATCTGAGATGTCAAAGGGTTAAAAAAGGAATTAATTTACAAATTTCAATCAACAATTTATTAACACTTACAGTATTTTCCTGTATAATTTTCTGCACTAATGTTGGTTCTAATTTAATACCATTTTTTTGTTTATCATCTTCATCCGAATCGATTGGTAATTTTCTTGTTGCAGCTTCCAATTGTTGCTATATAATAATTTTTTCAAAATTCAAAAAATGAAAAAAAATGAAAAAAATTTGATTAACAAAGATAAGAATCACGAAGGAAAATAACCAAGAAAAATGAAATAAAGGTCATTTCTCTTTTTCTTCATTCACATAATCTATTTGGGGCTTTTTTTCCTAAAATTATCTATTTTTTGATTATGGATTTTACATTAATTTATTTATTGCCTTCATTTTCATATCATGATCATATCATCATCATTTCGTTATCATCACACGCACAGAAATAATGATAACATTTTTTTTTGTTTGAATCAAAATCTTATTATATTTAACACATACCGCTCTTAATTTTAATTGATTAATATCCACTTCATTTGTTTGTATTTGTCTATCACAAGCATTTATTGATGATAATATTTGATCTTTTAATGATGTTAATGGTGATATACGTGATTCATCTTGTGGTGTTGGTGAAATGGCTTCAAAATGTGGATTATAACCATCCTGTAGAAAAACAAAAGAGTTAATTAAATTCAGAAAACAAAGGGAACTTACTTCAACATTATCATCAATAGTTTCGACAATCATTTCTTGTTGTTGTTGTTGATTAGAAGATGATGTTGAAATACGTGTAGATCCAGTTGTTGAAATAGTTGCCAATTGATTTGATGAATGATTTAATATTAACGATGATCTTTCATTATCGATTAATGGTAATATTTTTGTTGTTGTTGTTGAATGTCCTGATTGAATAGGATTATTATAATAATGTGGATGTAATTGATGATTCGATGATGATGGTGGATGATAACCACCGCCACCACCACCACCAACAACATTTTGACTATTTCCACCAATATGATGCTGTACAAAATGATGTTGTCCATGTGTTGATAATGATTGCGGCGGCGGTATCTGTATCTGTGGTGGAGGTGGTAGAATCCCTGTATGATTAATTCCATGATGATGATGTAATGCCATTAATGGCATTATATTACTATTACCACCACCTGATAATGATACTGGAATTTGATTTTGATTCTGTGTTGATGGTATTGGACTACTATTACCACCTAATTGTATTCCTGGAATATTATTTGGTAAATAATGATGATGATGATGATTGGATGATAATAGATTTCTTTTATTTGAAATATCATATATTTCATGTAATAAATGACCATGTGATAAATGATTATGTTGTAATGATGATGATGAACTACCATGATGTGAATGATGAGGATGAATTAAATTTGATGAAACAATTGATGATGATGATGATGTTGGTGGTAGTATCGTTGATGATGATGATGACGATACACCATGATGTTGTTGATGATGATGTAACATCGATATTGATGTTGGGGGTAGTTGCGAGGGTGGTACTGATGCCGATATCAGACCTGCCTGTATTAATGGATTTGGTGATGATGATGATTGTGGACCAACACCATGTTGAGATTGTTGATGAATAAGATGATGTGGATGTTGTTGTTGTTGCTGCGGATGCGAATGATGATTAATAATTGGTGCCGACGATGCAGCCGATGATATTGTCATTGGTGATGGCATCGAAACAATTGTTGTTGTTGCTGCTGTTTTGGAATTTAAATAATTTCCTAATGAAATTGATATTCTTTCACCACCACCAATATTGTTGTTTTGGTTATAAATTTCAATATTATCAGTTGGATTGATTAATGTTGTTTGATGATGATGAGAAGCGTTATTATTATTGCGTTCGAATATAATATTTTGAGCAAATCGTTCCTAAAATTTTTTTTTCAATATAAAAAATGAATGAATGAATTATTCGACAAGATCAACAAATTAAACATTGTGTTTGTTCAATGCGAATGTTTTTTTTAATACAAAACTTAATGGACTTGATATATAACTAAATAAAGAAAGAAAGAAAAATCTACTCAAAAGAAAAATGAATCAAGAAAGAGACATTGAAAGAGACAAGGATTTTTTCATTTTCAAAATGAAAATTAAAGAGTATGTGTGTGTTTGGTTGTCTAAATGTTATGATGAAAAGTGAATATTGTAAAGAAAGATTACAAGTTTTTTTTTCTAAGTGAAGGGAAATATACGAAGAAGACGACTTAACAACAGATATCTTTTACTTTGAAAAAAAACATAGATTTTTTATCAATGAATCAATTAATCAATCAAAAGTCTCAATCCACAATCATTATCAATTATTATCGAAAAGAAAATAGAAAAAAAATGCATTCAAAAAACTAAACTAAACTAAAAATGAAATAAACAAACAAAACAAAACAAAACAGCAGCAAACAAGCAAGCAATAACATTTTATCTATCTTTCCTGATTTGATATATAAACTGTTGATCAACAGAATCAAATTGACAAACAAGAATTTCATTTAATAATACAAAACAACATACAATATCTCTTGTCGTTGGTTGTGAATACTTTGTATCATCATTATTATTATCATTTATTAAACCCAATTGATGATTATAATTAGTTGTTGTTGGAGGCGGTGGAGTTGAACAATTTTGTTGTTGATAATGATACAATAGATTATTATTATTATTATTATTATTTGGATTTAAAAATTGATAATGATGTGGTGCTGGTGGTGATTGATTAGTAAAATTGAATAAATTTTGTTTTAAAAATTGTCCATGATGATGATTTGGATAAAGTTGTTGTTGCTGTTGTTGTTGTGGGTGCTGATGTCTTTTATTATTGTTGATAAAAGATGTGTGGCTGCTGCTGTTGGTGGTTGATACTGGAGAATTTCTTGAATAAAAATCTGAGGCACTATTTGTTGTTGTTGATAATGGTGATGATAATGATGATGATGATGATAATGGATAGGACGACAATGTAACTGGCACATTTTGCTGTTGATGCAGCTGATTAGGATTAGGATTTTTTGGTTGTTGCTGTTGTCGTTGTCGATGATGATGAATAGATTTAGAATGATGCATTGAATGAAAAATGTAAAATGTAAATGTAAAAAAGAAGAAAAAATTGCCACACAAAAAATCAAATCATCATTCTTCAAAAATATTGAAATTCTGCTTTAAATTCTTCTGACTCAAAAAGATGAAACAAAAAACAACAAGAAAAACAAAGAGAAGGAATGCTTATTTTTTTCGAAAGAAATTAGCCAAAAGAAATCATACACAACACAAATGAAAAGAAAACATTAAGATTTTCGTTTCAGCGTAGATATTTTTCTTGGAAACAAACAAAACAAAACAAAAAATCAATCCAGAATCGAATCGAATCGATAACACCAAACACACACTTGATTATCAGATTAATCAATATTTTTTTTTCTGGATTAATAATAAGAATAATAAGATGATGAAGAAGAAGAAGAAGAAAAAATTGATGACAAAAAAATAAATCAAAAAGAAAAAGAACCAGAAAAGAAGAAGAAAAAATTACTTCATTTCACATTTTTTTTTCTCTGTGTATATGGTGTGTGTTCTGTGTTATACATGTATCATTCTCTCTCTCTCGCTCTCGCTCACTCACTCTCATCATACTCCACAAACATTCGAAATTATTATCATCATCATCATCATCAACCTCGACATCATCATCAACATCGTCATAGCTATTCTTTATGGAAAGAAAAAAAATCCTCATCACTTGTATGTATGCCACTACTCTTTTTTTGTTGTTTATTTAAAAATGAAAAAAAAAATCCATTCGAAATATAGACCCGTAAGGGCACACGAAGAGACACAAAGTGAAAGAAAACAGAGGGCTGGCTTGTTTTTTTTCTGCTAGCAGCATTTAAAAATGATAAATGATTTTTTCTTCTTCTTCTTTTTTGGATAATGATGTTGATATCCCCCCCCCCGAAGCAACTCGCCACATTTTTTTTTTGGTTTTTTGGATAATGTGGTGTGATGATGATGATGATGATGGTTTTTTCTTTTCTTTTTTTTTTGTTTTTTTTTCATTCATTTGTCGGTTCTGAATGAGGAGAGAGTCGCGTCATCAGAAAAATATTTTTTTTTTGTTTTTTTTGGAGTCGGAGATAACCGAACCAGCCACCACGCTGTCCTTATGAGGATCCAAGGCTGCAAAAACAAAAACAAAACAAAACAAAAAAAAATATTCAACACTTTTAACAAAGAAGCAGGGGCAATATCGGGGGGGTTTATTTTTGGAAAAAAAACCTGTCCTAATTCAAAACAATGCCACTACTACCAATATATATCATTATCCAATCCATTATCATAATCAAAAAAAAAAAAAACATGAACAGAACAAAAAGAGGCAAATGTACTATTATTAGTAAAATCATTTAGGGGTAGTGGTATTTTTTTTTTTTTTTGATCCAGAAAACAAAAATAGTAGTGGTAAAAGTATTCTATTTTTGTATACAATTTATTCACCGCATTATGAATCAATCTAACAAACAAACAAAAAAAAAGTCCTCCCTTGAATTTTTTGTTTTCCTTCTGTTGGTCTGGCTTATACGGGAGGCTAAAATAATCATCATCATCTTAATGGGGATGGTTCAATATATACTCTTCATATTCTTCATCATCATCGATTTGATCCCCCTTGTTTTGTTTTTTTTCCAATTCAATTCTATTTTCAAACAACAACAACAAAATCCCCCATGCTGAACCCTCCCTTCTGTTCCATCCCTGTTTAGTTTTTCATTTCATTTTTTTTTGTCATTCTATTGTGTTTTCTGATCAAAAAAAAAAAAAAAAATGATAATGATTGAAAATGAGGATGATGATACCAGAAATAAAGTGAGAAACAAGCTTCCATTGC